TGTGGACCCGCAGCCCTATCATGCAGGGCAACACGGAGCAGCACCAGCTTGCCCTCATCAGCCAGCTCTGTGGCTCCATCACCCCCGAGGTGCGTGGCCAAACTCTGGGCCCCTGGTTCCCACAGGCTGCAGAGATCTAGAAGTCTTCGTGGCAGGGGAAGAGTGGGGAGTTGAGTGCAAGCAGAGCTCCTCTCTGCAGAGGTGGCTGGCAGAGGGCCTCTCTTGAGACCCGCACAGGCTGTGTTCAGATCTTGGCTCCCTTGCCATTTGGTTCTGGGGCCTTGGCAGAGCATTTGAAGCCCTCACCTCAGCGCTGAGTTCCTTGTCTGTGAGATAGGTGTTCTTGTATCAGGCTCGGTGCACCTCTTCCAGGTCGTGGGCCTGGCTCAGTATGTGGCCTCTGCTGCTGTCATCTGGGGTCGAGTTCATCCCACAAGGTGGTCGGGAAGCATCAAGGTGCTTGACCAACAGACAAGCCTTGTGCCCTGAGCTAACGCCATCCCCTCTCCATGCCCCCCTTAAGGTGTGGCCCAATGTGGACAAGTATGAGCTATTTGAGAAACTGGACCTGGTCAAGGGCCAGAAGCGGAAGGTGAAGGACAGGCTGAAGGCCTATGTGCGTGACCCCTATGCGCTGGACCTCATCGACAAGCTGCTGGTGCTGGACCCCTCGCAGCGCATCGACAGTGACGATGCCCTCAACCACGACTTCTTCTGGTCCGACCCCATGCCCTCGGACCTCAAGGGCATGCTCTCCACCCACCTGACATCCATGTTCGAGTACCTGGCACCGCCGCGTCGGAAGGGCAGTCAGATCACCCAGCAGTCCACCAACCAGAGTCGCAACCCCGCCACCACCAACCAGACGGAGTTCGAGCGCGTCTTCTGAGGGCCGGCCGCTGTCGTGCTTTCCATTAGGGCTGTTTTATTTTTTTTCTTCTGCGACGTGACTTACGTTGTGGAGAGCCTGGGCATTTGCGTCTTCTCCCTGGTGCACATTTTATTTAATCCCCACGCTGCGCACTGGGAGCACCAGCTGAGTGGACTGGAGGGAGCTTTGGCTGCAAGTCCAGGAGGGCACGGGGCTGTCCCCCCTGGTGCCCTGGCTTTTGGGGTGATGTCCAGGGGCTCTCCACACACCTTAGGATGAGAATGAGATGGGAGAGGCGGCTCACCCCAGCAGTGACTTATGACGCATTCCCAGCGTGATGGGGGAGGGAGCCAGTCCCCGTCCCCAGCCTTCCTCTTGGGATGATGAGAAACTTGAGTGGGGCACAGAACCCGCCTTGGGAGTGGGCCCCTCGGGGCCTGACTCAGCAGCACTGTGGTTGGTAAAAACTTGGTTTCTTCAATAGGAGAATTTTATCGTGTTTCTTTTGTTCTGGTTGTTTGGAGATATTTCTGGACAGTTTGGTCAGTTATGATTAAAGTTGTCTCTTTTTCAGTGACCGTGTGCTCTGTTCTGTGTTTAGACCCCCCCAGCTCCTACCCTGCAGCCAGCAGTGGGGCCTGGCCGCTGAGATTTGACTCAGCAAGTCTTGGCTCTCGGTTTCTCCCGTTGTGTCCCCTGACCTCTTACGGAGGACTTTTGTCTTTTCTTTCTTTTTTTTTTTACCTCAGCCACCTTCCAGAACATGAGCAGACATGCTTCCCGCAAGGCCTTTGTCATGATGCTCCCTTGCGCCTCCCTGCTCACTGTCAGGGGAAGAGGGGAGACAGGAGAAAAGGGGGGGAGTGGAGAGGGTTTGCTGTGTATGCAGCAGTGACCCTGCTGGGTGGTCTGCCCTGGCAGACAGACGTGTTTGGACTGGACTCAGATGCTGGAGTCTGCAGAGGCCCTTAAGCAGTGGAGGAACAGCTCTGTAGCTTGCAAAGGCCCCTTGTGTGCTGAGAAAGGGTGACTTGGGGAGGCGAGGGCAGAAACAGTCTGTGGAGTTGGAGCTGCAGGGGTTTGGAGAGGTGGCAGAGGCTTGGATCAGGGAGAGGCAGGAAGACCAGACAGAAGGTTGGATGGTGAGGCTTCAGAACTGGGGCCTCTTGAGTGCACGTCCTGCCCGTGTGAAGTTGAGGACCAGCAGGTTTGAGGTAGCCTATGTCCTGTCACAGGTGGGGCCTCCGGAAGGGAGGGAGGTGGGCAGAGATCACCAGAGCTGTCCTCGGGAACATGGACTGACATCCCAACTTCACGAAAGGTCAGTGAAAGCAAGAAATTCCCAACTAGTGTATTTGTTTTAGGGACTGTTGTAACAAGTTACCACAAATGTGGTAACTTAAGATAACAAATGTGTTCTGTCAAGTTCCAGAGGCTAGAAATTGGAAATTTGTAGATGAGGGCAGGCCCGGTTCCTTCTGAGATGAAGAATCTTGCAGACCTCTCTCTGAGCTTCCGGAGTTTGCCAGCGACCCTGCTTCCTTGGCTCGGGTCTCGGCCCACGCCTTCACATGGCACCCTTCCCTCTGCTGCCATCTCTCCTCCAAGGACCCCAGTCGCTGGATGCAGGACCCACCTTGACCCAGTATGGCCTCTTGGTCGACTTTCTGCAAAGACCGTCTTTTCAAATAAGGCCACGTTGTGAAGTCCTGGGTGCTCACAAACTCAGTAGAACTTAATCTGCAAGTCCAAATTAAAACAACTGTGGCTGTCCTGGTAGCTCTCAAATAGGCTATGAATGCCAGGGAACCAGTGCGGGCAGCCTAACGGGGCCAGCCTAATTGTGCCAGGCATGGTTTTTAGCTGAAGAAGTTTCCCTTAACATTTTATTTTTTTAAAATTTATTTATGCATACAAGAGCTGGGGTACAGGCCAGAGATGTGGGGGGTGAGAGGATTCACCAGAGACAGTGGGAAGCAGAACAGGCAGACTGACTGAAACACTGCTGAGGGGAGCAGTGGGCGAGACAGGAGAGGTCTGCTGCGCCATGTGGGTTCCTCTGTGGCCGGGTGGGGATCAAACTTGGGCTGCAGAGGCTGTGGATTGCTTCATAGTGTGGTGCTTAACCCCTTCATTTTATGTCCTTTGATCCAGCTATGACACAGATTCCTGAGGTGCAAGTGCCCAGTGAGTCTGTTCACACATCAGTCCTCCAACTCATCTTTCATCCCTTCCTCAACATGCGCTATAGCTGTGTCTTCCAAGGGCCCTACTGTTCCAGACACGGGAGAGCCACAGCAGAGGCCGCCCGCCCCCATGGAACTCCCCTCCCAGTAGGATCCAGGTAGTCTGCTGAGATGGGTTCTGTGGGAAACAGCAGGGTAGAGTAAGGGGGTCGGGTGGGGTACGGAGTGGGAAGGGTGCCACTCCATGTGAGGGGCCCTTCAGAGCCTTGTGCAGAACGGGCCTGGTCTGCTGTTGACAAGAAGACGTGACTGTTGGGAAAAAAACAGGAGGTGAAGCTGTGCGGAGAGGACTGGCTGGAGCAGTTGTGATAAGCCTGGCACCAGGTGACGGTGGCCGAGAGGGAAGCGGCTGGCAAGGGGTGCAAGCTTGCATTTAGGGATTGCGGTAAGGGCAGAGCTGACAGGATTTGCTATGAGGTCGAAAGTGAGAGCACGAAAGAGAAGTTGAGTCCCCGCCTCGGCTGGAGGGAGGGCCCTCGGGCTGCCCTCCCTGCCTCCCTGCCGCGGGGGGCCTGCAGTGGGTCCAGCCAGAGCACTCGGGACATTGGAGTGGCCGATTCTAATTCACGGTCCCCAACATCTTGGACATAGGCTTGCCTTCGGGGCGGCCGTCCTGCTGGTGGTTCAGGTCCCAAGGCAGGAGGGAAGGGGAGAAGGGAGACAGGGCTCGCTGGGACCAGCGTTTAGGTGTCCCCGGAACTGGGGCCAAGAGGGAAAGTGAGGAAACTCCAGGGCAAGCGAGTTTCAGAAGCTACTGGGCGAGCGTCAGTGCTGACCCGGGTGGTGTGCTGCGGGCGAGAGCCCGAGGGCGCAGGAGAGCCTCCACGGGCAGTGAGCCCCAAAGCAGACGCCTGTTGATTCTGTCTCCTAAGAAGAGCCGGTGGCCAAGGATCCATTTGCCCCCCCAGGGTGGGTGGTAAGGCCCAAGGCCACACCCCTAACCCGTTGTCAGCTCCTCCACCCAGTGTGTGCCGGGCAGCCCCGCCTGCGGGAAGGCTGGCAACAGCAAATCCTCCTCAGCTAAAAAAGAAGTTAGAGCCACTCTTCTCCAGCGTCAGTGCGCGTCCCAATCCCCGCTGGAGGGTCCGAAGGGCGGGGGGGGGGGGGGGGGCAGCACGAAGGACCACGCGGCTGGTGGGGAGAAGGCAGCGAGGGCAGGCCGGGTCCGTGAAGGAGTGCTGGCTGCCGGAAATAAGGGTGCTGACATGCGGTGGGTCCTGGACTATAACCCTTTTGTTTGGGGACAGTATCAGTGAGAAAAAGCAATCCCTGCTGGTGCTGAAAGAAATGTTGCTGGAGAGCCCGCTCCCTAATGTCTTAAGGGCAGATCCCCAGAACCTGTGGGGAGTGAGCACATGCTGTGTCCCGTACTGTGTGCGCAGTGTGAGGGGGGACAGGCCAAAGCACGAGCAGCTTACCAAATCTCCTGCTCGACCACATCCTGTGGGACAAATGGAAGGAGTCACTGGGCCATCTCCACCCTGGCTGGCTCGGGTGGCTGTGCTTTATGCCTCTGTGTTTCCCCCCATGTTTCCTGAATTAATATCTTTACTCACGCAATTAAGCCATTTTTTAAAAATAACCAGAGCAGGCCTGACTGGGGCTCCTGGCTCTGAGCGCCGCCCCCCCCCCCCCCACCATTCTTGCCCAAGAAAGGAGGTTGGACTGGCAGGGCAGATGCATGTCTGTGCCAGCTCAGCCTCACCCCAGTGTGACGTGGGTGAAGGGAGGTGCGTGGCTTGGAATAAAAGGTCCGAGCTTTTGTTGATATTGCCCTGAGGTGCCAAGAGCAGTAGCTGGCTTGTGCGGGGGGAACGGCTTTGCAGCTCCCTATGTCACCCTGAAAGCTGGGGACAGGGTCTGGGTCCTATTTCAGTGAAACAGACCCTTCTCCCAGCAGGCTTGGAGTCCTTAGGTCAAGGGCACCCATGTGTCCTGTGTCCCGTCCCCAGGAATCCCAGCCTAGCGGGGAAGGGGAAGTGGGCTTATAAGGGCCTGGAAGAGTCCAGACAAAGCCCGCCCTGCTAGGAAGAAAGCCCAGCCCCCAGGCTTGGAAGTCTCCCCAGTACCCCCTCCCCCCAGCACCCCTGCCTGCCTGATCACCTTTAACCTCCACCCAGTTGTTATTTAACTGACTAACCCAGCGGCGCTCGGAAGCCTGCCAGAGAGGCTTGGAGGTCTGTGGGCACATCCCAGGATGAGAGCAGGAACCTATCAGGTAAGATCTTCTTTTAGGGAGGTCCCCAGGCTGTTAGGGTGGAAAGAAGGCAAGGTCTTGGGGATCCCCCCAGCTCCCCACGGCCCTGGAACCCCTGGAATGTGGACAGGGAAGACTTGGCAGAGATACCCTCGCCTGTGAGTCGGTTTGCCCTGCCCAGTTGGGGAGCAGGAAGCTGAGGGATGAAAGGTGCCAGGTCCCTGGTTACCACCTGGCCAGTGGCCGAGAGGTGGTGGGAAGCAACCGTGGAACAGCCAGACCCGTCGTCCAGAACCGCCTCCTTCCAGGTAGGAGAACTTGGCGACCTTGGGTGGGCGACCTGCCCTTCAAGCTTCCATTTCTTTCCGTAGTACAACTCTAAAGAATTGTAACTGAGTTCCCAGGCCGTTGGCAATGATGATAATCCCCCACTTTGTGGGGCCCCAAGGGAAAAACTTTGTCATCTACTAGCCTTAGGCTAAAGATCTGGGGTGGTCAAGGGCTGCGCTGTGTCTCACAGTCCACCTGCAACCTGGCTGGAAGCTCTGTGGAATCCCCCAGACAGTGATTTGGGGGACTCCCTTGAGGGGGATCTCTGAAGGAGAATCTATGGCAGGCATGGAAGGTAGCCTGTGCCACCTTGAGAGTCTTCCTGTGTCACCTCGAGGGTCCTCCTGCACCATTTAAATGAGCTTGTCAGCTGGATTTTATCCAAGGTAACTCTGGATGCTTTGTGAGGAAGGATAATTAACCTCAAATAATTAATGATGATGATGAAGGTGATGGTGATACTCACGGCAACACTAATTGCTTACTGGCTGCTGGCCCTGTGCCCGTGTTACCTGCATTTTACAGATCTGGAAGGTGCAATTAAGAGCAGTGAAGGACTTAGCTGTTGGTTTCTAAGTTCGGCTTCTGTGTGGAGACCCTGTTGGGCTCTGGGCCCAGCACCTTCTGTATGGCTATGTGCAGTCCTCTGAGCCCTGCTTCCCCAGGCGAGGAGCCCGGCAAAGCCACTAGCTGGGAAGCAGCGGCCACTTTCTGCCACCCAGCCCCACTGGGGCCCAGACTGCTGGAGCTGAATGCAGCCCCAGGATAGAAGCAAGGCCCTCTGGCTCCTGCCCTGACAGACACCTTACCAGTTGCTTAGCCTCACCAGGCCTTGGTTTGCCCCTCTGTAGAACAGGCACCCCCAGACATGCCTCCCTCTCTCTCTCTCAGGATTGCAGTCTGAGCCCTGGTGTTAACCGCAAGGCCTCAGGGGCTCATCAGCTTCCCCAGAGCTGCACGCCACGTTAGCTTCATCTCCCAGCCCGTCTGGGCAGACAGAACCTTCTGCCCACTGCAGAGGGCTGGTCCCAGATGCCTGGGTAGAGGAGCTGTCAGGACCTAGAGAGGGGAGAGGCCTTGTTCGGGTCACACAGTATGGTCAGCTGTGTGGCTTTTCATGGGCTCCTGGTCAGAGATAGGGCCTTGCTCTGAAGGAAGAGCAGCTCCAGGCCAGAGCCCACCGACCAGCTGACCTTAGTCACTTCAGAGCACACAGCGCAGGTAGGTCCAGGGTCCGGGGCTGGAATCTGGGGCCGGGTGACAGACCCCTGAGTAACTCTGCCTCCTCCATCACACCTTCATTGCCTCCTCTGAGGAAGGGGTCCCTGCTGGAGCCTCCTGTCTGCTGGCCGTAGGACCAAAGGACGCAGATGTGTGTGCACGGCTCCCTCCACACAGCGCCGGTGTCTAGATAGAACTCGAGTTTGTTATTATTTAGGGAAATCCAAGCCGTGCATGTGAGCCTCTAGCGGGGGCTCCCCAGCTTGATGAGAGGGGCTGATCAGCGCCGCGGGAATGAGGGGAATCAGGGTGCAGCTGAATTCTGGTGCCGGACGGTGGTCTTGGCAGGGGATTCCTCTCTGGTTCTCAGTTTGCTCGTCTGTCAAATGGGCTGGGGCGGCGCCAGGCCAGGAGGAGGCGCTGCAACTCTTCCCTCCTGGGGCAGGCGCTGCACACGGCAGTGAAAACAAATTAGGGGTGGGATCAGACTTTTTTCCCTCTGAAAATCATTAAGATCTGCCTGGCAATCCCGTGAGTGGATTGCCCAGGGGCATCCCAGGAGCCACTCCTGCTCCCACGTCCATTCCGGCCCCCTGTTGGGCCTCGGTGTCCCCACCTGCAGAGTAAGAGTGGGTCAAGAAGCACCCCAAGATGCCAGCCTCCCAATATGGAAGAAATGGTTCATCCTTGTTTCCTTGTGCATATGTCCCCGGGGCACTGATCACACGGGTAAGCAAACAGAAGGCAAAGTCACCGCTGGTGGCCTCCCGCCCTCAGCTAGCCGGGGCTACCACTTCCGGGGTAACTCCCAGGCTGTTTTCTGAATTATAATTACTTTAACAAAAATGGGATCCCCTGCCCACACTGCCTCTTCATGGGTTTGTTCCCCGAACAGTCTTCTTGTCTGTTGATTCATGACACTCTTTGGAAAAGGTGTTTATTTTGAAATGCTGATATAATCACGTGGCCCAACACTCAAAGGGGACGAAGGGGTGGATGGTGACAGGAATGTGGCCAGAGGTGTCATCTGAGCCGTCCCGGAACAGCCAGGAGTTGCTCACGTGAACTTCTGGGGACGAACATCCCATGCAGACAGCTGAGGCCTGAGGCAGTCCCGCTGTGTGCTGTGGCGGGTTGAGTGACTCTGTGCCTCAGTTTCCCCACCTACACAATAAGGATAATCAGTCCTCCTGGAGCAAGGGTTTGGTGAATGCCTTTAGCGCTGTGTCCACTTGGTGTGGATGTGTGTGACGCTGGGCAGGAACTGGGACAGCTGGGGGTCAGCGAGGTAGCCAGCAGGGAGGGGGGAGATGCTAAGATCCAAAGCTTGGATTTCATCCGAAGTGCAGTGGGACTCGCTGCAGGGTTTGAGCAGGAGAGAGAGCCATGACTGAGTTTCTTTTCAAATGAGGGAGAACATTTGTGGGTCACCGGAGCAGGGCAAGGAGACTTTAGGGCAAACCTGTGGCTGAGGACTGCAGAGGGGGGCTGGAGGGGTGGCGGGGCAGAGTGGACAGGCCGGTGGAGGCGTGGGCAGGGCGAGGGAGAGGGAAGCCCAGTGGGAGGCCCAGCTTTGGACTTGAGCCGCTAGGGGGCTGGCGGAGCTTTTCCTGAGCTAAGAGGTTTGGGAGCAGCAGATGGCGTGTTGTGGATGCGATCAGTTTAAGGTGCCCTTGGGGACATCCCGGGGGGTGATGTCAGGGCCGCCAGGGACTGTGTCTAACTCAGAGGAGAGGGGCACTTGAGGGTCGGATGTCACCGTAGACCTGGGTCAGTGGGAGACGAGCTTAGCGAGAGAGGCCTGACCCCGGGCCCTGCAGTGTGAGGCTGTGAAGGGCGGTCAGCCAGCCAGGAAGGAGGAGAACTGGAGAGGGAGATATCCGGGAAGCCCAGAGGACAAAGGGTTTCAGGAAGGAGGGCGTCATCACCGCGTCACCACGTGTCACAGTCATCGCCACGTCCCTGGCCTCCTGAGATGGACGGCGACAAGCAGCACGGGGGGCTCGGGACACAGCGCCAAGTGTTTCCCCGGCTCATGTTTAAAAGTGGAATTTCAGGGCCCAAGGGAGGCCGGTTTTTAAGGTCCAATTGCCCTCTTAAAAAACGATTCCAGTAACACCTTAGAAGCCAGAGTCAGGATGAGCACGCTCTCAGGGTTTGGCACAGATCATTTCTCACCAAATGGATGGCTGGACGGCTGGCATCCTTTTCCCTGGGCAGGGTGGGGGCCAGAGCAGATCCCTCAGCCCTCACCCCTGCGCACACACCCACAGAACTGCTGTGGGGGCGGGGCGGGGCGGGGGTAGATCGGGCTGCTTGCCAGCTCCCCCTACCCTTGCTTACTTTTCTCTTAAGACAATGGCTGTGTATCTATTGTCCTCGCTGGAGAGTGAGGTCACTGGAGGGCCTCTCCAGGTGTGCTGTGCAGGTGCCTTGGGTTTTCTCCTTTACCCTTTTCTCTGTGTCCTTTCATGAACATCTGTGGCTTTTTCAATAAAAAGGAAACACACATGGTTTTTGAACATCAGAAATAGTGCTCAGCATCCTTCCGAGAAAGGCCAATAATAACAACCCTGAGAATCCATTTTTCCACCTATGCGTTTGGCAAGGATCGAGGTTAGCTCACACTCTGTTGGAGAGGAGGTGAGGAGACAGCTGCTGGGGACGTAGGGGCAGAAACTGGGCCCCCTTATGAGGGACAAATTCCCCCCGATTCCCCAGCAATTGCACTTCTTGGAATTTATCCATCAGATGCACTCAAACATAGCAGAAATGATGAGGGTGAAGGTCGCGTACTACAGCGTGTGTGTGATGGCAAAATATTAGAAACCTGACATCCCTCCGTGGAGAATGGCCAAATACACAATAGCATTGCCACACCATGGAGTATGGCAGCTTCGAAAAAACAAATTAGCTAAGAGAGTGGCTCTTATGTACCGATACCCTTACACCTGGAGTAAGGTCCGGGGTGTAAAGGGACGTGGGAGAGGATAATGCAGACTTGAGCCTGGGATCTGCTCTCTGTGAGTACAGAGGAGAAATCAATGTGTATTTGTATTGGCTTATAAATACCTAAAATATCTCTGGAAGGATCACAAGAAGCCTAAGTTTGATGACTTTGGAGGAGAGGAATTAGGATTCCAGTCCTGGCTGGGGTGGGTGGGGGTAGCTTTTCACTCTGCATGTTTATTGGACCTCTGATTATTTAAATGGCATGAAGTAGAGTCCACTCCCAAAACATGAGCATTTTCAAACAAAATAAAAATAAGGAAACGTTTTAATAAAGACTAGAAGATAAATCTATCCTATTCCTTCCCCCTTAAAGTTGACACCTCCAGACCTCCCTGTCACTGACTCGGAAGGGTGCAGTAGTCCAATTTTCATGTAATCGTGACGTGCACAGAGGTCCAGGGAACAGGTGACTGGCCACTGGTGGCTTTGCCAGAGCTCTCCTCACCACTTATTTCCTGTACGGTGAGGAGACCAGCTGGGACCTGTCCGGAGCCGTCCGGAGTATGTGCCGTGTTGCATATGCGTGCCATGAGTTCGCTTTACCGTTTCGCCTTCGGAGAACCACAGGTTTTTCCTGTAAAGCACATGAGACTGGGAGGTACGGGGGGAGGAGCTACGAGGGTATAAGAGGAGAACGCGGGAGAGAGGAGAAGAAGAAGAGAGATTTAAGAGGAGAACCACGAGAGAGGAGAGCGCTGCGAGAGGAGCAGAGAGAAGGCCAGGGAAGGTAGAAAGACAGGGAAAAGGAAAAGAGAAGGAAAAGGAAAAATAAAGAAGCAAACGCTAGCGTCAAGTTGTCAAGCCCCTCATTTCAATCCTCAGCCCTTCTCTTTTCGTGCCTCCGAATCCCGCGGGTCGGGACAGGGACCCCTGGGATTTTCGATGCTGCTTCTTGCTTCCCATGTCTGTACCTCTATTTCTGTTTCTGAGTGGAGCTGAGGCCTGAGGCTCAGAGATCGTTTGTAACAGGCCAGAGGGGAGAATCGACAGAAACTAATCTGCTCAGGGCAAAGGGGAAGAAATCAGTTAGAAATTCAGGAATATAGACAGGGTAAGTGCTGTCCACCGTACACAGAGGAGGCAGTCTCCATCCTGGCATTTCAGCTTTCCTGGGATCTCATTCTTGGAGGAATGGGCCAGAGCTCCGCTGGGCTCCAGTGGTCGGGAGCCCAGTTACCGATGAATCCACTCAGGCCAACCATAGTAGAGAGGGGAGACACTGGCTACATGGAGGACAGAACTGAGTAATACCTGTGATGCCCCATGCGCTTGCATATTTACCAAGAAGGAAGGGAGCAGGCATGAGAAAAATGGGCCAAGGATGTCCCCTGAAATAATTGCATGGAAAGGTGCTGAGATTCGTCCGGAGGTTCCTCCCGATGAAACAGAGTAGCAATGACAAGGTAATCTATACCCAGCAGGCTGGGGGAATTCTGCGGGAGGGGCACACTTCTCACACAGTGGACACCGCAAGGGTGTCGGTGATGGGATGCAAGGGTCAGTGTTGGGGGAAAGAAACAGAACAACCCGGGACCCCACCCTCCCACTCCATGTATCTACCCACTGAAGGTAACGTAAATGCCCTTCAGCACCATCCCCCATCCCTGCCTGGCTGGGGGGTGCAAGGAGGGAGGGAGGGAGGCTAGGAATAAGGACTCTGCAACCAGAATTCACATCTTGCTTTTGTGACTCAGCACTGAGCACTTATTCCTTTGTGCCTGATAGCCCAAGTCCCTGATGGTTAAATGAGCAACTCTGCAGAAAGTGTCTGGCCCAGGGAACTGACCCCCTAAGTGACTGCTTGGGAGGTATCCCTCTAAGCTGACTGCTGAGTGAGAAAGTGAGGAGGCAGAAAATGCCGTCAAGCACATGGACAAACCTTAGAAAATGTGTGTGATTTCCTGAGCATAGAAAACTGTGGGACACACGCCACAAGGAGGACCAGAGGAGGAAGATGGGAAGCAGAGAAAAACGATGAAAGCTTCTGTGTGATCATTTAAATGCTATGCCTGAATAATATATAGGGAGAAAGTTTCAACAATTACCAAAAAAAAAAAAAAAAAAGAAGGAAACCAAGAGAGAGGAAAGAAACTCTATTCTCCAGGGGGCTGGGGTGGGGGCACCCAGCAGAGATGCGTAGAGCCGATGACAGGGTCTTCCTGACGCGCCACTTGCTTATTTTGAAGTACAATCTCAGATAGATAATTACTCCCGGTGCCCTCCGGAGAGAGGGAGGCAGGCACTGCAGCCCCTCCGTGGCTGGTTGTTTGCAAGGAGCCTTCCTCCTACCCTCCCGTTTGGACCTCGGCCGTGGAAGGAGAATGCTGTCCTGCTTCCCCGGGCGAGCAGTCGGGGCCCAGAAGGTCACAGGGAAAGTTCTGAAAACTCCAGGACGGTGGGGGTCCTTCTCGCCCGCCGGCCGGGCCGGCCCGGGGCACCCCCCTCGCCCCCGCCCCAGGAGCGTGCGGCTCCCCACCCACCCTCCGCACAGCCTCCTCCCCAAGTGCAAATTTGATCTTGTCCCCAAAACCATTTTATTGTCATCCACATGCCACCCACATTTCCGCTGGCTCGGGCATCCGCCGCCAGGCTCGTGGAGGTCCGAATCGCTTTGCCCAAGCCTCTCCCTGACCCCAGCCTCTCCAGACCCCGTCCGGGCCTGGCCGGGACGGCGCTTCTGCCGGGAGCCTTTTCCCGGCTGCGGGGCCGCGGGAACACGGGGGCCGGGCTCGGGGGCCATGGCCCCCCAGGCCGGCTGGGCTGCCAGACGCGTGAGGCAGGGGCCGCACCCCCGCCCTGCGATCCGGGCGCGGAGCGGGACGTTCCCAGCCGGGCCCGGGCCCCGGAGGCGCCGCCCGCGCGGCCAGTGCACCCCGCGCTCGCGGCTGGTCGCGCCCGGCGCGCGGGGACTGGCTGTCTTAGGGGGTGCGGCCGGGTCCTGGGAGGTCAGTGACGAAAGTGCGCGCTCCGCTGAGCCGAGGACGCCGGTGGTGGGGGGCGGGGGGGGCGGGGGGGGAGCGCGCTCTGCCCCCTCGCGGGGGGCGCTCCGCACTGTCCGGCCGCCCCTCGCAGGGGGCCGCCCCCCGGGCTCTGATTGGCGGGAGGGCGGAGCCGACGGGAGGGGGCGTGGCGTGGGCGGGAGGGGCGTGGTTGAGCGCGGGGCGGGGCTGAGCGCGGGGCGGGGCGACGCGGGGCGGGGCGTCCGGCCGGGCCTAGCCCTGCGCCGCCCGCGCAGCGACCATGTCGCGCGCCCACGGCCACCTGCGCGCGGCGCTGAGCCTGGCGGCCGTTTCTGCGCGCGGCGCGACGTCCCGGGGCGCGGCGCGGCGAGGGTTGAGCGCGCGGCCCGCGCCGCAAGAGCCAGGCATGGAGTATCAGGTACCGGCCCGGGGTCCCGCCCTGACACGGGGGCCCGGCCCGAGCACGCGCATCCGGGCTCCGCGGCCGAGGAAGGACCGGAGCCGGCACCGGGAGGCCCGGGGGCGGGACCGGATGAGGAAGCTGGGCCCGGGCCGCGGGATCCAGGGTCTCTGAGACGCGGGTGTCGAGCCCTGACAGCAGGAAGGAGAAGGGGAAGAAGGTGGCCCGGCTGGGTGCTGGGGCTCGCGTGTCTTCGGGGTCCCGGACAGCACTTGGGGAGCTGGGTGGGGACAGGGGTGCAGGGTTTACGCTTGAGAGACCAGGAGTGTGAATCTGGATTGCAGGCTCCAGGGTTCCGGAGACACATACAGGTGCCTGGGACCGGGGGCCAGGCAGGAATTAGGGTCACTGGAGGGCGGGCAGAAATCTAGACAACAAAAAACTTCCTCCAGACTCCGTGCCAGGGGCCAGTTGCCAGAGACCAGAACCTGCTGCCTGCCAGGCAGGTGGCCCCAGTTTGATGAGAATGGGGCCTCCACCCTGAGGGGTAATAAATAGCATTTCACCCCCATCCGGTGTGGACCTCTCTGAGGCTGTACCTTCTTCCTGCCTTCCTGGCTGTGTGCCCCAGGGACACCCTTCTTTTCTCAGAGCTCCCTTTTGCCCCCATCTGGTTGCTTCAAGCACCCCTTTGCTGGATCAGAATGTGGAACCCCCGTGCTTAGGGTTGGGCATGGAATCCTTCAGGAACTCTCAGTTCTGATTCTCCAGTTCTAAGACCGTGGCCTTCTGTTCTGGCCCCATCCTAGGAGGGACCCAGGTGGCCCGGCTGGGGTGCTGGGGCTCGCAGGGAACAGTTAGGGAGCCCAGACAGGAAGCATGGGTAATCCCGTTAGTCCTGTTACTTGCTCTGCCTGAAATTCAAAGGGTGGGGCTGAACTGCCCCAGGCTGCCTTCTCTGCCAGAGCTGAAAAGATGTCAGTTCTCTCACCTGTGCCTAACCTCACGGCAGGTGCAATAGGCATCAGGCCTGGCCCCTCGGCATTAGGTGTTATCTATCCCTGTGAGCCTTCACCTGCTCCCTGGGGACTATCATTGCCAGGAGGCTGTGCGCACACTCAACACCCTGCAGACCAATGCTGGCTACCTAGAGCAGGCGAAGCGCCAGCGGGGTGACCCCCAGACACAGCTGGAAGCCATGGAGCAGTATTTGGCACGGAGTGGGCTGCAGGTAAGGTGGCAAGACCTGTGACCACTCCCTACTCCTATCTGTGAGTCCCGTGGCTGAAGCTGGGACCTTATATGTCTATACCAGGTGGAAGATTTGGACCAGCTGAACATCATCCACGTCACTGGGACCAAGGGGAAGGTGAGGGACAGGATAGGGGCGGGGTGTCCACTCATTGGGGTGGTGGGTGGGATCTGCCTAACCACAACCTTTTCTCGTAGGGCTCCACCTGTGCCTTCACTGAACGGATCCTCCGAAGCTATGGCCTGAAGACAGGATTCTTTAGGTACTGAGGTACAGAGGGAGGTGGTGTCCCCTAGCATTCTGGGTGAATGCTGTGAACCATTCAGCACCTCAGAGCTTGAGTTACCTCCAGGAGCCTAGCTGCATGTCTCTCTGCCCAGTGTTTATTCATTCAACAAACATTCAGTTAACACTTACCATATTAGCCCAAGTTCATGGCAGTTTTGAATTTTCATAATGAAAAAAAATTGGGGAGGGGGCAGCAACTCGAATGCATAAACTGATACCTAGCTGGAATAGTCAGATGTCCTTTTATAAATATTTGCATATTGAAAAAATATATTTTTTCTTCTTTTAAAAAAACTTATTGAAGTGACACAGGTTTAAAAACATTTTTCGGGGCCTCCCTGGTGGCGCAAGGGGTTAAGCACTGCACTATGAAGCTTTCCACAGCCTCTGCAGCACGAGTTCGATCCCCCAGCCAGCCAGGGAGAAACCCACGTGGCAAGGCAGACCTCTCCTGACTTGCCCGCTGCTCCCCTCAGCAGTGTATTTCGGTCGGTCTGCCTGTTCTGTTACCCACTTTTGCTGGTGGATCCTCTCACCCTCCGCATCTCTGGCCTGTACCCCAGCTCTTGTATGCATAAATAAATACATCTCTTTAAAAAAATTTTTTTTTCAGTTAGGACCTCTTTGCAGCTAGGAGCTGAAAACTTGGTTTGTGAGGGCTTAGCTGATAGGGAACTTTGTCACACGCTGGTGGGCGCCTCCCAGCCAACCACCGACGGGAGCCCTTTGGCCCGCCTGCCTCTGCTCGGCGAGCCCTTGAGGCAGCACTCGCACTGGAAGATGGGGCGTAGAGATGCGGGTCTCTTCCTGGGTTGTGCTTGGCCGTGAGACCTTGGAGGGGGTCAGGCGAGGAGAGGGAGGAGCAGGTAGAAGGCGTGGACTCGGGAAAGGATTGGGAGGCTGGAGGAACTGAAACCGTCTAGAGGGGCTGGGTACAGGTGCCAGCCTCGGGAGAGGTGAGGCTCAGAGGCCAGTGGCATCAGCCCTGGCAGAGCCTGGGAAGCCTCGATGAGGAGCTGGGGCTCCCTGGGATCGGGGTGGGGGGGTGCATAGGAGGGTTGCAGCAGGGGAGTGATGTGGTCAGACCTGTGTTTGCAAAAGACAAATCTGCCTGGGGAGCGGGAGCTGGAGAGGGGAGTCCCAGTGACCCCAGGTTTCCCGGCAGCTCTCCCCACCTGGTGCAGGTGCGTGAGCGAATCCGCATCAACGGGCAGCCCATCAGCCCCGAGCTCTTCACCAAGCACTTCTGGCACCTCTACCAACGACTGGAGGAGACCAAGGTGCCCCAAGTGGAAGGGCTGGGGGTCGTTGGAGTGGGTGGATGGGCCCAGAGGGCATGCATGTCCCGGAACCCCATGTCCCTGGAGCAGAGGCTGCGGGGCCTGGGCACTGACGGGTTCCTGTCCGCAGGGTGACAGCAGCTGTGTCTCCATGCCTGCCTACTTCCGCTTCCTCACGCTCATGGCCTTCCATGTCTTCCTCCAAGAGAAGGTGCCTATCCAGTCCCCAGAGCCCTGGGCCTGGGTCCTTGGGGAGGGGCTCCCGGGTGGCATCTGGGCGCCCTGGTAACCCCTGCCGTGGCCTCTGCAGGTGGACCTGGCAGTGGTGGAGGTGGGTATAGGCGGTGCCTATGACTGCACCAACATCGTCAGGTGAGATGAGGGCAGCTGCCTGAGGAGAGGGTGGCAGCGGGAGCCGGGGTGGCCGGGCTGGGACGTCATGGCCTCTCGTCTGCAGGAGGCCTGTGGTGTGCGGGGTCTCCTCTCTCGGCATTGACCACACCAGCCTTCTGGGGGACACGATAGAGAAGATCGCGTGGCAGAAAGGGGGCATCTTCAAGGTGACCGGGGAAGCTGGGGGACGGGAAGGACGTGGTCAGCCTGGCCCGCCTTCGAGGCCGCCGCAGGAACTGGGGCTGGGGCGGCGGCGTTTGTATCCTGAGACGGGACGGAGTCTTGGGCCTCAGCGGGGTCTGGGTGCTTATCTCAGCAAGTTGAGCCCCACCTTGAGCCTTAATCTCCATTGAAACATAAAGGACCAGGAGTGCCCTGGATCCTGGGCTGGGAGGTTGGGGCCAGAGATGGGGGGGTGGACCCTTGGCAGCCCCGTCTCACTCTCCCCGCCTCCACAGCCTGGCGTCCCCGCCTTCACCGTGCTCCAGCCTGACAGTCCCCTGGCCGTGCTGAGGGACCGAGCCCAGCAGGTCTCGGTGAGTTCGATTGGGTGCTGGGGCCAGGCCTGACTGGGCCTCATGTGCTCGTCTGTGCAGTGAGGGAGCTGGGCCAGCGGCTCACCCAGCTGGAGCGCATCTCAGCTCTAGGGGCAGGGCTTGTGGGGTGTGGTTGACGGGAAGATGGACGCCTAACGGCCTCAGGGAGGGCCTCCTGGAAAGCGGCTGTCTGTCTCCCCTGCAGTGTCCTCTCTACCTGTGCCCACCGTTGGAAGCCCTGGAGGAAGGGGGGTTGCCCCTGACCCTGGGCCTGGAGGGAGAGCACCAGCGGTCCAATGCTGCCTTGGCCTTGCAGTTGGCTCGCTGTTGGCTGAAGCTGCGGAACCACCAGGGTAGGTGGGCAGGCGAGTGGGCGGGCAGGAGGGCAGGACAATGTGGAGCCGGCTTCTGAGGATCCCGGGCACACAAGTTCCTCCACACTCCTCCCTCTCCCCACCTTGCTCTCCTCCCCACTCCCTCAGGCATTGGGGAGCTGAAGGCATCATTCAGGCAGAGCCACGCAGGGCAACTGCCCCTGGCACCTGTGTTCCAGCCCACGTCCCACATGCAGCACGGTCAGTAGGAGGTCCTGCTTAGCCAGGACCTTTAGTTTCCTGTTTGAGGGGTGGGGCAGTCGGAGGTGGCGCCCATGGGAAAGGGCCCTGGAAGCTCATGCGCTTCCCTGACCTTGCATCCGTGAAATCTCTGGGTCTGTTCCCCCAGGTGATGCTGGGGACCCCCCATGAAGGGATATCACTAAGGGACTGAGCCCCGAGCCTGGCGGTTTTAGAACAAAGTACCCAGCCAGTGGCAGCTGCTGCTAATGTCATTATCATCATCGACCATGAGGTTCTTGAGGATGGTGATATTATCAAGCTTCTTGCTTCCCCCAGAGCTTTCAGCACATGTAGGTGCTCATGGCTGTGAAACCCCTTCAGCAAATGGCTCCAGTGTGCCTACTGTGTGCCAGGCCCCGGGCCAGGCCCTGACAACGTCCTGAAACCAGGCAGATCACATCCCAGCCCCTCACTCGCCTGCTCTGTGACCTGACACGAGCTCCGGGCTCGCTGTGGCAGCAGGTGGCGGGGAATAACCTGACAGCAAACCCCCTCTCGGTTGCTGGTGAGATTCCACCAGATGAGGCCGCCCAAGAGCTGATCCCCTGACGGGTTCCCAGTCACAGGCTCGGTTCCTCGGGCGTGAAGCCTTGGAGATGCTGGCGGTTGGTGGGTGGTGCGTGATGTTGAGGACTGGGGCGGTAGCTGCTGTGAAGGGCTTCCCAGCGGCGGAGCTAGAGGACTGCGTCGCCCCCTCTCCCAGGGCTTCGGGACACGGATTGGCCTGGCCGGACGCAGGTGCTGCGGCGCGGGCCGCTCACCTGGTACCTGGACGGCGCGCACACCTCCAGCAGCGTGCAGGCCTGTGTGCGCTGGTTCCGCCAGGCGCTGCAAGGCCTGCGGCCGAGCGGGTGAGCTCTGGGCTGGGGCGGGGCCCGCAGGGGGAGGCGGGGCCTGGGCAGGCGGGCGGGCCAGTGGAAGGAAGGGCGATTTCTGGAAGGATTGAGTGGCCCCTGGGAAGAGGTGGGAGCCATCACACTGGCCCCGCTCCGGTTCTTGCAGCGGACCTGAGGTGCGTGTCTTGCTCTTCAACTCCACCGGGGACCGGGATTCCGCCGCCCTGCTGAAGCTGCTGCAGGTGGGGTCGGCTGCCTCCGCCCAGCCCCCTCCTGGCTGTGTGACCCCCAGCACTGCCTCATCCTGAGCCTCTGTCTCCCCAACTGTAATAAGATCTGGTTCCCTGCACCCCTGAGTTGTAAAGATGATGAAATGTAAAAGCATCCGGCTCCTGGGGAGGCGTAGTCGTGGGCCATTGCCCGCATTCTCCTCCTGGGTCAGACTCGAGTCCGGCATGGCGGTGTGTTCGGCACCTGAGCCCGAGCCCCTGACCCGACCCTGACCCAGACGTGGCCGTCCTCCAAGCCTCAGTTGCAGCGTTGTAAAATGGGATTGCTGCTCAGGGTGCTTGTGTCTTAAGTTCTTTCTAAGGAGTGCCTGGCCTATAAGGGTGGGGGGAGTCTCCGGAGTTGGGAGAATGTATGTGGGCTCAGGGGGTGCAGTGTGGAAGTTGGGGTGAGGGGCATCCTCTGACACCAAGCTTTCCCCTTGGCCTCCCAGCCCTGCCAGTTTGACTTTGCTGTTTTCTGCCCTAACCTGACAGAGGTGTCCTTGGCTGGCAATGCAGGTGAGAAGTGACAGGTGTGGCACCTGGGGGCAGGGGGCAGAGCCAGACTGCTCTCCTGGGCCTCCAGCACTGGAGGTCTGGGTGGGAGGTAGATTTGTTTTACTGTATAAACTTTGGTACAAAATTTTGAAATTTTGTGCCATGTGACTGCAACACTGCAAAAGGATTATCAGGAAACTGTTTCTCAGAATGCAGGCTGCAACCCACTGATGGCTCTTGGAATCACTTTAGTGGGTCACAGCCAGTATTTTTCATTTTAAAGGAAATAGAGAAGTTCAGTATGCCTTTTATAACTGTACTGTTCCAGCCCCTCCCCCGTGTGTGTGTGTGTGTGTGTGTGTGTGTGTGTGTGTACACGTATACATCTATATGTATATTTGTGTGCTCTAGGTTGTCATTGTAAAATGTGCTTTTTTACCATGGGTTACCTTCAAAACAAAATAGTGTGAAAATACAGATTCCCAGGTCCTACAGCAGCCGTAGGGGGGAGGGGTGGCTGTCCAGGAACCTGCATTTCTAGAAAGACTTATGCCCGCCTGGTGATGGGCCCAGCTGGCCGTCATTTGGCATGTGAAGGCAATGAGACGAGGACAGGAAGGTGAGTTCAGTGGGCAGGAGCCCCAGCTTTGAAGCTGGCCCCTGCCGCTCACCAGCTCTGACGGTGAGCAAGTCCCTGGTTTCTTCTGAGCCTGTTTCCCCAGACTGTCCACTGTGAGCCCCAATGATCATGGAAAGCGCCTCCAGTGAAGCTGGTGCTCAGCACCCCCCACCATCTGTGCCCATTCCCATGCCCCACAGATCAGCAGAACTTCACAGTGACGCTGGACCAAGTGCTGCTCCGCTGTCTGGAACACCAGCAGCACTGGAGCCGCCTGGATGAGGAGCAGGCTGACCTGGATCTCTGGAGCACCCCCAGTCCAGAGCTAGGGGGACCTGCGCCCCTGCGCCTGGCACCCCGCCCACCCCACCCCCATAGCACCAACTCCCTCGTCTTCAGCTGCATCTCCCATGCCTTACAGTGGATCAGCCAAGGCCGGGACCCCGTCTTTCAGCCACCTGGTCCCCCGAGGGGCCTCCTGTCCCACCCTGTGGCAGACAGTGGGGCCAGCGTGCTCCGGGAGGCGGCGGCCATCCAGGTGCTGGTCACCGGGAGCCTGCACCTGGTGGGCGGTGTCCTGAAGCTGCTGGAGCCCTCCCTGTCCCAGTAGCCATGGGGCTGGAGGCAGGAGCCTCCCACACCTGCGCTGCGTTCTCTCCATGAACTGCTGTATTAGGTGCCTTTTGTTTTCTGATTTCCTGGTTCTGTCTGGACTGGCCCAGGGTCCCGGGCTCTGGACAGAAGAGTAGCGGCCGGGGGTGGGAGGCTGGGATGGGAAATCCTCTGTCTCTCAGCTAGGATGCCCTTGGCCTCTCCTTCCTCCCCGCTGAGACAGGCAGGGGCTTCCAGTCCTGTGGCGGCTGCTGCAGGAGCCCTGCCCGCCAGCCTCTGTCCCCTCCGGCCCCACCTGCTTCCTGGCCCAGACCCAGCTTATTGTGTGGGCCGCCTGGCCGGGCGGGGGTCCTGCCGGTGCTGGTTGACAGATTTCCTCCTCGCGGTGGCCTTCTGCGAACAGAGAGGGCCCTTGCTTGGGGCCCCGTGGGGACAGAAGGTGACTGGAGCAAATTAAAGCCTTTAACATTTTTTATAAAGAAGGGTGGACTCTTGACCTCTACCTCCCTCCGCGGACAATAGGGGAGCGGGGGCTGCAGCTGGTCCAGGAACTGGATTGTGTAGGAACCTGGGCTGTGAGGCTCCTGCTGAGCCTCAGCTGGCCTGTCTGTGAAATGGGAGGCTGGAGGATGTGCGTGACCACAGCCCAGGCGCCACCCTGCAGACCCACAGGGACCTTGTATGGAGGAGTCTCGTGCCCATTTTGCAGAGGAACTGGCTGAGCTTAACGAAGCCGCGAGCTGCACAGTCACAGCCAGTCAGTGGCAGGTCCAGGGTTTGAACCCATGGCTGTCCCCTGCCCCCCAGCTTGAGGTGCCCTCACCTTCTCCCAGCCCAGCACTAGTTTCATGGTCTGATTTATTGGTGGTGAGTATATAGGGGTGGGCCCAGCACTGGCACCTGGCCACTCCCCACCTGCTGCCCCATGGGCTGGGAGGGGGGTGGCCTCCAGATCACCCAGGCTTCTGTTTCCCCCCCAGAGTTGTGCCAGTCCAGGTGTGGGTGCCGAGGGGGACCAGATCCCAGTGCCCTGGGCCGATCCACTGGCCCGGGCAGGAGGCGCTGATGGCCTGGCTGGCGGTGCAGAGTCTGTTTGGAGTTCTCGCCTCCTGCCCAGCCCAGGTCACTCAGTGCTGGGTCCGGGTTTAAAAAATGGCAGGGACTTGGGTTTCTACAACAAAGTGGACATACGGGGCAGTGGTCTGTCTCTCCATGATCCTGGGCAGCTGCACTCCAGGCCCACTGGGTTTGAAGGTTGGGTGGGGTGGGGTGGGGGGACCCCAAGGTCTTCCAAGCTGGTGCCCCCGCCGGCAGCAGACCTCTGCGAGGGAGGCAGGAGGAGCGGGCACAGAGGCAGGTCCCTCTCGGTCGAGTGCAGGGGCTTGGACCCTGGGGCGAGTTCATGAGCCGTGGTCCCCAGCGGGTGGTCGCTCAGTCTCCTGGCGGGTGAGGGCTGGCTGGGCGGCCCCCGGGGCTCTGGGCCCGTGCTACGCCATGCTGCTGGTGGAGCAGGGGGTGCTCTGGGTGCTGCCGATGCTGTGGTTGGTGCTGCTGCTCTCGGAGGAGGCCGGGGCAGCCACCGCCACCACGGGCTCCCGCTTGCCAGGGGGACCTGGGGGCAGGGGCGGAGGTCAGGGCCCCGACTCGGGCTCCCCGCTCCCCCAGAGGCTGGGCTGGGCTCCCCCAGGTGGTGGTGGTGGTGCAGCGGTCCTGAGCACTCACTGGGGTGGCCGGGGATACTCACGCGTGTGCGAGTAGATGCACCAGAGTGCAGCGGTGAGCAGGGCCCCGATGAGGAAGGCGCCGAAGGTGATGCCCAGCACGGCAGGCAGGACCAGGGTCTTGCCTGTGCAAGCAAGCGGAGCGCGGCCTGGATCAGCCCCTGCCTCCTCCCCGGCCCCTTGCCCTGCCGACTGGGCACAGGCTGGGCACCAGGCCCAGCTCAGCCACCGATTCTGGCTTCTCGGAGCTGGTACACTGGTTTTCCGTGCCCGCGGCTGGCACTAGCTGTGGTCGCTCTCGCGTCTGCCCAGAGGCCCGAGCCGGCCTCCCGAGGCGGAGGGCGCGTTTTCAGGGAGGAGGGAGGGCGTCGTGTAGGCAGAGTGGGGGCGCCGGGTCCGGAGCCCGCCCGCCTCCCCGTGTGACCTCAGCCCCCTGCGCCTCTGAGCCCCGAACCCTGCTAGGGAGCCAGGCGCCTCCGAGGGCTCTCCAGCTCTGCCCTTGGGTTTTGCCAAGGCTCGTTCCTTTCACCCTGCGGGCGGGCAGCCTCCCCTGGCCCTCTGCGTGCCCCTCTGCAGCGGGCTTCTCAGCCCTGCTCTCCCGGTCACGGGACGCCCTGGCCCTGGGGAGGCGGCCACCAGGCAGGTGCCCCCACTTCTGCGCCCAGAGCCAGGGACCTTAAGGAGAGGCCAGCACCACTCTCAAGGTGACTTCCGCCCATTCAGGTCTGGTCTGGAGGCCCCAAGCCCCCGACAGGGTCAACCTGCAGCCGTGGGGATGGAGGTGCCCGAAGTGCGGCATCCAGTCCCGCAGGCGCTCGCGGCGAAGGGGCCGCTGGGAAGGCCCGCTGCCCCCCCCCTCCCGGGGCAGCTTGGCCTCGGCCCCACCCGTCCAGCCCCTGGCGCCCCAAGAGACCCAGAGAGCTTACCAGGCATGCCGGGGCTAACGATGTTCAGGCGCATGGAGGCAGTCCTCTGGGTGTCCTGGGGAGGAAGGGAGAGCTGTGTGTGGCACCGCCTACAAGGAAGCTTCCGGGTGTCCCCCCCCCCCCCGGCTTGTGGCCCTGGCCTGTCACTGCCGCCCTGGGACCGTGGCTTTAAAGTCACTCTAATACTTTGTAGCTGGGAGCCTTTGAGCAAATCCCGGGAGGTCCGGGCTATGGCAGGGTGTCGGGCGGACAGTCTACGGCTGTTACTGGAATGTCATCTGAGTTCCATGTCTCCTCCCCTGAGGACTGTAGGGGTTCTCTGCACTGTACCCATCACCCTTGGGAACACCTTAGAGCCAGCTTGGCCCGGAGGCTCAGGCCCACTGCGGCTGAGGGAGAGGCCCGCTCAGGAGTGGCCCCGGTGGCTTCTCGAGGGCCAAACCACCGGGGAGAGGTTTAATCCTGCGGCACCTTCTGCGTGCATGGGCCTGGGAGGACCAGATGTGTCCAGGCCTCAGGACGGGAGCCCCGGCGCGGTGAAGTGTCACGGCCGGTAAATGCAGAAAATCAGAATACTGTATCCTCTGTCTTAGAACGCTTTCTTGAGCTCTCCGGTTCATTGAGATTACACTGGAGATTCTACTTCATGGATAGATGGAGGATGGGGTGGCGTGGTGGACAGAGATTGGGCAGATGGGGGACTGGGTGGCAGGTGGATGAAGATGACTGGATGGATGGAGGGTGGATGGAGGGGTGGTGGTGGATGAGGGTGAGGTGGTGGGTGGCTGGCAGTAATGTAGAGATGGGCCGCAGATGGGCTGCAGGACGGTTGCAGATGCATATCCAGCCAATGTCCAAGCACAGCGGAGCCAAAGGGAGGCTACAGAGCGGCAGATGGCGTGCCCCTGGGAGCCAGAAGCCACACACCTGACTGGTTTTCCCCTCACCCCTGGTCCCGCCACTTCCTGGGCTGTCATGTCCTTCCTTGGAAATCCCAGACTCATAAGCCACCCTTGAAGCTGGGTCTGTCCCAGGCCCCACTCACCAGAGACCCGTCCCTGTGACGCAGGGCTATGACGCAGCTGAGGGTGCCCGTCGTGGGTGTGGGCACCATGTAGCCGCGGAGGAGGAAGCTGAAGCGCAGGTCACCCTCAGGGCTGGGGGACAGCAGGTTCACACAGCTGCCCTTGGCCGCCTGGTTCTGGATGAGTTCGACTTTGTCTGCCTCGGGCCCCAAGTCTAGCTGGCAGCTGTCCAGGTGGAGGATGAGCTCAGGGAGCGGTGAGGACATGCTCACCTGCAGGGGAGGTAAGGTGGGCGAGGCGCGGTCAGTTCTTCTCAACCCTGGACCCTACCTGGCTCGAGAAATAAACTTGGTCCATTCTAGAGTTACTGCCGCCGGGCCCTGGGGGTGCGGGGACAGGCTTGCGGGGCCTGCCTGGAATAAATGAGGAGGTGACCTTCCAGTCTCAGCTTGGCCTTTCTCTCCACACCTCCCTGCCCCATGCTGGCTCCCCCCTCTCTTGGAAAAGTGAAATTCTCATCTCTGTACCGATGCGGGGAAGAAAGGCTCTGAGGTGCCCCAGCAGTCAGGGTGAAAGTGAGGGCCATACCTGCACAAAGCCCTGCTGGCCCAGCTCGATGGTGTGGGACGTCTGCAGGAAGTGCGGACTGAGGTAGAGGCCCAGCTGGAAGGAGACGTGCTCCAAGGTGATGCAGTGCACCTTTTTCTGTGGGGGCGGGAGGGAGAGCTGGTCGGTCTGGGAGGTCCCGGCCAGGAAGGTCGGGGTGGGGTGGGGGCAGACGTCATGGCCAGGTGTACCCAGAGCCTCACCCTCATCTGCACCTTTAGAAAATAAACCAACTAATACTTATCAGAACTCACTGTGGCCCAGGCCTGTGGGAAGTGCCTTCCATGTGTCATCTCGGTGACTGCTCGTAAGCAGCCCCACTGGGGGCGGGGGCTCCTTTCTTATGTCACTACTTATGGGCATGATCTTGGGGCCCGGGAAGCCTAAGTGATTTGCCCAGGGCCACAACTGGTGTGTGCCAGAACCCTCTGTCCTGAAAGGCTGAGAACAGAACCCTTTCTGTCCTGCCCCCATTGTACAGAAGGGGAGACTGAGGCATGCAGGAGCCACGAGGGTGGCCAGGATCAGAGTGTGAGTTTCCTGAGGGCTGCTCCCGCCCAGGCCAGGAAGGGGCCCCAGAACCCTGGACCAGGTGGTCAGCACAGTGTCATCCATCTCACCCGCTGCGGTGATGGGCTTGTCAGGAGGTGGACGATCACCTGCAGGGGCAAAGTCAAGGAGCTGGTCAGAGCCAGAAAGGACTGCGGAGCTTCCCCCAGCACCCCGGGTTTACGGATGGGGGTCTGAGCCAATCACTGGCTGTTTGTCTTCCTACTGAGCCCCACGCGCCCTCCACCCCACAGCCTGGCCAATCAAGGCAGCACCTGGAGGGGGTGCCCCACCTGGAGTGGGGGCCATCTCAGGTGCGTGAGTACCTCTCCCCACCCGGTTCTCACCTCATTGCTGACCATGTTTTCCGTCCCTTGCATGCCACAGTTGGAGTAGGTGCTGTGCAGGACGAGCTGACCGTCTCTGTCCTCAGCCTGGCAGTTGGGGTCTGAGAAGGTCAGGCTGCTGATGGTACACCTGAGGGTCTAGGCCGGTGGGGGGGGAGGCACTATCAGGAGGCGCCCTTACCCCAGCACTGAGGACAGCCCCTACCCCAGGAGTCCTGAATCAGTCATTTCATCTGTTCCTCTACCTGTTTCTGTGATCTTGTTCTCCTACAAGATTCAACACGTTTCCTGAATATGACTCACTTTTGTACTTAGCCTTGTCCTAAGCAAGAAGAGTTTGATTTGCTACTTACTGTTTTTCTTCTATCATATGTGAAAATAAATCCGAAACTATTAATCTCATCCAAGTTCTAGATACAATCATCACTCAGTCCCAAGGGCATGCAGCCCCATAATCCAATCTCAGAACCATGGACTTTTGGAGCTGGGCCTGGGGATCTTCCATCAAAGAGCAGGATGGTGAGTATATTAGGCTTTGAGGGCGATGTGGTCTTGGTCATCCCAGCCCCAGAGCAGCAATAGACAATGTGTACATGAAAAGGTGTGGTTGTGTGCCAATAAAACTTTATTTACAAAAACTGGCAAAGGGCCACAGTTTGCTATCTCCTGTCTTAGAAGAATCAAATTTTAGAGTTTTTCGGTGATATTCACAATCACAGAATCTTCAGAGTTGAGTGGGTGGTCAGAAGTCCTACTTGAATCCAGCTGACTCACTCCTCTAAAATGCCATCCCTGACCATGGCTGCCTCCCTCCACCCCTACCCCCACCACAAGCTGCCCAGGTCACTTTAGGAGACATCGATCCACCAAATAAAAAGGGTTCTGGGTAAATCCCCAGTGACTTGAGGGTCTGGTATTCAAACTCTACACACTGACCACATCTTACAAGTGGACAGGAGGGCAGTACACTGTGATTGCAATAATCTGTTCAGGCCCTTTTCTTTGTTTTCTATACAGACATATGTGTTCAGAGAAATGTGTGAATTTGTCTTTCCTTTTTTTTGTATTTTATCAAATGGTATCATGATTACTAGCCTTCATGCCATGGCTTAGTTTTCTCACTGAACAATACATACATATCTTTCTGTGTCTATATTTATAGATCCAGCACACTCTTTTTACCTGCACTGTAATGTTCCAAAGATGGATGATGGCAGTGGGACTGGACAGCAGTAATGCAGACCATCGCCACTCACTACCCCACCTCTTCCACCTCCCTGACATGTGCTGGGCCAGGCACAGGCAGAAGGTGAAGAGAGATGGGCCTCAGAGGGGGTGGGGCTTCATAGAGGTCCCTCTACCCCCACACCCAAAACTTCCACATGGACTTAACCACAGGGTTAAATGCCATTCTGAAAATCTCTGAGAACATGAAAGCTTTGTCAAGACTCTGGAGAGAGATCTCCTGCCTCAGAAAGACCAGGAGAAATTACAAAGGGGGGAGATAGGCAGTTGGGATGGCCCAATATTTTCAGACGTCCAAAAAGTTAAAAACGACTGTAGGCAAAATGTAAAGAATTCTAACCCACCAGGAGAAATGATTTCAATAAGAACGAGGGACAAAGTAAACATTTTTGTCTTTATGCAAAAATTTTAAAAAATGGATTAAAAATCATGAAGAAAAATACCAAGCCACAGAGATCAAGAGCCTTGCGTTCTTATCAGTCACTTGGAGCCAGAGCCACGCCCACACTCCTAATCACCGGAGTATAAATTGCAAGAATGGAGCAGGCATTCTACCTCCCACACTGGCAAAGTCTTCCTAAAACAAAAACAAGAGTCTGCAGGGGGTGGGGGGATGGGAATCAAAGTGCTCCCATAAATCAGCAGTGAAAATTAGAGTCATCTTTTGGACAGTGGATTGGCAGCATGGATCAAAGCTTCCAGAATGTTCGGTCATTCTGACCCAGTAACCTCACTTAAATAGGACTCTCTGTTCTATGAAAATAATGCTTTGTGCAGAAACTGTTCATGAACGATCACATTTTCTGCATCTTTATAACAGAATGGGAAGCAACCTGAATGTGGAGCCAGGGAGGGTTCACCTGGGGTGAACCTAGGATGGGCCCTGTGTGCTAATTCAACACGATCCCAAGCACACCTGTCCAGGTTCCAGAACCACGCTGCGAGTGGAGCAGGAGCTGACTAGCGTGCCGCATACAACCACACCGTGCAAGCAGTACCCAAAGAAACACACTAGCGTGTTGGGAGCCAGTGTCTACAGGTGGAGAAACTGAGATTTTCCTCTTTTCTAATTTTTTCCACATGTTTTTAAAGCCTGGATTATTTTCTCACAAATATCGTTGTTCTTCCACCAGCACATTTAGGGTCAACAGTGAGGACACTGGGGATCCACTGACTGAGCACTTGGGAGCCCCGTCCGGCTCTGGGTCAGACGGTACCTGGACCCACCACGTGGTAGGAGCCATTCTCAACCCTCCTCCAGGTGGGGCAACGGGCCTGCAGAGGGCTGTAGTTTGTCCCCCAGCCTGGGTTCTGCCTCCATGATTGCTGGGTCAGAGGAGGAAGCAGCCGCCATGTCAGGCGGACAGGAGTCTCCCTTACCATGATGAAATATTTATTGAGTTCCAGAGTCATGGCGTCGTCAGAGCACCTGGGCTGGATGAGGGACAGAAGCAGCTTCTGGTCACAGGTCTCCCTGGGAGGGGTAGTCTGGACCGGGGTGGGTGAGGTGGCCAGTGCGCCGCCTGTGGAGTGGCAGAGGGGGCCAGGCGGACAGTCTGAGTGCCTCGGCAGCGAGCTACTCTCTTGTCCCCAAGTTGCAGGTGAGGCAAATGGAGCTCCCAGGGGTTCCTACAGCAGCCAGGCAGTTCTCGCTGCCAGGTGTGGCCGGCGACGCCAGGAGGGGCCAGGGAAGGGGGCTGGACACTCACCGCAGCTGTGGGCCTGCAGTGAGATGGCACTGGCCATAGGGAGCTCCACGAAGGACGCCACCACGCTGGCGTTGAGCTTCCGGGCCTCCCCCAGCAGGCCTTGGGGGGTGTCTGGGAGCACAAAGCCAAGGATGTTCTTCTCTGGAAAGATCTTGAAGGAGTATTCACCAGTAGTCTAGAGACAGGGAAAAAGCAGTCAGGGGTCACCACAGGCCAGCAGGGGGCCTGCCAGGCCTCCTCCTGCTGCTTCCTGCTGCTTCCTAGGCAGTCCTTCCCTTCAGCGACTGGCTCCGATTTGTCCTTCAACTCAACTTGGGGTTCATCTCGCCAGGAACCTTCTCTGACCCTATGGGCTGTGTTAGGGGCCTTCCTAGGAGTTCCTAGAAGGCTTCCTGGAGGAGGTGCCATGTAGGTGTTGTGAGGGAAGATTAGGTGGTGCCCAGAGGGAGAGGGTGGGGTGGAAGGATTGTCATGTTCAGGATGGGGTGCTGAACAAGTTGAGTTCTTGGGAAGGCTTGGGTTGGCTTGCCCTGGGCTGTCTGGGTCTCAGCAAGACTCACCCAGATTTGCATGTTGTGGTTGGCGTCGATGAGCCAGGACACATAGCGTGGCCCCTGCAGGATGAGCACAGCGGAGCTGGGGTCACCAGAAGCGCAGCTCAGCTCCACCTTCACGGTCACCGTCCTGGGCCTGCGAGGGGGGCTGCGGGCGGGGCGCAGACCGCCATGTCAGTGCACGTGGTAACGCCGGGAGGACCAGGACCAGGCCTGACCAAGTCCTTTCGGGGTGGGACATGGGTCCTTGGGATGGGCGTGGGGATGTGGTGGGGCACCGAGCCAGGTGGGGGAGACCGTTCTCTTTCTAGGCCAGGGGTGGGGCTCAGACGGGGTGGGGGGGTTGTGCTTAACAGGGGACTGGGTCATGTGGCCGTGGGCAACGTTACCTGCCCTCGGGGCCGGGTAGGACCCTCAGGATATGTGCCTCCTTGTGGCCGGCCACACCTTCCAAGCGGCAGCCCTGGACCAACGGCCCGGAGCGCGGCTGCCATTGGAGCGTGTGGCCCATGTCCGCGAGAAGTTCCGGGGTGCAGGCAGACGGCGAGCCCTGGGCTGTGGAGACAAGCACACTCAGCGCGCTCCCGAGCAGCTGCTCCTGACCCCGAGCCCCACAGTCACCCACAGTCAGCAAGCCAAGGGCCATCAGAGGGCCGGGTTGCCCACCACCCCACCCCGATTCTTCATGCCTCAACACAGGGTTAACACCAGGGAGGCGCCCTGGGGCACGTTAAGGGTGCAGCCTGCACCACCCACACAGCCCCTCACTTTCAGCCTCCTTCCAGCACTTGCCACCACCAGAGTGAGGTCCTGTCTTATCTGCGTGCATACTTGCCACCTCTGCACCAGCGACAGCTCCCGAGGGTAGGGTCAGGCCTGTCCCCCAGAGTTCCCAAGTGCCTAACATGGGGCTTGGCACATAGTAGGTGCACAGTAAATGATATAAAAGTGCTGTTTTCCTGGGTCAGTTTTACTTGGCCCACCTAGCACTGGGTAATGCTCTCCCAGCAGAGCACTGGCTGCTGTGTGTGCTCCCCCTGGGAGCCCCAGTGTCCCCATCTGAGTGGTGTGGGACAGAGGAATTCAGATTGCTCCAGAGCTGGGTCCTGAGCAGGAGAGGCTGACCTTGATCCAGACGGATGAGGATGATGCGAGGGTCATTCAGTTCAGCCACAGAAACGACAGGCCCCCTGGAAGCCGCCCAGTGGAGGAACTCGCTCTTGCTGGTTAAGGGCGGGAGCTCTGTGATGTTGATGCTTGATGGATCTTGGAAGATGACCAATTTGGGGTTCTGGGGAGACATATGGAGGCTCAGGACATTCTCCTTGGGCCCCAGTCCCTTCTGTCCCAGGCCAGAGGTCACTGGGGAGGCAGCCAGTTGGCTGAGAGGAAGAAGCCAGGGCTGAGAATACTGAGGCTGGTGAACCTAAAGGCAACTCAGAGCCAGGCCCCCCAGAACCAGGTCTGCCCCTTCTCCTGCCACGCCGGGGGAGGGGCTGGATACACACTCACCCACGCTCATCCACCAGTGCAGACATCACCCAGCCCTGCACCAATCCCATTCATTCAAGCCACATTGACGACGTCATGTGACTCCCCCACACTGTGAGGGTCTATGAGACAAGGCCTGCTTTGCTTAACACATAGTAGGTGCTGGGATTCTGACATGTTGGCTTCACCCTGACATCTGACACATGGCAGGCCCTCACTGCACATGGGATGGAAAGAAGAAATGGATGACTACGTGAATGAATGAACGAATGGATGAATGAATGACAAACCAGATGGACCCTGCACTGGGGCATCTTTCAGTCCACTAGCCACACATCAAGTTACTTGAAACAATGGAAGACAGTGGATATCATTTAGTAAGCGACAAAGGAGCAAGATAAGTCCCCTGGGTGGACAGGGATGGGAACCTGCGTGGCTCCAGCACCTCACAGCTTCCCCTCCCCAAGCCTAGGAGAGACCCAGTTGGACTTGGGGAAGGAAGCAAGGAGGACTTCCTGGTGGAGGTGTTCTGTTGAAGCCCAAGTGATCAGCAGAAGCTCTTGGGGTTGTGGACTTCAAGTTCCTTTGCATTCTACCTCCAAATTCAGGGGCATTGCTCTGAAGCACCAGGAATAGCAGGATTGCCTGAATGTGGCTGTGGTGGACAGTCCACTAGAATGGAGCTGGATTTAAAAGAGACAGCAGAGTGTGGAGATTTCTGGACCTACTAAACATAGAGCTTCCATACGATCCAGCAATTCCACTCCTAGGTATTTACCCAAAGGACACAGAAACATCCATTCCAAAGAGCACCTGCACCCCTATGTTTATAGCAGCACTGTTTACAATAGCTAAGCTTTGGAAACAACCCAAATGCCCAAAAATAGATGACTGGATCAAGAAGATGTGGTACATATACACCACGGAATATTACTCAGCATTCAAAAAAGATAAACACATGCAATTTGCAGCAACATGGATGGCGCTGGAAGGGATCATGCTCAGAGAAATAAGCCAAAAAGAAAAAGAAAAATACCGGGTGGTCTCACTCATAGCAGGAATCTAGAAAACTTAAATAAGGGACCAGGAAAATGAATAACTATAAGAAAGTGAAAATCAAAATCAACAAAAAACTATGAACCAGAGACACTCTATGGGAGGTAGGGGTCGGGAGGGGAGGGATTGGGGTCAAAATAAGGGGGTTGCAATTGTATGGGGAATATAAAAATAAAATTTATTATTAAAAAAAAAAAAGAGAGACAGCAGAGTGGTGAGCCCTGGGAGAAAGCCAGCCCATGAAGGAAGGGCTGGGACAGTGGTTTAGAGCTGGGGGTAAGGTTGGGGATGGGGGTGCTGTACCCAGCCTGACTCTCAGGGTCATCATCTGTAAAATGCGGATGTAGCAGAGATTAAAGGGTCAGGCCTCTGTCATTGGCCTGGCGCTGGGCAACGCCCCCAACCAGGCTGTGACCCCTAGAGGCCGCTGCTCTGGAAGCAGAGTTGTGCCCTTTTGCAGCTCTGATAATGCCCCCCACCCACCCCAGGTATTAGCCCAGGAAGGAGTGTGCAGCCCAGGCCTGTGCTGTGGCTGCCGTGACCTTCTGTCCCAGCCGGCGTGTGGGTTTCATGTTCGTTGTGTCACTCAGGGCCTCGGCAGGCTCAGATTGGGCAGGAGGGCCGGAAGAGGAAAGGGGGGAAGAGCTGAGGGGCAGGAGGAGCCATGAGAATTTGATGCCCCCACCCTGAGCGCCAAGGCAAGAGCCCATGGGTCGGGCCTCCTGGTTGGCCTTAGCCTCTCCCCGCAGCAGGCTTTCATGCTGGTCATTTCTGTCTGTGCCTTCCCTGCCGCTGGTCTGTCCTGGGTCTGTCCCTGCTAGCCCTGGCCCGGGGCCTGTCTGCACGGCCCAGATCCCCTGCCTCCTGTCCCCTGGTGGCTGTCCCTGTGGCCTCCCTGAGTGGCCATGTCCCTCCCACAGAGGCCCGCTTTCTTTTGGGTCCCATTTTTCTTTCTGTGTCTCTCTGCCTTGCTATCCCGGCTCTTCCCTACCTAGCTCTCTCCCCTCCAGCCTCCGCTGTCTGGGCTGTCAATGGCAGCTGCTCACACCTGGGGCACCCTCCAGGCCGTCCACGGGGGCGCGGGGGCAGTGCACACATTCCACCCACCGCTGCTTGCTCCTTGCCGTGGGTCCCCAACACTGATCTCCTCGCTCTGGTGACTGTGCCTGACACTTAAAACGTGAGTTTCTTACAAATCATGTTCTCCACTCTTAGGCCCTGTTAGAGCCAGCCTTGCGAATCCAACAGTGTAAAGACCGAAGCGTGTCTCTCCTAGTCCACCCCCAGCTGTCACACACGTGAATACCTATGTCGCTAGGTTTCCGCCTGACCCTTGTCCTCTGTACTTAAATATTTTTCAAATTTTGTCTTGTAAGTTCTTCCAAAGACAGTGACAAGACTATTTTATGGACTGTCCTCGAGTCCAGTTCTCCCACTGGACATTCGGGAAGACGGAGGCCATGCGTGAGGTCTGCAGTCGGCCAGGGTTGCGAATCAGCCTGACTCCCACGTCTGGGTGTGGGCTCTTTACCCCAAGCACTGCTGCCTTTGGGTTCCCTCTAGTGGGGCCTCGTGGGGTCCAGGAGGGACCCTGGGGTATAACGCCCACGTGAGAAAGAAAAGCAGGGCCCTTGGGGGCAGGAGATACGGAGCCAGAGATGTGGGCAGCAGGGGCCTGCCCCAGTGGCTGCAGGTGGGAGATGACTCACCGAGGCCAGGTAGAGCGGGATCCCGGGGGCCTGCAGGTGCAGGAAGACGGTCTTGCTTAGGACGAGGACCAGAAGCACCTCTCGGGGCTGGGTTCCCTCTTGCTGGGCTGTCTCCAGGGTCAGGTTCAGCTCCAACACATCCTGGGGGGAGACAGGGAGCACACACGCCACTCAGACTGGCGCAGGCACCAGGGGGACTTCTTGGTGGAGGGCTCTGTTGAAGCCGCAGGGTCGGGGGAAGCGGTGCCACCCAAATCAGTAGTGAGGACTCAGTGACCGCCCCCTGGCTCCCCAGACCCAGCAGAGCACATGGCCCCAGGGGGAATTGGGAAACAGTAACTGAGTGAATGGAGGGCATTCATCCCAGAAAAATCCAGAGATGGAAAAAAAAGCCAGAGCCTGAGCAGTCCACGCAGGCCTTTCCACGGAGTCCCCGTGGGCTGAGCAAACAGGACTGAGCGTGTGTGTGGCTCCAGGAGCGCCCTGCGCCCTGCATCCCATAGCGCTGAGGTACCAGCCCTCCGCGCTTGCAGTGTTCCCGCTGCCCTTACTAATGTGCTAAAGTGGGGGCCTCTCTGGTGGCGCAAGGGGTTAAGTTGTAGCACTATGAAACTGTCCCGCAGCCACTGCAACATGACTTCAATCCCCGGCCAGGGAGCTACCCACATGGTGCAGCAGACCTCTCCTGTCTCCCCGCTGCTCCCCTCAGCAGTGTATTTCAGTAGATCTGCCTGTTCTGCTCCCCACTCTGTCTCTGGTGAATCCTCTCACCCCCTGCACCTCTGGCCTGTACCCCAGCTCTTGTATGCATAGATAAATAAATCTTAAAAAAAAATAAAGTGCTAAAGTGCCATTGGTTGCTATGACGCCATCCCTTTGCTATCTATATGAATGCGAAGCTGAACTCATTTGTCTTAAGAGGGCCTTGATGCGTTAAAACTTGAAATCTCTCACGGTGTGTGCACTTAGAATGTTTCACAACCAAACAACAATAATATCTGACACATATTCTGCTTGTGTGGTCAACCCAACTGGTGCCTGGCCCTGTGCTGAGCTCTTGCCAGGATGGCGCTGAGCTTGATATTTTACCCTCGCGACAACCCTGAGGGGCCAGGTTCTCCCCTACAGAGAGAACATGACTGTTTACAGGTGAGAGGGGACTGTTTACAAGGCAGAGAGGGGACGTCTGTGCCCTTTTCCTCTAAACTTCATATTTATTAAATAAAACACTTTAATATTTTTGAATCTATGTCCTGTGCCTTCTTCCAAAGTCAATGACAAGACGATATCATGGAATGTTCTCGAATGCAAGTCTCCCGCTGGACAGAAGGGAAGAAGGAGGCAGTGAGGACTGGACTCAGCCAGGCTTGTGCACCAACCTCACCCTCGCCTCTGGGTGTGGACTCTTCACACTCTGTTCCCTCCCCTGCTACCCTTTGGGGTCCCCCTAAGGGGAGCCGGAGGAATGCGGAGCTAGGATGTGGCCCAGGCGGGCCTGCACTCGCTACGCCAACACTGCCCTGCTGTATCCATAAGGCAAAGCCTCATATTGAAAGAAACTCTGTGCAGACAGAGCCTCTGCGTTCTCTGCACGCGAACAGGTGAAGCCCAGACAGGACCCGCCGCCCGCACACACGCGCGGCCAGAGACAGAAACACGGAAATGCAGCCCCAGCTGCTCTGAAGGCTGGCGGTCGCCACAGAGACCAAAAGCTGACACCCCCCCAACACCAAAGCTCCTCAAAGTTATCAAAAAGGAGGCCCATATTTCAAGACGAAGACATCAGTGGAAAGTTTTTGGATTTCACTTTTAATTATCTCCTGGCCTTTTCCCCAACGGAGGTCACAGAGCCAGAGAGAGAGTTTTGTAGCTGCTGGAAAAATCTGCCCAGAAATATTTCCGTTACTGGATAATTAGACCGTAATCACTCTTTGTCATTTTGCTCTTTAAAACAAAAGAGAGCAAATAAAAGAGGATTACAGTTTCAATGTGTCACCATTTTTATTCATTTTAGCGAGCTATTAATTTGCTTATTTTTGAATATTTTTATGCTAATTTATAGCAGAATAAGATGTGTTTTAAACTTGTGCTTGTGTAAGTTCACATTTTTGATTAACTGACTTTTTCTAATGGGTTTGCAGTTTGTGGTTTTCAAAATATCTTGTTTCAGCAATATGGAAAAAAAAAGGATGCATTCTAGACACTTGGAAAATTAAATGCTGCATTTCATGTCAAGTTTCGGTAAGATAAGGACAAAACCAAGGGCGGGTGGACGCTTTGTCCCAGCGCGGTGATGGCTATTTGAAAAAAGGGTGAAGGGTGTGAGTAACTGTGCCACCCGCGGTGGGGTGGGGGAGGCTGGGCACCGCTGACCCCCAGAATCTTTGAGTACGGAGCCTCCCTGGTCGTGTGCCACCAGCTTGAGCAACAGAACATGATTGCACAACTGTGCACACACTGAAACACTCAGCTGGACCCTTGAAATGGGCCAGTGTTATCACCATAAAGCTGTTTAAAAACAACAACTGAACGAGCAGCCATTTCCCATGGCTCAAGCCGATCAGTGCCTGGCCCAGTGCAAGTCTCCCCCAAAGCAGCTGAGACTCAGGGAGGGGGCCTGCTTAGGGGGCCCTGCTGCTCTTAAGCCCACCCCTGGGTTCACCACTGCCCAACCCAGAGGCGTGAGCTCAGCGACCCACACTCAGCGAGTAGATGAGTCCCGTGGCTTGGAGAGGCCACGGGGAGAGCCGCTGTCCCGGGAGGACTCCCACGGGCTGGGAGCACCGCAGGTGACAGAGAGCAGCTGGGAGCAGAGGCCTGGAGCTGGGAGGAAAGAGTCTTGTTACACCTGTTCCTGCTGCTGCCTGTTCCTGTCCCTGTTGATCTGTGCCTCGGTTTCCCCATCTGTGCAAGGGTGTAAGGCAGGGCTGGGGACCAATACTAAGTGGGCTCTGGAAAAAGGAAGTTAAAAGGCAGATGGGAAGTCGGGCTGGGGGTGAGGAGATTTGGGGTCATATGTTCCAAAGCTCACCCGCCAAACTCACCACTCAGTCGTCACCAAGTCTCCCCCCATGGAGCTGGGGGCTACACAGGGGCTGAGGCCCAAAGAGGGGTGGTTAGAGGCCAGAACCGCACAGCAAGTGAGCAGTGTGGAAACTCAGGGAGCCTGGAAAGCTGGGCTCTCTGATCCTGGTCTTAGGGCCTACCAGAGGCCAGCTGGTTACCAGAAAACGCTGTCAGGGTTTCCACAACAAACCTCCCCAAGCCTGCCCGGCCCTGACTCATCGGCACGGTCACTCACACGCACCCGGCGTCCCCGGCCCTCCCAGCCCGGAGCCCAGAGGCAAAACACGCCTGCCTGGCCCCCCAGCCCCCAGCAACCAGGCTTCTGAGTGGCATCCTGGGATCCCCGGGATGTCTGAGGTCGCTGGGCCACCCGCCCCTGACCCTGCTCTGCCACCTGAGCAGCCTGGGCCTGCCCGGCCCCTCCCTGAGCGGGTGGGTGGGAGACGGAGTTTCTATTTTTGTGCCAGTGTCCCACAGATGCCATTGTTGCGGCGGCGGGTGGCGGGAAGGGGATTTCGGTGAGGAGGTCCTAAGCACTAGTGGCCACTTATAGAAAACGGCTTCCAGCAATTCTTCTAGGAGTGGAGCCTTGGGGCTGCCTGCAGCCCCCGCCCTCCTAGGGCCAGGCGGGAGGCGGCCAGATCGGAGGCAGCCGCCCCTCTGTCCACGGGGGCACTCGGTGGGGACACACAGGCAGGGCGGTGGGGGCGGGGCCCAGCCAGACTGACCTGAGTTCAAAGGCGGGTGGGGTGGGTGGTTAACCTGTGACCCTGGGCGGTCACTGCCCCGCTCTGGGCCTCAGTTTCCTGGCCTGGAGAATGGGCTGAGCGGTACGCCCACTTCAGCCTTGGGTGGGTTCAATGCATTCTGCCCACAGAGTCCGGGCCCTGGCCTGGGACTGCTTCTTACCTCCCGTTCTCTCTGCCCGCCCAGAGGAGGGCCCTGGCTTGGGGCTGGGGTCGGGGGCTGGCGTGAGGTTGGGGAGCGGTTAGCTGCACCTCGCTGTGGCCTGCCCTCGTGGGGCCTCCGTCTGCCCTCTGTGGGGGAGGAGCTGGACCCAGTGATGTCCTCGTATCTTGTGAACCCTGGGTCCCCTCCTGCCCCCCAGAGGTCCCAGTGTTGGGCACTGGGGGGGTCGTGGCCTCCCCAGGAAGCCGCAGAGTGGGTTTCTAGAGAGACATGCTGCTTTCCCCAGCCGCAGCCCCAGGTGAGCCCACGCCATCCCCCCTCCCTAATTCAAGGAGGAGGCCAGCGCCGGGCCAGCCTGAGGCCTCTGTGCTTGGGAAGGGACACGGAGAAGGTACAGCTCTGTCCCCGGGCGCCTGGCAGGGAGCAAATGAACCCCCCAGACAACGGAGAGGAGCCGCAAGTGACACCAGTAAGTCCTGGGGCGGGTGATCAGCCAGCGCTTATAAGCAGGTATATTCTGCCCCCTCCTGCCCCCTCCTGCCCCCTCTTGCCCCCCTCCTGCCCGCTCCTGCCCTCTCTCTTTCTGTCTTCCCTTCCTTGCTCCTTTCCCTCTTTCTCCCCCTCACCCGCCCCTCTGTCCATCCGTCCACCCATTGATACTCGTCCCTGGACTGGCCCAGTGCGGGACACGGCGGGCCCAGCAGTGAGAGAGCCAGGCTTTCCTAGTATTTGCAAGGCCTGGGGTAAAATACAAATACAAATACAGCCCACACGCCTTCTCCCCACATACACGAATGACGACAACCCAGCCCGGGCACTCAAGTCCTGCCATGCCCGTGTTCTCCTTGCCTGCCCCCGGGGCTCTGGGCGCCTACTAGAGCCTACGTGCCCCCTCTAGAGGGCAGGACAAGGAAGGGCCCTGCCCAGCCCTGGAGGAGCCTGGCCGCTTGGGCAGGGAAGGCTGAGTGCTGGAGACCCAGGGCGGGGCAGGTGCCCATGGGCCTGTCTCTTTGGCCCAGCAGATTCCTCATCCCGGGGAGGGACGAGCTGGAAGGGGAGCAGGGAGGGGCCACTCACTGTGGGCCCCAGGCAGGCGCCCCTAGCCCAGGTCTGAGGGCTGGCACCGCCTTCCGCAGCCCTCACAACCCCCAGAATGATCTGGGGAACCCAGGGCCGCTCCCGGCCAGTGAGTCAGTGCCCGAGCTGGTGAGTTCCGTCTGCTTGGGGTGGGTGGGGTGCCTTCGATTCCCTGAAATTGCCCAGAAGTGGGGTGAATCAGTGGCTGCCCCAGCTCTGGTCTGCCTGCTGGAGGACAGCAGATTGGTGCCGTCGCCTGCCGGGAACTGCTGAGACACCAGGCCCGGGCTGGTTTCCTGTCTCCGCAGGTCAGGATGTGACCCCAGGCCCCCTCCCGGAATCCAGGCTCCGGCCTGCTCTTCGGGGACCAGAGAGACAGAGCCCCTGCCCCTGGCCCCCCGGCCCGTGTGCAAAGCCGCAAACCTCCCAACACCCACACAAGCACGCGTGCGCACACGCCCTCAACCCCGGCTCGTGGGTGCCGTCGCTCCTCTTCTGCCCACCCACAGGAAACCCGAGGATTCAGGCGCCATGCTGGGAAGGAAGGGGAAGCTGGTTCTCCAGGCCAGAGTTTGAAGGTGGCCCTAGGTCGGGGAGGATCCGGTGCGAGAACCCGCCAGCCACCCGCCCCGTTGCTGTTGCTGCCGCTGGCTGGGGTTCCTAGCCCCAGGCCTTGGCTCGTGCAGGGCCCCTGCCTGGATTGCCCCCAGCGTCTGTCTGGCTAGATGCTGGGAGCCTCCCTTTTCTGGCCCTTTTCTTCCAACTTCAGGGCTTCCTGGGGGAACCCCGTATTCTCCCGCGCCCCCACCATTGCCAACTCCATACTCAGTGCCAGGTCTGTTTTCTCTCTGCACCGCCAATGCCAACACAAGCTGGGCACAGAGCAGACAGCTGGTGAGGATGGGTGAGGGGGATGTCAGGCTGTTCTTAGGGGCTGTCTGGGGAGGACGTCCCTCCCCGGGAAACCACGGGTCCCTCAGTGTCCCGGAAGTGGGGTCTGGTGGGATCATGGGCGCAACCCTTGGGCAGGGAACCCCGGGACCAGAGGGGAGGCTCCCCACAGGTGCTGGCTGTCAGTTGCCCTCTTTGGGAAGGCGTTCGCGGCATCTGCCCGGCTACCTGGCAGGATGACCTCTGCGGGTCCAAGCAGCGGAGGGACGGGGAGGTGTTGTCGCACTGCAGGCCATGGAGCCAGGGCGCTCGCGCTGAGCCACGGCCCTGCGAGGCCAAGCACTAGCGAGAGCAGCTCCTGGCACCGGCGGCATCTCGCCTGCCCGTCCCCTGGACCCCCGCGGCCTCCTCGTGAGGTTGGTACTGACCTCACCTCCGTGTTTCTCTTGGGAAAGCCTGGACTTGGAAGCCAGCGTCCAGGTCAAAGACCGACTCCAGAACCCAGTTCTTAACCCCTGGGTCAAGGTCACCGAGAAGGTCGTTCATTCCTTTATTCTTGCACAGATTCCCCTGACCGTTACCCAGCGTAGGCCAAGCCCTGGGCCAGATTCTCATACTTCATGGCTTTTTGGAAAGTCCTGGCCTAAGAAATAGGTGTCTACTGGAGAGTGGGCAGAAGCCCCCTCTGCACGGCAGGAACTCTGTGAGGTGCTGGCCAGGGACAGGTCCAGGGCTGAGCCCAGGTCTCCCGGAACCCAGCTCTCTCCACCACCCCCTCAAACACCTCCCGCAGCCCTGGTGCTTGCAGCCCGGCTCCTGAATGAAAAGCAGATCCCGCCTGGACTGAGTTCTCATCTGTCGTCACGAGCTCTGGGATGACATGAGTTACACAGCATAAGGCCAGGCTGCCCACTATGGCCAGGGCCTTTCCACGTCCCCAGTCCAGGCCCCAAGTGAACAGTCAGCAACTGCCGCCTGCTCACCCCAACGCCACCCACTTCCCTGCCCCTGCGTGTCCCTACCCTCTGCTTCCCCACCACCTCCATAACCCAGTGAGTTCCAGACTGTCCTTTCTGCTGTTGCTCCCTCCAGGAAGCCCTTCCTTATCCCACAGCAGCTGGGTACCCCTCCCCTGTGCTCCCCAAGGATGCACCCATCATGTGGATCCTGCCTGGCTGCCTATACCTCAGACTGTCATAGACCTGGGCACGTGGTAGGGGGCATTGCTCTGACTCTGGCTGAAGTTGAGTGACTAGACTGGGGGGACCCCAGTCACCCAGTCACCGAGGGATCCGGGCATCAGAACAAACAAAATGAATGGACACGGGCAATCTTATTTTCCATATGATTACCAACCTTGAAAAAACTACAATGGCTCTGAGAGCCGCACGATATGTGTGGGCGCTATCTGCGGTTTGGGGGTTATCAAGGCCCACAGTCCTGGTGGCAGGCAGGGCGGTGGGGGGCAGGCCCCCCGATATTGGTGGTCTGGGCACCATCTTATCATTGCACAAAGGCAGGGCATTCGGGCGCAGGCTGGCCACACGTTCACCCTGGGCTCACACCGCAGTGTCGCTATCAGATCCCGAGGCAGCACGGCCAGAGATGGCCGCCAGCCCAGGCCCCGCACTGCCGAGCCCGGAGACCGCCGGGAGCCGGGACAGTCCGGCTCTGCTTCCCTACGTGTGGCTCCAGCCTGGGGCGTGTCGCTTCACCTCTCTAAGCCTGCCTCAGTGTCCTCCTCTGTAAAGCGGGCTAACAGACCCCGCGAGATGGGCCCTCGGGAGGTGGGCTGCGTGTGAGGTGTTGAACTCACTTCCTGGCACGTGGTAGGCCCGGGCCAGTGCTTAGCCTATGGTGAGCTCAATCGCTGTGTTGTTTTTATTGTTAGAGGAACTTACACAAACTTAGACAAAAATCAGGAAGGTCCTCTGGGGAGGCTGGCGTCGCTGGCTTCCAGCCTCCAAGGAGCTGCCTGGCTTGTCGCGGGTGTCAGGTGGGGCCACTCCAGGGAGCGAGGTTTGGGTTCCAGGGAGGGGAGCACGTTCCCAAAGCCAAAGGGGATGCGGGGCAGCTTGCCAGGCCCTCCCACCGTCACCAGGGCTCTTGTCCACTCGGTCAGCCCTTCCCACCAGGCCTGTAGCGGCACCCCCACACTGCCCCTAGAAACGCTCCCCTCTCGGCCCTGTGTGAGCCCCGCCAAGAGGGCTCCCCTCATTCCACTGGCGCTGGCTTGCCTCCGGGTACACACCTGACACTGGCATGGACACTTACCCTCGGGAACTCCAGGAAGAGGACATGGACTTCCAGGGTAGCATTGGGGGCCGAAGCCACACAGCCCTTGGAAACTTCGCTGGTGAAGTATGTCACCTTGCCCCCCTTGGGGTCCACAGGCTGTAGGTCACAGTGGACTGTTTCTGCAAGATCTGTGGGGTAAGCACAGTGGGAGGGAGAGCCAGGTAAGACTCAGGTGTGACAACCAGTCCCACTTTCGGAATGCCTACTGGGTGCTTGGCACCGGCTGAGGGCTTTACTGCATCTTCACAGCTGCCCTGCGAGGTGGATGTCACTATTTCCACTTTTCAGATGAAGAAACTAAGGCTCAGAGGGGAAAAGTCTCTGTCCTGAGATGTTACCAGGTGAGGGGTTCACAGATAAAGTAGGAGACTCGGTTAAATTTGAGTACATAAGCATAAGCCATGAGTAACTGTTGAGGTACAAGTGCACCCCAAATATCGTACAGGACATACTTATACTAAAAAAGTTTTCATCGTTCATCCGAAACTGAAATTTAATCCATCGGTTTGTACTTTTACGTGCCACCTCTGACAACCCTGACGGCACAGCGGGGCCGCTGGAACCCAGGCCTTCAGGCTGGTTCACTCCCAAGGCAGGCAAGACAGTGAGGTCAAACTTCCCCTCCTGTGACTCAAGGAAGCCCAAAGGGATGGTCCAATGGGGTTGAGAGTCTCATGGCCCCGGGGGACAGACAAGAGGGAAGGAGGCCCAGCCTGGAGGCCTCGGAGCCTCCTCCACGCTGCCCGTCCGGAAACTTGGTCCTGAGGGAAGGGAATGGAATTTCACCCTGACCCAGCAGAGGAGGAAGAGGAAATGAGGCCCCTACACCTCGTCCTAAGGAATGTGCCGGGAAAGGGGGTGGGGGGCAGCGGAGGGAAGGAGGACAGAGGAGGGGAGACTGTTTGGAAGTTTGTGTCTCCATCTTGTCGCGCTCACTTCCTGTTTTCTTGGAGATCAAAGTTGGGCGCGGAGGGTCCGGCCACACGTCCAGCCGACGCCAGCTCACAGGGGCGGGCAAGGAGGCTTCTTCCGAACCCTGGGCTCAGCCGGCCTCCGCCCCCCTCCCACGGCCTCGCTGGACACGGGACCCCCGGAGGTCAGGGAAGGACATAAGATGGCCGCCTCGGCCACGGCAGCGCCATCCACCAGCGGCATCTGGGGACAGATATCCTGGGGACAGGACGCGCGGCCTCCACGGGGGCCAGGCCTTGCAGTCCTCGCCGGGCCCTGCCCTGGGCACTGTGGCCTGTGGAGCCAGAATGGTCTGGGTTTGAATCTCAGGCCTGACACTTCCTATGTGGCTTTGGTGAAGGTTTCACCATTGGGCCTCAGTCTCCTCCTCTGCAAAGAGACTATAATAAAAGCAGAACCCCCTCGATCCACAGAGGCCAAGACAGGGCACACGCGGCAGGTCTTGTTACCTCAATTATCTGATTGCCTTCAGTCACAGGGGGACTGTGGGTTGGGGTCGGGGGCAGCGGGGGACGGGCAGCTTGCAGGTGAGGGACCTGTGCCGGGGGCACTGGTGTCTCAGCCAGCCGACTCCCTCCCACAATCGACTCAAGGGCTGGCACCGTCTCCCGCTGTCCCACCAAGCCCCTCTCCCTCCCCACCCTCTCCCTTCCCTATCAGTGAACACAGACTTCTTGGCTGTTCCCTAGTCCAAACCCCTCCTATACAGATGGGGAGACTGAGGCCCGGCAGGGAGGGCTGTGCCAGCCACACTGTGCAGGGCTGACCAGGCGGGGCCTCGGACCCTCCTCTCCCCACACGACCTGGGGTCTGGTGGGCAGATTAGTGCCTTTCTCCTCCCCTTGGACTTTCCCTGCCTCCCTCCCCAGACTTCCAGGAACCCCAGTTCCTCCCGGATTGCCGGGGCCGCCTGGGCCACCTCCTCCATGCCGTCAGCGGGAGAGGCCACAGGCCTGGCCATTATGTAATGATCAGATAACAGGCCAGGCTGGGAGATCAGATAAGAGGTCCATTTATTTTGGGGCCTTTTCGAATCCTGGCGCCCCCACCCCGCAGACGAGAATGGGGAGACCGGAGGGAGTGTGACGCCCGGGCTGTCTCCCGGAGCCGGAGGCGGGCCCAGACAGAGCTGAAAACAATCCCTGCACCAAGGGAACGCCAGGCCTCCAGGGACGGCTGGAGGAGGTGCCGCGGGGGCCTGGAGGACCTGCAGGAGACCCCAGAGCCACCTCTGTCTCCTGCCTCCTCCTCCTCCCCCACCAGGACCACAGTCACCTCCAGAACCTTCCGAACAGCCGCACTAGCACGTGGGACACCACCGCGGAGAATGGTCAAGGAAAGCAAGTCTGGAGTCAGACAGCAAGGGTCAAATCCCAACGCCGGCTCATTAAAGCCGATCATCTTCAGCAAAAGCCTAACATCTCTGAGCCTCAGTTTCCCCCTTGGCAAAACAGCAGCCATCACAGGAGATGTTTCATGGCACTTCCTGGGGCTTCACACACGTTCATGCCTTTGTGCCTCTCAGCAGCCCCAAGAAGCGGGCAATGTCCCGACTACGGGATGACACAGGGAAACTGAAGCTGAGGGCGCAGCCGGAATTTGCTCCGGGTGACCCAGCTATTGAGCGGCAGGGTCTGGACTCAGACCCAGGCCCTCCGGCTAGCACCCAGCCCCCGCCGGGCAGGCTGTCGGTTTGAGGTATAACCCGGGTAAAGTGCAGGTGCCCAGCTGGTGTTGTGGACACAGTAGCTGCCAGGGCAGGTCCTCTTCAAAAGGGTCCTTTCTGCTGAAGGGGCGGCCTCCTCTCCCCCAGCCACCTGGCCACCCTTTGCTCCTCCCAGGCTTCAATTATGGGCCAGCGGCTTCCCCAGGTTCCAACCTGACCCTTCCACCTCCACCCCATGCCTTGCTTCAGCTTTGCCCAAGGCTCCCCAGTGGCTGCAGGGTCAAGTCCACATGCCACAGGCCAGAATGGGCTTATGATTACAGGAACCTGGCAGATGCTAGGCGTTCAGAGTCTACTTCTGCCTCCTCCAGCTGCCTTTGTATGCCTCAGTGTTACTCTCTCTAAAATGGGCATGATGCTCACTCCCGGAGTTGGCGAGTGTCCATACATAACACACGCGGCTAAGTAGGCTCTCGGGACAGAGGGCTGCTCAGGGACTGGCCACCAGGGTCACAACATTTACGCCATCAGTGGGGAGATGTGACCTTGTCCTCCAAACACACCTGGCCCCCTGCTCTGCCGTGCCTTACCCCGTGGTCTTCCTTTATTTGACCACCTGACCAACTTGTATCCATCCTTCAAAACCCTAGTTTGAAAACCTTCCCATCAGAACCCATCCTTTGCTTCTCAGGGGCATGGTGCCTGGATGTCCTCTAATTCGTCTGTGTCTGCACTCCCAGCAGTCAGTTAACTTTCCAGGATGGAGACAGTCTAGACCCCATGTCCCCAGGACCCAGAGCAGGCATGAGTAGACCTTGGTGGAGTTGGTTTGTCAGGTCTGGCTTCAACTTGCTGGATGCCCTGCATCAAGTCCCTCACCATTCTGGGGCTCAGTTCCCCCACGGTCACTCGGCACGGGGAGAGTAGGATGGATAGGACATATCCAAGCTCCACTGGGGCCTGAGGTTCCACCTGAGAGGGCAGGGCGCTGATGAGGCTTCTGAGCGTAGGACAGGGTCCTCGGGGAGCACCTTAGGTGCAGGGAGGGGACCCACTACCCGAAGCGAGACGATCTGGCCGCAGGGAGGCCTCACCATCTCCCCTGTGGCAGGGCAGTGCAGTGGCTGGGTCCAAAGCTCGAGCTCCCTGCTCCTCCCTTCACCTGTCTGTGCCCCCGTCTCCTTGGCTATAAAATGGGGTGACAGGATTACCACTTTATTGGGCTTTAGAAGGATCAGTCCCAGGGTCATACACAGGCCCAGAGCAGTGCCTGGCATACAGTCAGTGCTAAATAGGTGTCGTGTCTATCGTCTCCACCCCCAGCCCTGCCACAGGCACTGAAGTCCACTTGGGCCTGGATGAAGGTGCCCTTCAGCCTCCAGGGCTGATGCCCAAGCCTGGGCTGGAGCTGGAAGGTGTGGCTGGGCCAGGGCGGTCGGCTCTAGAAGGCTCTTCTCCCCGGCCACCAGGCGCAGGGGAGAGGAGCTGGGTTTGGAGGTAGACAGCCTGGGGTTGACATGTGGACCTGGCATTTGTCCTGAGCCTTGACTTCCCCATCTATCTACTGGGTGTAGACAAAAGCTGCCTCCTGCACCTGGACACCTGGGGCTCACCCAGGAAGGGGCGCCCTACCTCTCTCCCAGATCCCCCTCAGGCCTCGAGTGAGCCGGCCAGGACTGTCCTCAGAGAGCCTGGTGCTGACCCATGTGCCGCTTAGTGTCCCTCCGGGTCCATCATCACCACCTGGCTGGGGGGCGGGGGGTGCGTCTTTTAGCAGCCACGTTGCCGCTGTCCCCAGGGTCTGGCACTCACCTGGCTCACACAGCCCCTGCTTCCTGCTCTTTTTTCCTGTTGGCAAATGGGCAGCTGTCCCAGAGGGCAGGCCCCAGGACGTGGGTGCCTGTGGCCTGTCAGGTCTCTAGCCCCGTCTTCAGTCCCAGCCCCCTACACGGGTGGCTCAGGGGCTCCAGGTCGCACCTCTGCCCACGGTCTAGCGTCTACCCCACGGTCTACCCCTCCACACTTAAGAGGCTCTGTAATCCCAACCCCCAATGGGGGCCACACACCCCCGTTTCTGGGGCTCTATCCTAATGAAATAACCCAAAATGCAGGAAAAGGTTCCTGTACCAAAAGCAAGCACGGTGTTATAATGTAACAGAGAAGCAACCTAAATAGTCAAGCACAGGGGATCCAGGAGGCAAATGATGGTGCATTTCAAGGAGAGAATATTCCAGAACCACAATGATGGAGTCTACACGACCTCACCGAAACCTTCTGGCACCTAAGTAAGGGACACAAGACTCCCAAATGCGGATCCACCTGCGTTACAATTACCCAAAGAAACTAGCCAAAAACCAGTGGACGGTCTTCCAGCATGTTACCGAGCCACGATACCAAGGAGCTGGGAGGATTGTCCCTTTCTGACCTGCTTTCTTGGAGGCGGGGACGGGAGCAAATATGTGGTTAAATTGCTCTTTTAAAAAAATCTCTAAAAAATCTTTAAAAAATCTCCACCTGTTGGTTCCATCCTTCGGGATTTTCTGTGCACGTCGTGAGGGTATTTCTCCTACAGAAAGGGCACCACGTTGCTTGGGTATGCCCCAGACGTCTGTCCAAGCAGGATAGACACACATCTGCCTTTTTCTTGCTGCCTAGCATCCCCCTGCGTAATGAGTCATTGAATGGGGCTGGTGGACACTCGGGGTGGACACGGGTGGTTTGTGGTGGCTGGGTTTTTTTTCCAGGACCCACAGACCCACATCTTGAGAGAGCCGGGCAAGCAGTGCCACAGGGCTGACGTCTGAAGGTTGAGTTGCAGGGCAGCACTAGGCCTAAGGCAGAGTCTTGAGAGAGTCTGCCAACCTGTTCCAGAACGCGAGGGCCATGCAGGGACCTGTTTTGGGACCCATTTCCATGCCCTCCAGTTTGAACGAAGGTGCCTGGATCCCCGCCCTGGAGTGAAGATCTAGGTTCCACGCCTTGGAGCAGGTCTCCACCTGCCCTCCTCGGGCCTCAGTGTCCCAGGCTGTGAATGAGCTGGGTTGGGTGTCTTGGCGTGCCCTTGAGCCCCGTGGTGGCCAGTGTGCCTGTTCCCATGCCCAGGAGCACGTGGATCAATTTTCAGGAGCTTCCCTAACTGGCTGATCAACACAGCTGTTATTAAAAATTACATTATTAAAGGGCCTCCCTGGTGGCACAGTGGTTGAGCGCGGGCTGCGCAGCCTCTGCAGCGCCGGTTCCATCCCCGGCCACCAGCGGGGGTCCCACATGGCGTGCAGACCTCTCCTGCCGGCCCCGCTGCTCCTCTCAGCAGGGTGTTTCGTCAGTCTGCCCGTTCTGTTCCCTGCTCTGGCTCTGGTGAACTCTCTCATCCTCCTGCACTTCTGACTATACCCAGTGCTTGCATAAATAAATAAATAAATCTTAAAAAAAATTACATTATTAAAAAATAAAATTTTAATTAAAAATTAAAATGCACAGGGGCCTCCCTGGTGGTGCAGGGGTTAAAGACAGCACTATCAAGCTATCGCCAGCCACCATAGCACGAGTTCGATCCCCAGCCAACCAGGGAGCTACCCACATGGCGCAGCAGACCTCTCCTGTCTCCCCACTGCTCCCCTCAGCAGTGGATTTCAGTAGATCTGCCTGTTCTGCTCCCCGCTCTCTCTGGTGAATCCTCTCACCCCCCTGCACCTCTGGCCTGTACCCCAGTTCTTGTATGCATAAATAAATAAATCTTCAAAAAAATGAAAATGCACAATCAAACAAATTGTATCTATACTTAAAGGTAACGGCTATCAGGCTCACGACTTCCTCATTATTGTCCTCCGCTTTATTGTCCTCCCCGCCCCGGGCTGTCTCCCTCGCTGTACCTGTCTGCTGGGGACGCTTGATAAGGGTGGGCGGCTGTGCGGCCCCAACTCTGAGTCTGGTGAGTCGGTAACTTGAAATCAGCCCAGTGGGAACACTCACCCGCAGAAACCGACAACGGCTACCCCACCCCTGTTGTTAATTTTTGCCAACACACGCTGCCTCGGAGCCTATAAAACCAGACTCTAAATGTCTGCTCGGAAGGTTCCTGATGATAGCAAGGAGAGCGAGTCAGCTCGTGTCAACACGCGAGGGAGGCGGGAGAAAGGGGCTCGGAGGAGCCCGCCTGAGCCGTGACCTTGGCGCTCGGGCCTCCAGCTCCCCTCCCGGAGGGTGGGCTGCCGGGGCAGCCATCTTGCGGGCTGCCCCTGGGCTTTCAGGAGAGGGCTTGCCGGCCCACACGTGGTTGGGGGCCACGGGCCTGGGGTCAAATCCCCGCTGGGTCACTCCTCCTGAGACTCAGTTTCCTGTCTGTAGGGAGGCAGTGGTAAGAGCTCTCGAGACCAAGGTTTAGGAACTTTCAGATGCTTTGTGTGTGCCTGCGTGCGTGAGTGCGTGAATTCGTGTGTGGGTGCGTGCGTGCGTGTGTGTGTGTGTGTGTGTAGATGGGGGGTGGTCAGCACTGCTGCTCTACCCCCTTTCATCCGCATCCTCCAGATGCACCCGAGCGGCAGGGCTGTCCACAGGGCTGTCCTGGGCTTAGGTGGACGAGGGGCAGGGCACAGCGAGGCCCGCAAAGCAAAGGATGAGGGGTGCCGAGTCCCCAGCTCCTCGCAGCTCCTCATCTGCTGGGTTTCAGAAGGCAACAGACTCCAGGAACCTCTGGAAGAGCCTTCCAGGCTGAGAAGGCTCCATGGGACCCCTACTCTGAGCCTGCACCCCTCTTGGGAAGGACAGAGTGGGGTGCTGCTGTCTGACATTCAGAGGGGTCCTGGGAGGCACTCAGAGAGGCCCAGGGGAAGGCGAGGGAGGGGAATTTAAAGCTTATCATAAAACAGCAACAATCACGAAGCAGCGGCCCCCAGCCCACCAGCCCTCGCCGCACGCCTGCTTCTCCACCGAGGGGAAGTTGTTCGCGTCCCCACTTGGCTCAGGGGCCAGACGGCCGTCTCCCGACAGCACAGCGTGAGCTGAGCCCAGCGCCCGCAGGCCGCCTCCCCAACACCCCTCGCCGGGAAACCCAGGGCCCAGGAAGGACAGGAATTCTCCGAGGGCCGCGCAGCACCCGGGACCGGGCTTCCGGGGGAGAAACCGGAGAGACGCTGCAGGGGGGATGCAGGCAAACGCTCCATCCCTGCTGGCCGTTTTAGTGCTAGAAGCCCTTCTTCCCGCCAGGCCGAGCCGGCTGGCCAGTGGCCGGCATCTGCCAGGGGCTGCCAGACTCCCCAGGACAGCCCCGCGGGCATGATTTCAGGACACAGGAGCGGAGCCTGGAACGCTTGGGGCCCAGCGGTGCGCTGGGGTGAGTCTCCCCACCCGGGTCCCTGGACACCTACTTGTGGGGCTGAGGCTGCAGACGGCCAGCAGCAGGGCGACGAGCGGGGGGACTGCGCCGTGGTCCATGCCGTCCAGCCGGGGTCTGTGCGCTGGGCCTTATCCGGTGTCCAGGGGCAGGGCTGCGGGCGGGCGCGGGCGCCGGCGTGGGCTCTCGTGGGGACCCAAGGGGAGCAGGCGGCCGGAGCGACGGCGTCCCTGCTCCAGCCTTCTGAGGGGGCGGCCGAGGGGTCAGGAGAAGTGGGCACAGGGCCAGGCCCGGGGGCGCTGGCCTGTGGAAGAGCAGGAGGGGGTGCTGGGCTCCGGGGGACAACGGCGTCTGTCCTGGCCTGTGGGTGCAGATGGAGGCTGGGGTATGACCGGCAGCGGCGGGGAGCTCCTGGCTCATCCAGCCCAGCCGGGAGGCAGGAAACGCGCTTCCTTAGAGAAGGGGCCGGACCAGGCGGCCTGCCAAGCTGGGAGAGGAAGTGCCACAGGCTGTGTGGCTGGGTGGGGGGCCCTTGGGGGCGGGGAGCAGAGGGGGGGTGGAGGCAGTGGAGTAGGAGGGCCTAGGCTCCAGACTTGTCCCTCCACACCCCCACCCCAGCTTCTGCGGGACCGCTGGGTACAGGGGACACCTGGCAGCCCTGGGGAGGGGGGCAGATAGAACCCCATCACCAGGCCCTGGCCCCCACGAAGGGGTGTGTGGAACTCGGTTCTCCATTTTGCAGATGAGGAAACCGAGGCCCAATGTGAGACGTGGCCAAGACTGTGGGTTCAGAATCAAGCCCATCTTGCCGGGCACCCACAGCTGGCTTCCATCCTTCCGTATTGTGCCGGCAGGGAAACTGAAGCCCAGGATAGGGACGGAACACCAAGTTGGCACAGCACGGCAACTGGGGCTGAGGTCTCAGGGTCCAGAGAGAACCTACCCAGGCCACACATTTAGTGTCTGGCCCCTTCTAGGGGCACAAACATTAACAGCCCCAAATGAAGCAGGGGGAGCTTTGAAGGCATTTCTGACATCGATGACGTGGGTTCAGAATCCTGCTCCAATCTAAGAGACCTTGGGAAAGTCCCCTCAAAATTGGCACCCCTGTTCATAAAGTGGGCACAGCCATGCCTGCCTTGGACTGTGGCAAGGTTTCCAAGGGTCAGGGCAGGACAGCATGAGCCCTGGACCTGACATACAGATAATGCTCCCCATGAGTGCTCCCTGCAAGGCCCCCCCAGAACTGCCCCTTGTTCGTTCTGCAAATTGTAAGTGGCAACGATGTACCTGTCATGGGGGTGCCAAGGTCAGGCCCAAGGGAGTTGAAGAGGCAGCCTGAGCTGCTTGGAGGCCCTGGGATTCAGGCCAGGGGTGGGGGAAGAGAGGGGAAAGCTAGGTGGGGAGGGAGAGCAAGGGGCAAGGGGATGAGCCTAAGAAAGGTACAGAGGCAGGAAGTGGCCAGACCACCAGGGGACAAGCAGGGTGTGGTGGGGACAGGAAGCTTGGGGAGACTGGCTCTGGCCCTGCTCAGTGAGGGCCCCCCGACAACCGCCAATGCCAAGACTTGGTCCTGAAGGCTGCGGGGAGTCACCGTGGGCTTTGAAGCACAAAGTGCTGGTGGAGCTGGGCCTCAAGAAGGCCAGCTGGGCATGTGCTGGCGGGACCCGCAGGGGCAGAGCCAAGGGGCCTCTCTCTTTACACTTGTCCTGGGTCACAGATGGAGAAATGGAGGCCCAGGGAGGGAGGAGAAAGCTGAGCCCTCCGTGACCCGAGGGAGCTCAGTGGGCGCTGACACGGGGGCAGGAAGGAGGGTGTGGCCCTTGAGTGGGCTCTGGGAGAAGGTTCATGAGCCCACCCTGCGGCTGCGGTGCCAGGTGTGGGTTACAGGAGACCCAGCCTCACCCAGCAGGCCAGGAAGGCAGTGACAGGCAGGGGGCCACCCTGGCAGCCTCAGAGAAGGGGGCAGTGGGCATGGAGAGGCCAAGGGTGACTTAAAAGGGGGTTGGAGGGGGCTTATAATTTCTCCCCAGGCCCCCCTTCTCCGCAGGGTCTGTGGCCTGGGGCCAAAATCTCCCTGTGCACCAGGCCCCGCCCTAGGCGTTCACCTTATCAGCTCCCAATCCATTAAACCAGCAGCCACCCCCAGCAGCCACCCCTCCATTAAACCCTTGCCACAGGAGGAGGCCTCCAAGGCTCCCCGAGGCTTAAGTGACCGCAGCCCGAAACTGGAGACTCCATGGCTGCCTGGCTCCAGGTTCAGCTTCTTCTCTCTGCCACCACCTGAGCTGACTTGGAGAGGACGGATGTCACCCGGGCTGTGGCTGTCACAGGGTGAGGGGGTTGCTGTCCACAGTGGGTGTCAGGTACCCAGAACCACAACAGGGACCCCATCCAAACTGTCCTCCTTGCCTCTCCCCTCCACGCTGCTCCACTCACCCACCCGCCTTCTAGACAGCTCTGCAAAGCCGAGAAGCTGCAGCCAGATGCAGGGAGGACTCCCAGGAGCCACCAGGGAGGGGCAGCCCCCGGGGCCTGTGGCCTAGGTCCCAGAGAACTCATGGAGGAGGGAAGAGATGGGGACCCTAGGGGTGGAGAGGCGATCACGGGCAGCTCCCACGGCAGCCTGGGCCTCCTGTCCCTCCCCCCTCGTGTGGGGTGGCGCAGTGTGCAATTGACTAGAAGCCCCTCGCGGACAGGCATTCGGATGCCCCTTCACCATCGTGCCCCCAGCACAGAGCTCAGGACACTTGGGCTGGGCCTTGAGATGTGCTTACTGTCCATAAGCACGAGGTGCCCCTGGAGTGAGGCAAGGACGGGGATCATGAAGGCACAGGGAAACTGAGGCACGGGGAAGGTCTTGCCTCCGTTCCCAGCACACATGGTCAGTCCCCGGTTGGGCCGTCTGTCCCTGGGGTGGTGTGCACCGGGGGTAGACCTCGGGTTAGCTGCGCTCTGTCCGTCCCCCTGGATGTGCTCTCTGTTCCGATGGACACGTCTACCCACCCCCACGGGCCAGAGAGAGGGGGAGGGTTCGTTCTTCCAGACACTTCCCTGCAGGGTCACTGTAAATTGGCGACCTCCCTCCGCTGAAGGCCACAACCCTGACCAGGGCCATGTCCATGCGGCCCATCAGTCCCCGAGGGGTCAGAGCCCTCACTGCTGCCAGCTCTGGGTCTGTCCCGGGTTCTGTCCGGGTTGTGCCCTGGGGTTCGGCACGGGCCCCTGTGCTTTCCCGACACCCTGCTCACACCTGTGTAAACAGATCGGCCACTGCGCTGCCCCCACTGTCCCCCTGGAGCGTGCCATCTGTTTCCTGCGGGGGCTCTGTCTGCCGCAGGCGTTTTCAGGGGCCGCCTAGCCACACGCCAGAGACACGTGGCCCCTCCTTGGCCCGGCCCCACAGCAGGCAGGTGGGGAATCTGCTCTGGCCGGCGGGTGGTGGGGCTGCAGGAAGGGACAGAGCACGTCGACTGTTGGCCCAAGGCCACTGGAGGAATTTCAGACGGCCCCCAGGGGCCCCCCAGGAGGCTGTCTGTCTCCAGCACCGGCCTGGAGCCAGGGGCTGAGAACAGCAGGACCGGATCCACACAGGCTCGGGAGAAAGTGAGTTCAGGGGAGAGTGAGCACTGAACTGGGAGTCATGGTGTCAGGCTCTGCCCCACACTGGCCAGGTCTTTCCTATCCTGGGTCTCAGTTTCCTCATCTGCACAATGTGAACAGAGGCAGCCTGCTGGCCGGGAGGAGCCGCAAACCCAGGACAAGAATCGAACCAGCCACCATTCTACACTCACCCGGCTTGTGCCAAGGGCCACCTCCAGCCACCTGTGTGCCAGAGGTCATCACAGCCAGATTTATAGAGGAGGAACCTGCAGCTCTGGTGTACACGGCCACAGGGCTGGGGAGAAGCAAAAGGATCATAAACCTGGGCCCGTCCTTCCTCCCTTGGCTTCCAGAACATTCCATCCTGTTTTCCTCCCACCTCCCTGGTCACCTCACCTATTTCTTTCCTGGTTTCTCTGCACCCCCCTACGCTCAGACCCTATCTTCTCTCCTCTGTCACCCTCACCCTAGAGGTGTCCTCAGATCTCCCTGGCTGTGACATTGTGCCTTGGAGTAAAGCCTGGGACTCAGTTAACCGAGAAAATGTTTCTGAGCCCGTCTCTGCCCCGAGGCTGTGCATCTGCCCTGTTCTGTCTTCTTTCAGATGCTGAGTCCGGACCCCTCTTTTGACTCAGCAAGTCGATGCCTTAGATCTTTGCTACTCCCAATGGGGTCTAACCGTTCTCCTGGGGGCGTCTCTCAGCCCTGCCCCCCATCTCCTGAATTAGAGCCTACGTTTAATCAAGATGCCCGGAGCATTCCTGTGCACATTAAAATTTGAGCTGTGCCCCGACCCAGACCAACAGCTGTAGATTCCATCCACCCTTGTGGGGGACTCCGAGTCTTCATCTCCCCCAGATCTGTCCCCAGACTCCAGGCTCTGGTGGCAAACGGCATCTCAGACAGCGCGAGTCTCAAACCCGGCTCTAGGTCCTCTGCCAGGTGCTCCTGCCTCAGTCTCTCCATCTCACACCCCGACAGCTCCCTCTTCTAGCTGCCCAAGCCTCAGGTCGGCCTTGACAGTCTCTCTTACACCCCTCATCTCACAATGTTACACCCCTCACAAGCAATGTTGTGGCTCCTCCCCCAACTCCCACTGTTTGGAGGGTTCGCAGCACTCCACGGCCACCCCCTGGTCCAGGCCACCCGTACCTCTCGGGATATTGCAGTCGCCTCCTCACTGAGCCCTGCTCACCTCCACCCTCATCCCCCACCCATTCTGTGCACCATTAAAGGGACCCATGAAGGCAAGGACCGCGCTCCGAGTAAAAGCCGGAGCCCCCTCCTGGTCTCCTCTCCCATCCCCCCTATTTCCCCTCTTTGCTCGCTCCAGCCACACTGGCCTCCTTGCTGGGGCTGGAATGTGCCCAGCACATGTCCACCTCAGGGCCTTTGCACTTGCTGCTTCCTCTAAAAACACTCTCCCCTTGGAGACCTGCTTCTCATCCATTTGATCCTCGGAGATCAACGGCCCGTGGTCAGGGAGGCCTCCCCTGACCGTCACGTTTAAAATAGTCCTCCCCTCCCGCCCTCCGGCGCACGCGTCACCCTCCGGTTCCCCATCCTTAGCCTTGTTTCGTCTGTCCCCCTCTCTAGAGCAGAAGTTCCATGCGTGTAAGGGCCTCGCTTCCTTTGCTGCTGCCCTGTTGCCAGACTAGAGCCTGGCCACGGGCGGCGCTCGGCAGGCGCTGAGAGAATGGATGGACGTGCTGAACCCAGACCTGCGGTTTCAGAGACTGTGGTTCCGAGTGCCAGGGTGTGGGTGTTGGGGTATTCTGAGCCCAGGGCAGGGTCTCTGAAGAAGACTGGCTCCCCAAGGTTTGTCCCCAGAGTCAGTGGTCCCCCAGACTCTGCTCAGTTCTAAGGAGCAAAGTCTCTGTCCATTCTTCTGGCTCCTTCCCTGCCCTGCAGGGTCAAGGCAGAGTCCTGTACCCAAGGCCTGCAGATCCTGGGCAAAGCTGGCCTTGCAGGTAAACCACTTCCAAAGGCCTGAAGGGCCCATGAGAGCTAGTCAGAGGCAGAATTCCACTGGGCCAGCATTCTAGAAGCTGAGTTGTAAGGGCTCTGAGTTCACAGAAAGGGAAACTGAGGCCCAAGAGGCGAGACTCACACAGCACTCCATGAGCCAAGGAGGGCAATGCAGACAGGAGGCCCTGCACCTCTAGAACCCCAGGACAGGGTCCAGCCTACGCCCCTCCCTCCCTGTGTGGCCTGGCTCATGCCATACCACCTCTCTGGGCCTGCTCCCCTAGCAAGGAAGCCCTGTGCTAGCAGGCCTGCATGTCCAGTCTTATCCCGGCCCCCACCCCCCAAAACCCCCCCACAGTGGAGCCGCCAGGCCTTCCTGTTTACTCCAGGCCCCTCTCGCGGCTGGGAGGCGACAGCCTTGGCCTCCTCTGCCTCCCGCTTCCTTCCTCTCCCACTTCAGAGCCTCCGGCCAGGCCCTCAGGGTCCCCGAGGCCAAGACTTAGGGGCACAGTCCAGTGGGGCATCTGAGGCCATCACTACAGCAGGGCCCACCCAGGAGCCAACTCTGGAAGCCCAAGGGTGTAAAGGCACCCCACCATCGCCCTGGCGGGTTAGAACATACAGCTCCTTGAGACCAGCGGGCTGCCTGGGGTGTCCCACAGTCAGGAAGCGCCACACCCACCTCTCGGCCCACCAGTAGGGGATGAGCATCCTCACTCTGGAGGTGCCCCTTCCTCCCCACCCCCTCCCCGGGCTCCTATCACCAAGGGCAGCCACCAGGCCTCAGGGCCCAACCCAGACCTACTAAATCAGAGTCAGCCTTTTAGCTCTGAGAAGCTGTATCTGGTTTAAAACCCAAACAAGAGGGCCTCCCCGGTGGCGCAGCGGTTGAGCGCTGGGTTGCGAAGCTGCCCGCGGCCTCTGCGGTGCCGGTTCAATCCCCGGCTGCTCCCCGGCCACGGGAGGAGGGTCCCCCATGGCGCACAGACCTCTCCTGCCGCCCGCTGCTCCCCTCAGCAGTGTACTTCGGTCCTTCTGCCTGCTCGGCGCCCCGCTCTGGCTCTGGTGAATTCTCTCACCCTCCCGCGCTTCTGACTGTACCCAGTGCTTGTATAAACAAAACAAACAAATAAATAAAACATGCCTCTATTAAAAAAAAACAAACAAACAAACAAGAGGACCTCCCTGGTGGCGCAGGCAGTTGAGCGCAGCGCTGTAAAGCTGTCCGCAGCCTCTGCAGTGTAGGTTCGAGCAACCCACATGGCACGGCAGACCTCTCCTGTCTCGCCCGCTGCTCCCCTCAGCAGTGTATTTCATCAGTCTGCCTGTTCTGTTCCCCGCTCTGTCTCTGATGAGTCCTCTCACCTCCCCGCACATTTGGCCTGTACCCGGTTCTTGTATAAATAAATAAATAAATCTGGCACAAGGGGTTAAGACACAATCTATGGGGCTTCCCCGGTGGCGCAGCGGTTGAGCGCTGGGTTGCGAAGCTGCCCGCAGCCTCTGCAGCACCAGTTCGATCCCCAGCTGCTCCCCGGCCACCGGAGGAGGGTCCCACATGGCGCGCAGACCTCCCCTGCCGCCCGCTGCTCCCCTCAGCAGTGTCCTTCGGTCCTTCTGCCTGCTCTGCTCCCTGCTCTGGCTCTGGTGAATTCTCTCACCCTCCCGCGCTTCTGACTGTACCCAGTGCTTGTATAAATAAATAAATAAATCTTAAAAAAAAAAAAAAAAGACACAATCTATGAAGTTATCTGTAGCCTCTGCAGCAGAAGTTCGATCCCCTGACCAGGTTGCTGCCCGCATGGTGCAGCAGACCTCTCCTGACTCGCCCGCTGCTCTCCTCAGCAGTGTATTTCAGTACATCTGCCTTTTTATAAATAAATACAAGTCTTTTTAAAATAAATAAATAAGGCCTCCCTGGTGGCGCAAGGAGTAAACACCGCAACTACGAAGCAAACCGCAGCCTCTGCAGCACGAGTTCGATCCCTGGCCTGCTAGGGAGCAACCCACATGACACAGCAGACCTCTCTTGTCTTGTTTGCTGCTCCCCTCAGCAGTGTATTTCAGTCCCTCTGCCTGTTCTGCTCCCCACTCTGTCTCTGGTGAGTCTTCTCACCCACCCCCCCACCCCGCATCTCTGGCCTGTACCCCAGCTCTTGTATGCATAAATAAATCAATTTTTAAAATAAATAAATAAATAATACATAAATAAATACTTTGGCCAAATAGGGTGACAATGAAGTATGGGAAAAGGTTCCCAACTATATAACGTTGATGAAGGGTGGGTGGGTGGGAGATCATTATATTATTTCCTCCAACCTTTAGTTCATTCGTAAGTTTTCCTTTAAAAACAAAACTCTCTTTGAGCCTCCCATTGCCCTGAGCACAAAAAGTAGATACTGGGGTAGGCAGTCAAGGCCCTGAGAGGTGGGCCCTGCCCTCTCCCAGGCTCCGCTCTCACCTCCCCACCTCCCCTAGGCACCTGCACATCCCAGTGCCCCGCCAACCTCACTCAACTGCCCTGTTCGCCTCTGAGACACGGTGGCGAGGATGGAGGGGGTGATGGGAGCTTTTAAACTTTGTTTTTTTTCCAAGCTGTTGTTTTTAAAGTGATTCTGCAATGCATAGTTTGGAGCAACTTAGGTTTTCATAAACTGGGACGTAGCTTAATTAGAGAAGCTGGAATTAAAACAGTCGAGAGAAGGGTGACAATTTTGTCAGAAGGATTTCTCCAGCTCTGCCACCTTCGGGTGCGCTTCCCTCTGATCCTCAGACAACCCCAGACACCAGAGCGGGTGAGTGTGAGTGTGTATATGATAGCTGTGACACAGAGACCCCAAGGTAGGAGGCCCCGGGGCAAGTTGTGGGTTCCCGGCACTTCCCTTTTGGCCTGGGGAGCAGAGGGACCAGCTGCAGAGGCCCCCTGACACCCCATCCTGCATGGCGCTGCTGTCTCCTACCTGCCACGCACTAGCATGTATTTATTTTGTGCTCTCTTTCCAATAGACTCACCCTTCATAACTTAAATATGTTTATTTTAAAGGAAAATTTCCATAACTAATGTAAATGGAAAACCAGCCGCATTTGCCAGAAGTAGAAGGGGACACGGAACCCAGAGTGGCTGCCATCACCCCACAAGGGACTTTGAACCGCTGAAGGCTCTCTTGGCCCTACAGGGAACCAGCTGTGCCATGAGGAGGTGTCAAGGACACATGAACCCCAAGTGGAGCCTTTCTCAGTGATGAGGCCAAAGTGGGAAAGAGGACAGATTGGGGATCCGGCACCCCCACTCCTGCACACCCTGGGAGGCTGCTCCCACCCCCACAGGTGTGGCAACTGACAACTCGCACCCCTTGCCGGGTGTTGTCATCCCAACCTTGGGGGTCAAATGGGGACACCGAGCTTAATTCAGATTCAGAAGTGGGTTCAGGAAGGGCAGCTGTGACCAGAGGAGCTCCTGCACCTCATCTCCCCAGGGAGACCCCGGCCCCGATGGTGACCACCTCATCCCCACCAAGCTCAAGGCCTTTTCAGATCCTCAGAGCTTCTTGCACCAAGAAGGTGAATTTGCTGCCCACTCAGCTGCCTGGCGTGTGCGCCCTCACTCCTAGGAGGCCCCCAAGCCCCAGGCCCCAGTAGGCGTAGGCACAGAGAACACACTCAGAGAGATGAGGGATCAAGGTCACCCCAAGATGATGTAGAGGAGCCCAGGCGGGGGCCTGGCTCGGCCTGATCATGATTCCCCAAGAGCTAGAGAGCTGCCTCTGTCTCCCTGAACCCCCAGGGCTGGCCTGGCACGGACCCAGCACACACGGAGTAAGGAAGGGCCTGGGTCTTCCACCAGACCTAGGGGAGGATGCGGAGGGGGCCTGCGGAGCCGGGAGGACGGGGTGGGGGGGCAGGCTGGGGACTCCCACCACACCACATGAATCAACTCCAGTGGAAGCAAAGAAAAAGGAGTAAAACCGAACGTCCTTGGAAATTCCTTTAGTGTTCAGCTGTCCATGGAAACAGGATAAAGCGGCTTCCTCTGTCTGTGTTCCAGCCGGGCAGGGTGGAGGCCCGGAGCTCAGGCCAGGATGCCCCAGTCAGGACAGGGATGAGGCGGGGCTCCGAGCTGAGGAAGGGGCTCCAGCCAGACTACTTGAGGGCGTCCAGGTGGGTGCAGACCTGGGTGAAGACACTGTCCACGGAGCCTTCTGCGTTGACCTGCGGGGAGACAGGCCTTGAGGGTGGAGCCCCCGTGGGGAGCCAGGTGGCCCGCAGGCCGGGGGATGACTCCCGCAGAGCCCAGCCAGAGTGGACAGCGCCCCTTGGAGAGCCAGCAGGGAAACCAAGGCCTGGAGCCGAGGGCAGACTTGCGGTCACAGCCATTTGAGGCTGGGCCAGCAAACACCCAGCTTCCCCAGGGCCCCTGGGGTGGGGTTGGGGGGTCCCCCAGCGCCCTCCCCGCTCCGGCCAGCAGGGGCGCACCTTGCGCACGATGCCGCGCTTCTCGTAGAAGGCGATCACGGGCTCCGTGGCCTTGTAGTAGGTCTCCAGCCGCTTCTTGATGGTTTCCTCGTTGTCGTCCACCCGCCCGCTGGTCTCCCCGCGCTTCAGCAGCCGCTGGGTCATGGTCTCGGGGCCCGCGTCCACGTACAGCAGCAGCGTGGGCTGTCCGATCTGCGGGCGGCGCGCGGTCACCGGCGCCCACACCCGCTCCGGCCGCGAGAGCCCGCGGGGCCGCCCGAGGACCTTCCCACGCAGCCCCGGCCCTGCCCGGCCCTGCCCAGACCTTCGCGGCCGCCCGGTATCTCCAGGGAGGCCCACCTCCTGGCCCCCCGCACCCCACAGCTCCCTGCAGCCTGGACCCCAAGCCGCGTTCTCTAGGGTCGAGCTCCCGGGCGCGGCCCTCCGGCCCCTTTCCTTGCCCTGGAGCCGGGCTCTGAGCCCCTGGGCGCTCCCTGACCTCTCCCGGCCAGGCCAGGGCCCTGCGGGCAGGCGCACAGCTGACTCGCCCCTAGGGCTGAGCTTGGGGGGAGGGGCTCTGCGCGCTGGGGGGCGGGGGTCTAAGCAAAGTCGCTGTGGCTGGAACAAGCACTGCACCCCGGGATGACTTGGAGGGGGGAGACCCGCAACCTGCTCTCCTTCAGTGGGGCCCTGGCGCCCCCTGGTGTCCACAGCCCAGAAGACCAGGCGGTGGGACCCGGGGCCAAACCCGCCGCCCGCGGCTGAGCCGGGTCCGCGCTCGCCCTCGGCTGGGGACTTTGATTAACCCTGTTTTCTGATGCGGCCGTGAGGCTCGCAGGGACACCTCACAGCGAGTGCACGGGGGTCAGGATAGGATGTGCCCTGGGGCCGCCTGGCATTTGACCACAGGGTCCACGTCTTCCGTGGAAGCCCAGCCAGCCGCCATTTCACACATAGGGAAACTGAGGTCTTGCAGCCACTTAGTGGTCAAAAAATACAGTCTAAAGTGATGGAAACCTAAAGGCGGCGCTAGCCTCACAGAAGTGGAAGTAGGGGTGGAGGTGTGGTCCGGCCCCAGGCCTGCTGGGACGCGCCGTCCTCCCTGCAAGGCCTGGAAGCAATCACTCCAAGAAGTCCCCCCGAGCCCCCGACCCACCCTTGCTGCCTCTCCCTACTGGGCACATGTAGGCCCATCTGGATGGCCGGTGACACCAGACGCATGGGTAAACACGTGTGCATCCCCACATACAGGGCACTGTACACATGTGCATGCATGCACACTGCCAGGCACATGGCACACATATGCGTGCCGTGTGCACATGCCTGTGGCTCCCACACTCACATCGCTGTCCGTGTCTGTGCCCCGTGTGCGTGCTTATTTGCTGTGTGCATGCGTGTGCTTGGGGAAGGGGCCCGACAGGCACCTGCTCGCGGAAGCTCAGACCCCTCATCCTCAAAGGTCCGCTCTTTCCAGCCAGACTTCCTGCAGCTCCCCGAAGGAGACAGATCCCCCTCCCCAGCACAGCCTGCCGCATCCAGGCCACCTGCCTGCTCCAGCTGCCCCACATATCCCTGTACCCCACACCAGCAGGACCCTCCCAGTCCTGCCCATGCTCTTTCTGGCCTGTCTGACCATGTGTTTACGGGGTGCAAGCTCCACTCTTGAGGGATGCATTCTCTCTAATCCCCCTACTGCCCCTTAAGGCAGCTGTGGCCTTTCTCTCCCCATTTTTCAGGCGGGGACGCTGAGGTTCAGGGAGGCAGAATGAGGAGAGCTGGAGGCCTCCAGTGGCTGGGCGGGAACCCGAAGCCATGCACCTCCCAGCCCAGTGCTTCCTCTTCATCTAGACTTTTCTTCTGGAAAAGAAAGACCGTCTGGCCAGACAGTCTTCCCTGGAGCCTTAACATGCCTCTCGTTCTCCAGCCCCCACCCCCATCAGCCTTCCGTCTTGCCGGGCACCCCACACCACAGGCCCCCACTAAGCTTGCTCCTTACCCTTCTCTCAAACTCCTCCCCCTGCTGCACCTCCCGAGGGTAGCCGTCGATCAGGAAGCCTTTGGAAGAATCTACCTTGGCCAGCATGGCGTCTCGGAGCATGTCCAACACCGTTTCCTGGGGACAAGGAGGGATGATGGGGCCATGAACCCCCTCTGGGGCTCTGCGTGTGCTGGCCCCACAGCCTGCGTGGCCTCTGACCTCTGGCCTTGACACAGACAATCCCAACAAGCCTCCCTCTCAGGAAGCCTTCTCTGAAAGGTGCCGACTTTGATCAATCCTTCAAGCCCTTCACTTCTTCACTCATTCATTCTTTCATTCATTCATTCAACAGTATCGCCTGAGCCCTCCTCCAGCCAGCTCCTGTCCTGGCCCTGAGGACGTGGCAGGTCTCCATGCTGTCAGGAGGCCCACAGACAATTGCACAAGTGATTTATCCAGGTTGTATGGGCAAAGAAGCGGGGTGACTGGCATATAAAATTGGGGGGCAGGGTCTTAGCCAAAAGCTGAGCAGACAGGAAAGTCCGAAAGCTGAGGAGGAAAGAACATTCCAGGCAGGAAGGAGTGTGACGAGTATGAGGGACAGGAAGGCCAGGGTGCTGGGGGACGGACAGCTGGGGGAGTGGGCAGCCTGGGACTGCAGGGGTTGGCAGGCCACGACTCCACGGTTCTTGGGCGCCTCTGGGAGGAACTTTTTGCCAAGAGTACTGGGGACCCATCAGGGGCTTCAGAGCCAGGGAAGACCATGGTCAGCCTCGCTTGGCATCCTGCCGGCTGGTGCCCACTCGGGACCACCATCGCCCCTGCCCCCCACCCCGCCGGGGCCCACTCACCAGCGGCACCAGCTGCCCCTTCTCCATGATCTCAGACAGCATCTTGCCCCTGGCCGAGCCAGAGCTGACCTCCGCCCGCAGGAGGTCCCCGCTGGAGAGGTGGGTGTAGCCGTACTTCTCGACAATCTTCTCACACTGGGTGCCCTTCCCCGAGCCGGGCCCGCCTGCAAGCGCCCGCCCGTTCAGAAGCCCAGCAGGGACAGTCTGCCAGGGCCACCCAGCCGAGGAGGGGCGGAGCTCAGGGTGCAGCCCCAGGCCCGGGCTCCCGCCCCGCTGTCACCCCCGCCTTGGACTCACCCACCACAAAGATGATCTTGGTTTTCTTCAGCTTCTCTGCGGGAGAGAAAAGGGGGAGCAGAGTCAGCCACTTGCCTGACACAGCCAGAGCAGCTCTGGAGCCTCCGGCCTGTGCTGGGCCCCGGCAGGGGGGTGGACGCGCCGTACGCTCCTGTCAGGGGACGGGCGAGTCGGAGCCCAGAGTGAGTTCTGATGGGCTTCCAGGCAGAGGGACCAGCAGAGGCCGCAGGCTCGACACAGGCTGTGGGGGTGACTCTGGGGGACTGAGATGCCCACCCTCCCGGCCCCTCCCTGTGGAGGTGGGGCCTCCTCGGGGGTCACCTCTGGCCCTAGCGTCTTGTGCATCTTGGGTTCCAGATGAGCAGCAGCTCCCCATGGTTCCGTTCCACAGAGGCCCCGACCCTTCCCCTCCCAGGCCCTGGCCCTGCCCATCGCCGGCCTCTCCTGGGCGGTGCGTGTGGAGTTGGCGACCACAACATCTGTTGCCCTGGAGATGGTTGCCAGGGAGGAGGGCTGCGGTGGGCACATGGAACCAGGGCCCAGAGGGCTGAGGAGCCAAGCTCTGCCTTGCCAGCCCCTAGAACTCAGTCAGATGGCAGTCCCGCCAGGCAGGGGACCTGGGGCCTAGAGAGGCGGGGGCCTGCCCCGGGGGTGCCTGGAACTGGAACGTGGGGTCCTTTTCCCTGACTACCCAGCTTCCCCCTCTTCTGCAGAAATAGGCCCTCATCCGCGTGACCTCAGGAAACAATTCCCGGCCCCTCTTCCCTTCCCGCCCTGCCGAGAGGAGGTGGGCGCCGCAGCCCCCGGGGCCCTCCGGGCCTGTGCTGGACCCTTGTGGTGCTGGCAGAACTGCTTCTCCTGTGGGCCCCCTGAGCCTGCCTGCCTGTGATAAGCCCAGTTTGGGCCGGGGGAGGCGACAGGCCAGCAGCAGTTCATGTGCAAGCCCCGGGGGTGGGAGAGTGACCGGCGGCTTCAGCCAGGCCCGCTGCAGCTTTAAGAGCTGCAGGCCCAGGCCCAACGCCAGGGATGGGATGGTGGTGCCACCAGGAGGTGGGCCAGCCAGTTCTCCGCCCACCCCATGTTTCCGTCCAGGTCCCAACCCAGAGGAGCCAGGAGGACTCAAGACATCCTCAAGGCCACCCCCACGGAATGCTGTGGAAACTGAGTCTCGGAGAGACGTAGGAACCTGCCTCCTCCTCATGAGGCTCTCCGGGGACAGGCCTTCCCTGGCCAGAGAGGCAGGGGCTCGGTGCTATAAATACCAGCGCAGGAGGTGAGCGGCGAGGCCCTCCCCGGGAGCCTCGAGGAGGCCTCTCCACTTCTAAAATTAAACATGGAGCTGGCACATCCCGGAGGGTGTGGAGGAAGATGCTGAGAGGGCCCCCAACAGGGCCCCTCCGGCAGCACCAGAGCCTGCACCCCCTCCCCAGTGTCTCCAGAGAGCGTGCCCCCCTAACAGATGGGTACACCGAGGCATAGACGGTGAGCAGGAAAGGAGCGCAGCCTCCGTACCTTCCATCCTGTCGAGGTCCGGGGAGCTGAGTCAGCGTCTGCAAGACAAGGGCACCGGTGGGGAGAGAGCAGGGCAGCCGCTTCTGCTCCTCCAGGTTGCATGGGGTGTGTCAGGCTCTGAGGGCAGAGGGGCCACTGGGGCAGGGAAGGCCCAGGAGCCAGGTGACCTTGGAAATGTCACCTTTCCTCGGGGCCTCTGCTGCTCACCCCACAGCAGCCCAGCTCTTCTGGAGGGCAGCGGTGGGCAGCGGTGAGGGGCATAAACAGTGGCACCAGCAGCTGCTGAGCTGCTCCCAGCCAGTCCCAGAGACAGGGTGTGGGTCCCACGGGGCCCAGCACCTTGACAACACTCCCCAGGGCAGGAAGCGGGCTGCCCGAGGCGGGAGGCAGGCCCGAGCAGTGACGGTGGAGGTGAGCAGGAGGTGGGATGGGGTTTGAACCAGATGCCTGAAGGGACTCAGTGGGCCAAGGGGCTGCACTCAGGTGGACACAGCCAGGGGTCCCAGGCTCAACTTCCACCCCCCCAAAAATCCCCCCTCAACCCTGAGAACCTCGCTTCACTGGCTCCTCTTCGTCTTCCCTGAGTTTCCTGGGACCCCACGATGAGCTTCCATGGTGCCCCGGGGCCTCCCTCAACCTCCCAATAGGTCTCTTCAGGGCTCAGCCTCCGCTCCCCGCCAGCCCTCCCCCAAGCCACCAGCCACTCTCACAGCCATTCTTTTTGACCCTTAACCCTTGACCCTCAGCCAGCATTCCTCCTGCCTGGGTCCTCTAGCCCAGGCCCTTAGTCCACCTAGGACACCCCTCCCTCCAGTCAGCCTCCCTTCCCAGCCCTATAAGTCCCAGGACAGGCCTGGAGGCCCAGCCATGCCCCAGTCAGCATGATGCCCTTCTCCCACACCCCGCCTCCACCCACACACCCCAAGCCTCTCTCTCCAGCCTGTGTCTCACCACCACTCTCTTGTTTTCGGTGAGGGGCCTGGCCATCTCTGTCAGAACAAGTCATTTGTCTGCTTAAAACCCCTCCATCTGTGGCCCCCTCGGGTCCCCAAATAAAGCCTGGACCCCTTGACATAGTTAATAGAGCCCCGGTGATCTGGCTCTTGCCACTTTCTGCAGCCTTATCAGCTGTTGCTGGAAAAACTTGTAGCTCCTACACCCAGCACGATGGTGCCCCTGCTCCAGGCCCTGGCCAGAGCTGTACACAGTGCCTGGATGCCTTTTCCCCAAGGTGCCTGCTTAGGTCGCAGTTTGGGTGTCTCCTCTTTCAGGAAGCCTTCCTGGACTTTTCTCTTCACTGCCTTCTCTGAACTGTCCCTCCTTTAGCCCCCCTTGTCACATAACCCACACTATGCTGGACCTTTCTGTTGTACATCAGGCCTGTGTTCCCCACCCGGATCCTGGCTCCTGCTGAACACAGGGTTGGGGGATGTCGTCTTGGGAGGGAACTGAGACTTGGAGAATTGGAGAGCGCTGCTCCAGGACCTGGCTAGGGGTCAAACTTGGGCCTGTAATTTCTGCTGCTCTGGGGCTTAGTACCTAGAGGCCCTTAAGAAGCTTTGCTGTGGGCTCCTGGGGTTTGACTTGTAGCCTCTTTCCTGTTGGGTGTGCTGAAGGATGGGTAGGAGCTCCAAGGCCTCTCAGCAGCAGGTTGGAAGAGGGGAGGTCCCTAGCCGAGGGACAGCCTCGAGTGATGCCTTGAGGTGTAACCTCCATCCTGCTCTGCCCCACCCCCTCCCAGTAACCTAAACCCCTCCATCCTGCTGGCACCTGACACTTCCTTGGTCCAAAATAACTTGGGCTGTAAGGAGGCCTCACAGAGGCCAGGGATCCAGGATGGAGTTGGGTTACGGGCTCAGCACCCAGGCCTTATAAGGCCCCCAAATCAGGGCCCCAGCAACTCCCAGTAGGACTGGGTGGTGTTCCCAGAGGCATGGGGTGCCCCAGAGGGAGAGCAACCTAACTTCAATTGCAAGGCCAAGTCTCCCAGCTCCTGATCAAAAGCAGCCTTCCCAGTGGCGGGTAACGACCTTGGGGTCAAATCCCAGCTCCATCACTCAGCTGTGTGCCCTTGGGCCGCTGGTGTCCCCTCTCTGGGCCTGCATTTTTCAGCCCGTGCTACTACTGCTGAAGCGTCCTGCCGTGCTGGGGCAAGCCTCCACGTGAGTGCCCATCCCTTCAGGAGGCTGTGGCTCCGGGCCAACATCCCAGGGGGGTCCCGCCCCTCCAGCACAGTGAAACGACAAGATGGAACAGCTCTGCAATCACCCAGACTCTAGCACCAGGTCCTCCCTGCAGGGAGTCAGGCCACAGGGCTCCCTCCCCAGCCTCAGCTGAACCTGCCAAGGGCAGGGACCTGGAGCCCCAGGAGCACCGGCTGGGACAAAGGGGTGACTGTCTGGGAAGGCGGGAGGGGCTGCCACACATACACAAAGACACACAGTGTGGCACAAACACCCACAGCAGAGTCTGGGGAATAAGACACGGAGGCGCACACAGATCACAACCACGGATACAAACACACAAGCCCCCAGGGTACTCTCACGCGCAAACCGCAGCCCCCAGGTTCCTGTGGCTCCCCTTCTTCCCCCACAGGCGCCCTCCCCCCGCGCGCACAGACAGCCGCACAGGCACACACTGACCTGGGGGAGGGGTGCGGGTGGGCGCTGGGGCCAGTGCGTGCCCTGCCCGTCCTCGCCGCCGCCTGCAAAGGCGACTATTTATAAGGCTGTCAGCAGCGCACGGCATGCCGGGAGCAGCTCCGTGGTGGCAGGCAGGAAAGGAGGGAGGGAGAGCGGACCGGGAAGGGAGGGGTGTGGACTGGAACCCTCATGGAAATCCAGAGCAAGACTGGCGCCCCCCATAGAGCACCCCAGGTGGCTGTGCCTGCGCATGTGCGCCGCACTTGACAGTGTGCAAGGGTTTCCATCCACGCTGCCGCCATCGTGCAAGTCTCCCTTAGACCGCTGGGGACCAGAGAGGCTCTGTGCGGAGAGTTGATGGCAGAGAGGCCAGACCAGGAAGGCGGAGACCCAGGTGTGGATTATTGGGGCTTTGCTCGCCAGACAAGGCCCCCAGCCCCTCCTCAGGTCCTGCCTAGCGGCCACCCGACAACTCCATCCCTGCTGCAAGGTGCCCTGAGAGCTCCCCTGGGGCTGAAACCACCCCCTCCCAGCGGGGTGGATGGGTGGATTACAGAAGCCCAGCCCTGGCCCCACAGAGCTGCCAGGCAGCTTCCACATGCGGGTCTTGATAATACTGATCAAAACTAAAGAAAGAAATAAATGACTCCCACTGGGGAGCCCTCCCGGCACACCAGGCGCTGGGTGGAGCACTGCTCTCAGACCACACCTGATTCTTTCCATACAGAGGGTGAGATCCCGTCCGTACAACAACCTGCCTGAGAGTCCGGAAGGCGATGTGCTTCTCCAGCATTTGCTTAGAGACCGCACAGAGCAGCAGGTGCTAAGTAACGTGGAAACAGAGAGAGCCCGGGACCAGGCGGCTTCGGAAATCATGCATTTGCCCACCGGACCACGTGGAGACCCTGAACACAAGCCAGCCTCGCTGGCCCCCAGCAGCCCCCAGCAGCCCCCAGCCGCCCCCAGCGGTGGGCTTGGTTGACTTTCAAATGTGTCTTACAGGCACTAGGGAGTCAGGAGGGTGTTTGAGAGTGACACTACCAGGAGAGTGAGTGGTTTCCTAGCAACAGCAGCAGCCAGGACCAGCTCTGCCACCTGGGACCTCAGACAAGGTCCTTATTTCTTAGGACTTCATTTCCCCTGCTGGAGAGGGTAGCACTGGGCCAGAGGTTCTGCATTTCAAGGTGTTTGAAAGGCCCTCTGAAAACACAGCAGTGGGTGTGGGCATTGGCACGGCCTCCCGACCTTTGTGGAAAGCAAGAGCATGTTGATCAAGATTTCAAATGTGCCCTTTACCTTAGGAATCCCTCACACGGGCACAGAGGTGCCAGCCAATGTGGGGCTGACGGAGGGGCAGTGGCACCACCAGGTGGGGCCCGGCAGGACAAAGGAAGCTGGATGTCCTCACGGCTGGCGCGGCAAGAGGCCCTGGACATGAATTGGTGCCAAAAGGCCTGCGCAGGTGTGGCCTGCCCCCAGGAGAGTAACTGACCACCTGCAGGAGTGGGGGTGTGCGAGTAAAACCCACTCCCAGGATTTTTCTGCTTTTTTTCATTTTAACAGCTCTGAAATCGTGTTGTCTTATCTCAGACCAATGGCATCTTAAAGTTAAAATGAAGCAAAACTGGTCAGGAGCCTGTACGCACAGGACACCCAGAGGGAAGTAGGACTTTCACTTTGTCAGGCCACCCCAGGCTCCTTTTTTTAAAATTCAACAGCACCTGTTACTTTATATAAACCATCTTGACACAGATGTTCCTCGAGGACATTGCGCTAAGTGAAATGTCAGTCAGAAAGAGACAAACAACAAAAAAAAAAAGTGTATGATTCTACTTGTTTGAAGTCTTTAAAGTAGCCACATTCCTAGAAGCAGAATGGAGCACGGTGGTTACCAGGGTGGGCAGGCGGATTCCGAGTCATCTAGTAGAAATAGAGTTTCCGATAACGCAAGATGACGATGTTCCGGAGCGCCAGTTCACAGCCACGTAAATACACTTAACACGACTGACCTAGCTACACTTAAAGCTGGTGAAGATAGAAAATTCTGTGGCTTTTTTACAATCAAAAATAAAATTTTTAAATGTGAAACTTTAAGTACCTTAAGTTTTAATTATTTAATTTGCATATGACCTAAGGTTTTCCATCAGGGCTGGGATACTGAAGTTTGGGGATTTTTTCCTCCCACTTATAACCTAGAAGAAGGGAGAGAGGAAGGGAAAGAGGCAGAAAGAAGGGAGGCAAGGAGAAAGGAAAGGAAGAGCAGAAAGGAGAGCGGGAATGAAAACAAGTGCATGGAAGAAAAAACATGGACGTTTCTACCCTCGACTATAAATAGGGACTAGAACTGCGAGGCGTCCTCACTTCCTATCTTACATCATTTGTATGGTTTAAATTATTGTATGTGATATAAAAATACCTAAAAACATAAGCATATAATTGAAACCAAACTTAAGAAAATATTTTGGTCAAAGAAAGAATTCTGAAGTTTGAAAACATGTCCGTGTCGAGGGGCTGGGGGTGAACTGGGGCAGCCTCCCTTTGAGGGTCACAGCTGGATCACACAGACCCCAGGTTCGGGCTGGCCCAAGTGGGCCAGGGGTCAGGGCGGCCACCGAAAGAGCTGGAACAGGGGCTTGGAGAAGCACCCGGGCCCCCATGGGGCAGGAAAAATGCCTATTCCCACATCCCCACGGCCCAGCATGACCTTAAGCTCCCCACGGAGCCCCTGTCGCTTCAACACACTCACCACCTGAGTCAGGTCAGGTGGGCCCAGGCCCTGACCCTGCAAACTCCCTGGCCAGCCCGCTGCAGTCCAGCAAGGAGGATGGTGCCCTCGAGTGGGCTCGCCTCCCCCGGGGCTCCCTGCCGCTGCCACAGCCTGCTGAGCAGGGCTGTGCCGCCCACCCTAGGCTTTGTCCCTGCCACCCTCCCTCCCTACCTGACATTCCCAGCCCCATCCGTTGCAGCTAATGCACCGCATAAGGTGGCTACTGGGAGCGTGACACGCATGTGAATGGAGAAAATCGGGGTGCCATTCCTGTGTCCAACTCCACGGCTCACCGTCCCCACTGGCCCAGCGCCAGGAGAGCTCTTGCTCAGGCCCCAGCAGGCTGCCTGCCCATGTCTCACACAGCCACCCTTTGTTCGGCCTCTGCTCCCAAGGGCATCTTATCTGCCTAAACAGGTTGTAATCTCCCAGAGTCACGGACCCCTTTCCTCGTGCCAACCTAGAGTAAACAAGTCCTCTCTCTGAGAGGCTGGCGGCAGGAGAGGCAGCATCCACAGCACCACACCCTCCCAGGGAGGCCTGAAACTACCTCCTGCTGGGCCCTGCAGGAAATTCTGGCTTCCGACCCACAGCACCCCCAGGCCCCAGAGCCAACCTCTGCCCCCTCCATCCCCTGCTCTGCCTCCTCCCCCTCCTGTCCTCCCAGGCTGCTTTCAGGGACACAGGGATATGCTTCTCCCACCCTCTCCCTGCCGGAAGCTCTCTCTCCAGAGCTCAGCAGGACCCTTTTGGTCCTTCAGGCCTCGGAAGAACGTCACCTCCTCAAAAGTCCCTCTGGCAGCTGCCTGTGTCATTGTCTTTGTAACCCTTAGGAGTCAGACTGGGACAGAACCCATAGTGGGGCCCCTCCTCTCCCTAGAACCTGAGCCCCTGAGAGAGCAGAGTCTGGGGGCTCCAAGGTGAGGAGACTTGCCCAAGGTCACAAAGGCAGGGGGAGGACTGGAAACGCCAGCTGGGCTTGGTTCCAGAACCCTGCCACCCAGGGTTTGACTCACTGGCAGGCTGACAGAGCTGGCCGTTCTGCTGGCCTCCTAGTCCGCAGCCTGCAGGGTGTGGGTACAGTCCAGAGAAGGCCTGCAGCGCAGGGCCACAGGGAGCTGAGGGGCATCTGGAGACACAGGAACTGGAGCCGGAGCTTAGGTGCATTTATTCCTGTACAAATCATTACAAAACCGAGTCTGGTGTAGTTGCCAGCCCCCACCGTAATGTGCAATGGCTCGCTGCTGGCCTCCCAGTCCACAGCCTCCTCCAGGAAGCCCTCCAGTCTTCCCTCTGGGCTCTGGGAGGCAGGGGGCAAGCCCCACCCGGGTCCTGCAGTAAAGTGCCTGATGCAGAGTCGGGGGACAGAACCAGGTGACCCGGTAGAGCCTTCCCAGGCCCAGCTCAGGGAGAGCCTTGGAAGCCTCCAGCAGCTGCAGACAAGGGGGCTACACAAAACCCCAGTTTGGCTGGGATTCCCCCTTTCTCAGCCTGCAAGGCTCCCCAACAGGTGGAAAGCCTCCCTGCAGGATGGCAGAAAATGGTGCCTGGCTCTTCAGGAGCCAAGCTAATGGCAGCTGGGCTGAGGGGCTAAGAAAACAGCGGAAAGGTCTCATCCCGGTTTAGAGTCCCCCAGACCCTGGGGAAGTTTGCGCAAAAATACCCTCAAGTTTCTAGGAGGAGGAGACCGGCAAGGGGTCCCCTGACATCCCAAGGAGCTGAGCCCCCAGGGGGTAGTTGATGGGGGGAGCCAGGCTTCGAGAGAACAGACCCAAGGCAGCCGGTGGGCGAGGGAGGGGCCCAGACACCCGGTCCCCTGGCACTGGGGCAGCGCCCACCCCCGGACGCTGGCCCCCCACTTCTGGGCCCCCCACCTCTGGGCGCCCCCCATCCCGCCGGCCTCAGACGGCTCTTCCGGCTCTGGAAGGCGAGGGGGGCATCAAGGCCCACCTCCGTGGGGCAGGACCCAGCGACCCCGCCAGAAGAGAGGGCGCCGGCCGTCCTGGGGCGCTGACCGAGGCTGCTGGGAAGGGGCAGGCCTCAGCCTCCGACCGCTCGGAAATACCCTGATTGACGCGCTCTGACCCTGACTGCGCGAGAAACACCTCGACACCCCTGACGAACCGCGCAGAAGCCCGAGACCCTGATTGGCCACAAAATACCCCCATGCGCCGACTGGCTGGAGGCATCACCCCGCAAGGCCCTGACTGGCCGGAGGACCCCCCGTCAGCCCTGACTGGCCAGGGCACACTTCGGCCAGCCTCGACTGGCCAGGAGGGCGCGTCCAGGACGGGGCGGACACCGCTCCCCGGTCCCTCGAGGGCGGCCTAGGTCCAGGACGGGTGGGAGAAGGTGATGCCGTAGAGCTGGGCCCAGGATGAGAAGACCCTCTTCTCGGTGATGAAACGGTGGTGGTTGCCCTTGCGGCTGTGCTCGTTCTGGATGTAGGTGACACACTCGTCGGGCCCCTTGGGCTCATAGTAGTGGTAGGGCATGCGCTGCAGGCGGGGCCGCTGGCTGGGCAGAGCACACGGGCCAGTGAGCGCGGGCCCGGCACGCCCTGCCCGCTCCAGCCCTGGCCTGCTGCCGGCCATCGGCCGGGAGGGCTCCCTGCCCCTCCCTGGGATGGGTCCCATCTGTGAAATGGGTAGGGTGGAACAGGTGTAGACCATGACGTTTTTTTCTTTTTTAGCGCAGCCCAGCCTTTTCCTTTCTCCAGGAGGACCGCAGCGCAGGGAGGGTCGGGCTGTGGGCTCTGGAGCCTGCCCCACCCCCTACTATTTGTGGAAACGTCCTCAGGTTTTCTCCTCTATGAAGGGGGAAGAATAATGTCCCTACCCCTTAGGGTCACCATGAGGAATAAATGAGGTCATTGCGGTCATGCTTGGTTACCCGGGCAGCACTAGCGGAAAACAGCTGCCACCACTCAGCTTTTCATGCCATAGTGATAGTTCTTATTAATATCCAGACTCTGGAGTCTGCACCGGAGGTGGGGCCCTGGCATAGCTCCCAGGGGCCCAGCTCTCTGCGGAGCTGTCTGAACACCATGAAAGGGAGGCCCATGAAGGCATCCTCTTGGCCAAGCCTCCAGGCCCCCAGCTTCATCCTGAGGCCAATGACGGATTTTGCGGGGGCTCACCTGCAGTAGTCAGGAGGGACCATGCCGTAGACGTGCACGTGGTCACACAACTCCACCGCAATCACCATGGTGAACCAGCCTGTGCTCAGCCACGAGTGGGACTTCTCCCTGGAGGCAGAGAGGGGTCATGATGAGGGCCGGGACAGGCAGGGAGGGAGGGTCAACTCACAGGGGGGGTCTCTCAGAGCTCCTCGCCCCTCCAGCCAGGGGGCACACCAACAATTTGCTACCCTTAGTGCAGCCCCCCTGGGGCCGTGCCACAGGCTAGCACAGGGCTTGTCTGGGCAGATGCACCAGGTGTGGAGAGAGCACCCTGGAGGGAAACAGAGGGTACAGGGCATGCTGGGAATAAACTCCTGGGAGAACCAGCACACTTGGGCTGTGAATTCCCAGGCTGAGAATGACCTTGGCCACACAGCGTGCTGAAAGGATGGCGGGATAAACAGACAAGAGCCTAGAGCTGTGTGGCCCACAACTGCAGCCACAAGCCACCTGTGGGCACATGAGCCCTGACCCGGGGTTGAGACACAGTGTGAAGACACATGGGATTTCTTAGTGTGAAAAAAGAATGTGGGCTGGGTCGTGATGATTTTTGATATCGAGTACATGTTGACTTACAAATTTTTTGCAAGTATTTGAATGAAGGTGTTTTTTTGAAAAGTTTAAAAGAAAATAAACTTCTCCCAAGACTGATAAAGAAGAGCGAAAAGACACAAATTAGAAATATCAAGAGTAAAAAAGAGGGCCTCCCCTGGTGGCGCAGCAGTTGAGCTCTGGGCTGCGAGGCTGCCCGCAGCCTCTGCAGCGCTGGTTGGTTCCACGGCTGCCAGCGAGAGTCCCACAAAAAAAAAAAATAAATAAAATAAAAAATAAATAAAAAAGAGACCTGTAGACACCAGAAGGATAATTAAAAAAAAAAAAAAAACTACACACGTGAATTTGACAACTTAGGTAAAATGGGTCAATTCGTTGAAAATGACAAGCTACCAAAATGTACCCAAGATAAAATAGATAACCTGAATATCCTGTAATTATTAAAGGAAGTTAATTCATAGTTTAAAATCTTCCCAAAAGGGGGGCCTCCCTGGTGGTACAGGGGGTTAAGCACCGCACTATGAAACTATCCGCAGCTTCTGCAGCAGGAGCTCGATCCCTGGTCGGCCGGGGAGCTACCCACATGGCGCAGCAGACCTCTCCTGTCTCCCCACTGCTCCCCTCAGCAGTGTATTTCAGCCAATCTGCCTATTCTGTTCCCCACTCTGTCTCCAGTGAATCCTCTCACCCTCCCCCACCTCTGGCTTGCACCCCAGCTCTTGTACGCATAAATAAATAAATCTTTTAAAGTAAATAAATAAATAAATAAAAACAAAATCTTCTGAAAAAGAATCTCAAGCCTTAGAGTTTCACTGGCAAATTCTATCAAACATTTTAAGAATTAATACCAGTTCTACACACTCCCAGAAAATAAGAAGAAATATTTTCCAATTCATTTTCTGAGGCCTGCACTACCCTTTTACCAAAGCCAGTTAAACAGTACCAACAAGAAGAATAATATATGACAACCAAGTGGAGTTTATTCCAGAAATGCAAAGCTGACTCAGTTTTCAAAAATCAATCAATATAAACCCACCATATTAATAGTCTGAAGAAAAACCATGTTATCAATTTATGCAGAAAACAATCAAATTCAATACCCAGTCATGGTAAAAATTCTATCAAGGTTGAGAGGTGATACCATCCCAGGAATTTTTGTAAATTTTTATTAAGCTAGAATTAAAAAAAAAACAAAAACAAAAACAAAAAAATCTCTTAGAAACTAGTGGCAGAAGGAACTTCCTCAACTGGTGAAAGCCAGCTGCAAAACCTTCTGCTTACACTATAATTAATTGTGGAAGACTGAATGCATCCCCCTAAGCCTGGGGCTGAGAAGAGGATGTTTGCTCTCACCGCTTCCAACATTGCACGGAACATCCTAGCCAGTGCAAGATGGTGAGATAAATAATAGGCATACAAGACTGGAAGGAAGAAATAAAACTCCTTTGTTGCATGTACTTACAAAGTGATCATCCACATAGAAAATCCCAAAGAATCTACAAAAATCTCCTAGAACTAATAAGTTGTGCAAGGTTACGAGATATAAGCTATAACATACAAAACTCAATATTTCTATATACAAGCAATGAAAAACTAGGAGCCAAAAACCATTTTGAATACGATCTAAATAGTAGCAAAGTAGTTTAAATATTTAAGTATAAGCCTAACAAAATATGTACAAGATCTAAATTGGTCATATTATGTAAATAAAATTACAAAATTAAATTCATTTCAGTTTTTTCTCTTTTAATGTGGCTCCTATAAAAATTTAAATTACATATGTGGCTTTTATTATATTTGTACTGGACATCACTGGCCTAGCTTTTTTAGGGAGATTAATCAAGAGCAGGACATGCTGGAAATGAATAGCCTTAGAACAGAGCATGCTGGGAGCAACTGTGTGCTTAAAGCGAGACATGCTGGGAGTAGCCAACACTTCCCACAAGGAACGCAATGGGAGGTCTCCTTACAGATTCTAGGAGTGACTGTGCAACCTCAGAGCAGAGCAAGCTGGGAGGCCCTGTTCCCTCAGCACAAAGCATGCTGGGAGGAAGCCCTCCTGGGGAGACAGGACCATGCAGAGCACACTGGCAATGACTCATGCTAGGAGCTGGATGTGAAGAGAACTCCCCTAGGAGACCTGAGCAGAGGGTGACTAGAAATGGTCACATCCTCAGCAGTGCGTGGAAGAGGCCCCAGGCCAAGGAGGAGCACAGGGCTGGACAAAGGGGGGCAGGCAGGAGGCTGGTACCTGTCCTTGCCTGTCTCACCCCGGAAGAGGTCGTCAAACTGGCGCATGCGGCCGGGAGAGACGGCGTAGGCCTCCATGTTGGGGAACACCAGGCCTGCCCGCTGGATGAAGCGCACGAGGCTGCCCTGGGGCTTCTGCATCTTGTTAGGGGGACCCCAGAAGATGAACACGGTTTCGGGGGTCCGGTTGACGAACTCCTGGGGCCTCCGCAGCACACGGAACACGCTGGAATGGGCCACCACGCGAAAAGTGGTCTTGTTGCCCACGTCGGCAGAGTAGCCCGTGGTGGGCGCGTCGTTCATGCGGATGGTGCACTCCGCCCGCTCGATCTCGGGGCCCAGCTTGGTGCCCAGTAGGTGGCTGGAGCTGGTGACAATCACACACTGGCGGCACCGGGAGGGCAGCGTCTGGGGCACGGAAAGTCAACACTGTCAGGACCACTCAGTGCAGGCCCCAGCCTGTGCCCTCAGGCCTCAGGAGACCGGTGATATTACGCCCACTGTAACGACAGGCAGCTGAAGCCTGGCTGTTCAACATTCAACACGTGTCAATAAGGAATAATCACATGACACATGACAGAGAGTGACAGCAAGCTGGCGAGTGGCCAGGTACTGGGGACAGAGCAATGAGCAAAGGAGACCAGACTCCTGTCTTCGAGAAGTTCACAGTCAGTGAGACAGGCGCTGAGCAAGATAAAATCATGCCAGGTAATAATAAGTAACGTGCAGGGAAGAAAACAAAAGAGGGGAAGAGGGTCTAGCTACTCTAGGAAGGTGGTCCTGGAGGCCTCTCTGAGCTGAGAAGGAACCACACAGCGAAAGGTATTAAAGGCCCGAGGACTGGCAGGACTAGAGGCTCTGACATGGGAACGACCGTGGTTTGCTGAGAAGCAAAAGAAGGTCACTCCCTTGGTCGGGGCAGAGTTAACAAGACAGAACAGGACCGCCATGAGGGGGGACCCTTGAGTCACATGGGGAGGAACGCGGGCCAGGACCGAAGCCAGGTCTATGGGCTATGAGGCCCCAGCCTCAGCCCAGCTCCCCCAAGAGCACATCCTCCCCGGTGCCCTGAGGCATGTCCACATCACCCATAAACAAGACACAGCTTGTCAAGAAGGAAAGGAGGTGCAGGCCCTTCCGGGTCACTGTTTCCCCACTGGTGAAATGACCCAGTTGGAACCCCTGTTTCTGGGGCCATTTTCTGCCATGGAATTCTCTCACTCAGCCCTCAAGACTAAGCTCTGGTGGCTTCCCTCAACCCTGACTCCAAGATCCAGCAACACGTCCCGTGCACCTCCACCGAAGGCTTTTCCAGCTTTCCTGAGCTCCAGTTTTCTGGCCTCCCGGTCAGGCTGGAAAGAGCTACAAACCAAGCTCTGCTTCAGTCCTTCCACATCACTCACTCAAGCCCTTCCACATTCTCCTGGGCTCCTTTTTAATTTTTCTTTCAGGGACCTTTAGGGTACAGAAAGTACCCTAAACTAGGTGTGTCTCTGTCTCTGAACACCTGCTAATGAGCACTGTCCCTGTGAGGGTCTGTCGAGAGCCCTGGGCCCTCCACACTGCGTATGTGAAGACCCTGAGAAAATGGGGGGTCGTGAGGGAGGAGAGGTGGCACCCTCAGGGAGACTTCTTCCTCCTGGAAGGTGAGGTCCATGATCAAGGTCCCTAATTTTCTCCCTGACCTCAGGGAAAATGATTAGGGCTTGGAGGACAGCAGGATGAATCCCGGAAATACCACCTGAGTTTCAAGGCTACCAAGCAAATAGAAGCCCCCAGGAATGACTTTTGGCCTCTCAACAAGCTGTACTCAGAAGGGGCTGAGGTTCCTCCCTCCTGTGTGACCTTGGACAAGTGTCTTCCCCTCTCTGAGCCTCGGTTTCCTCACCTCTTTGGTAGATGATAGTAACAGTGCGGCGCTCACAAGGGAGGTGCAAGGATGACTGGTGATCGCGGTGCCCGGCACACAGCAGGCCCTTGACAAAGGGCAGCTGCGACTGTCTGTTTTATGTCGTCGGGTGCCCCCATGGTCCTGCTCCCAAACCCGCTGTGGGGTCCCCAGCAGAGACAGAGGTCAGTGAAAACCAGAGACACCCCTCCAAAGGGATTCTGACTCAGGACCTGGCAGGAGAGTCACACGAAGGGTGGGACCTTGGAGAGAACTGAGGCGCAGAGAGGGACAGGAGACTTGTCCCGGGTCACACAGCAAACTAGGGGCTGAAGGCTCTGGAAGCCAAGCTCTGGCCTCCTGGGTCCATCCTCGCCTTTAGGAAGGATGGGAGTGGGGAAAGCAGAGGTGGGGAGGAGGAGGCAGGGGCCGTGATGCTGGGCAGCGGCGGGGGATCAGCTGCCACGCAGGTCCCAGGGAGCCCCCCAAAATGGCCGCCTACCTTGTTGCCAAGAATAGGGATGTAGCCATCGGAGATGCGCCACTTCTTGAGGTTGACGGGCCGGCGGGTGCGGCCTCGCAGGGAGCCATAATGGAAGACCTCGTTGGCACTGTTGGAGCTGTAGAGGATGAGGATGGTGATGAGGGCAAAGAGGATCACGAACACTGCTGACCGCTGCTCCTGGAGAGGGGAGAGGTGGTGAGCGCCAGCCACCCGGCAGCCTCGGCGGCTCCCGTCCTGGCCACCTGCCATGCCTGGCCAACTCCTTCCCTGCATTCCAGACCAGCCAGGCACTACCTCCCCAGGAAGCCCTCCTGCAGCCCTCTGAGCACACTCGTTCCAAGCCCCACCACCACGCCATCCCTAAGACCATGAGCTCTGGGGGTTGGGACTGGGTCAGTCTTGCTCCCCACTCTATATATGTATCCCAGCTCCCGGAAGGCTCTTGGGGAGCGCTTCCTGGATTGCACGGGCCGCTGTGGAGTCAGCAGGACCCTCCTGCTGCAGCTGGAAGCCTGCCTGGAGACAGGTGGGACATTCAAACAAAGAGGGCCCCAGCCTTCCCCAAGAAGACTGCAAAGTCTTCTTGCAGGGTCTGCAAAGTTAGGTGTGATCTGGGGGGTCCTGGTTCTTTGTGAACAGCAGCCCTGTGCCAGTTACGAAGTGTTGCGTCTCAGCTCCAAGCTCACCCTTTTGGCCTGCTCTGTGGAAACAGATCTGAGCCTTTCAAAGGTTTTGTCTTCCCCATTGCCTGCATATTAAGCTGTGTCAATAGAGGAGAGGGCGCTGGAGAGACACTGCAGGAGGAAAGGAGCTGGCTGCCCGGCTCGTGAAGCAGGGCGGGGTTCTCCAGCAGCCTCGGGCAACCAGCCGCCCACCACCGCTTCCTCCAGCACCCACCTCTGCAGTTTGGGAACACAGTGCTCTGACTCCAGATGTCGGCTGTGACCACAGCTTCCCCGGAGTCCCGCTCATGGTCACACAACCATCTAGACTGCCCTGAGACCACAGCTTTCGGTTGTCTGGGGCAGTTTTCTATCAGAGCCTGGAGCGCCTCCCTGCAGCCATTTCCCATGACGGCCTTCCCTGCAGCCAGGAGGGTGGGCTGAGAACAACTACCAGCACATGCGAGCTGGGCTCTCGGCCCCCCAGGGGTCGCAGCTGTGCCCTCTCCAGCCAGGCCTGGACATCAGTCCAGGGTGCTGGCTGCGCCTTCTGCCTCCTATTCCTGTATTCCTTAGAGTTCCAGCCCCTCGTTACTCCCATGCCCAGTTACAGTTACTTCTTTATTTTTTTTTAATATTTATTTATGCATTCAAGAACTGGGGAACAGGCCAGAGGTATGGGGAGGTGGTGAGAGGATTCACCAGAGACAGAGTGGGGAACAGAATAGGCAGAGGGGAGCAGCAGGCGAGTCAGGAGAGGTCTGCTGCGCCATGTGGGTAGCTCCCTGGCCGGGGAGGGAACTCGTGCTGCAGTGGCTGTAGATAGCGTCATAGGTTGCGTCTTAACCCCTTGCGCCACCAGGGAGGCCCCACAGTTACTTCTTTAAATTTACCTTTCCCTGTTCAAATCACTGTAAGGTTCCTCTCTCAGCTTGCACCCAGACTGAACCCCCAGAACATGCCACCCGTCCATCATGATCTACAAGGGATCGTGGGCTCGAGGGAAGGGGTGTGCAGGGCCAGGCACACCAGGTGCTCAGGAAATGAGTGCACCGAGGACGGCGATCCTGATCAAAACGTTCTGGCATCTATTGCTCTGGCCATTCCCCCTCCCCCAGCCTTCCACTCACCCCCACCTCCCCACGCCACCCTCACGCCTGCACGGACTTCACTCTCACCGTCCCCACCACCCCTCTCCTTCTCGACCGGTCAAACCCAAGAGACCAGACGTGGACCTGGGCCCGGAGAGAGGCAGGGGCTTGCCCAAGGCACACCCATCGGGGGCCAGAGAGGGCTCAAAGCAGGGCCTCCATGCATCGGCCACCACTTGGCGGGGACAGGCTCATGGTAGCCGGGGTCTGAGCAAGTCTGCAGGAGCCTCTTTCACAGACGGAAGTAAGAGGGGACAAGAATGCAGGGCACTTACTTTGTTGCTACTCATCTCTCTCCGGCGTCTGCTGAGGGGCAGGGGCCAGTGTCCCGCAGGTGGCCCAGGGGACAGTGATGTGGGCTCACACCTGCAAACCACAGAAAGGGTTATGGCCTGGGGACTCACCCCAGCGTCCAGCTGCTCAAAGGCTACACCCTACACACACACACACACACACACACACACACACACAGAGCTCATCTGCCCACCTTTACTGTAAGGCTGAGGGCCATATTGATTTTGCAGGGGACCCTGAGGCCCAGAAAGGGCAGTAATTTGCTCTCCCCACACCCTGGCTCTCCTAGGCAAGTGGCTTCCTTGCTGGGGGCCCTGATGGGGTCCCCTATCCACTCTCCTACCCTAAGTCCTGCATGAGGCCCACATGGAGGAATAAAGACATTCCCTGTGGGTCTTCACTCTGTGCACAGCTCCGCCCCGGGCTACAGAAACCAGCCGTCTCTCTGGAGCACCCTGCCTGCCCGTGCCCTGGTCACCGCCGCTCGTCCTCTAAGCCTGGGCAGGCCAACCTGCGTGTCCCCTCCCTGCCAGCTGAGCGCTCTCAGAGGCACCATCCTCGCCCACAGCGGAGGCGAGAGGTGAGAAGGATGCAAGGACCCCGAATGACTCCATTAATTAGCCAATTAAGATCTTGTGGGTGAAGACAGACTCATCCACCAGTGGCTGCAACCACAGCCCCACACTGGCGAGGGGGCTCTGGGTTCCACGGAGCCTCGGGCAGTCCCGCCCTCCTGCCCCGGGGGCAGTGGCTTCCCTGCGAAGGGACAAGGCAGGCTCTGTTCCTCACTCCCAACGACAACACCCCTCCATCCTCGCCAGGGGAGCCGCTCCAGACTCAGTTTCCCCACCTGTCAAAAGGAGCAAGTACTTGGGTCCTGCCTCCTCCAGCAGCTTCCCGGCCAGAGGGCACCGGGGAGTTGCAGAAGCCGAAAGCAGGCCCTGGGGGACTCCCAGCTCTGCTCCCTCCTCGAGGGGCCTCTGAGCTCCAGCCGGGATCTCCGCCCCCTGACCTAGCTGCGGTTCCCTCCTCCCCAGACACCAGGAATAGCCCGAAAAACCTCGGGCCAAAGGAGGGGCCCCGCTCCTGATTGGCCAGGTCCTGGCTCCGCCCACCCCCAAGCCCAACCCCCATCCGCGGAGCCCCCCCTTTCCAGCCCGGCTTCAGGTTTCCACCCAGATGCAGCCCTCTCAACTACTCCGAGAGGTCCCGGGCCTCTCACGGGCTCAGTCCCCCGTGAAAGATCTGGACACAGGCTCCCCAGCAGGGCGCGCCGCCCGTCCTGGCCCCGCAGTCCGGGCAAAAGACAGAAAAGCCCAGAAGCCCAGAGTCGCCCCATCAGCCCTGGGGCCTCTGGCACCCCGAACCTCCGGGGTGCACATGCCCCCACCCCCCTGCCCTTTCCTTGCTCCAGACACCGGAGCTCACCCGCCCCGGGCTCGACCCACCTCCCGCCTGCGCCTGAGCAGGGCCCCGGCCGGGCCCGCCGTCCGGGTCAGCCCGTCGGGGTCCAGCTCTGGGCCGGCCGCGGGCAGCGCAGCCTCGCAGCGTCATCCCGGGTCCACTTACTGGCTGAGGGGCCTCGAGCACGCCATGCGACCGCCGCGCGCCTCAGGGTCCTCATCTGCGGGTGGGGAGAGGGCGCGGCTCGGCCTCCTGAACGGACTCAGGCCGCGGGGCCGGGGCAGCGCGGGGCTCGGGGTGCCCGCGGCCGGCAGCGGCCGGGGCTGTGGTCACTCACGTTCCCGGCCGCTCACCACGACCTGCCAGTGCAGCCTGCGCCCTCGTCCGCCCCAGCCCCGCCGCGCCCGGGGTGTGCGGGCAGCTGTGCGGGAAGCGGTGCGGCGCCTGGGGGGTCGATCCCCCATTTCACAGGCGAGGAGACTGAGGTCCCCGGGCGCCGAGCGCACGGGCAGGGCTGCCCGGAGCCCGCAGCGGGCCCGTTCACAGGCCTGTTGACAGGGTGCGCCCCGGGACTGAGCCCCCCGGATCTCCCTCCAGGAGCCCACGCACCCTCCCCCGCGGCTGAGATAAGCAGAGGCCAGAGCGCCGGGCCCGGCCGGCACCGGCACCGACACCGGCACCGACACCGACTCCGGGGAGCAGGCCTGCGGGGAGCCACTCAGGCTGGGGGGCTGCAGCTCCGATCGGGGAGACTTCGTGCGTGGGCGGAGGGGGGGCACACCCTGCCCTCAGTTTGGGGCTTTGCCTCTCCCAGCCCAGGGGGTCCCCCCACAGGAGTGAAGCCCCCACGAGCGGCGTGGGAGGAGGGCTCCGCGGAGAAGGGGGAGGGGGACCCTAATTCAGAGACGGGGTGTTGAGCCCAGGGGTCCACGGGGGCGGGCGGGGGGGGCGCCTCACCCTCGGCGCCCGGCTCGGGCTGCCCCTCCCGACCCACCCCCGCGCTCGGGGTCCGAGCCCGGCCTCACCTGGGGTGCGCAGGGAGGCTGGACAGCGGCAGGGACGGGGCGGTCAGGGCAGGAGGCCCTGCGGACCCCGAGGCCGTCCTTGGGGCGAGGGCCGGGGGTTCCCTGCGCGGCTGCCAAAAGAGAGCGGGTCTAGGGGGGCCCCGGGGCCCCCCCGCATCAATTCCTCTCCCCGGCGACCCCCGACCCCTCACCCCCGAGCAGACCGAGCCTCCCCCGCTCCCACGAGGCGCAGCTCACCTCCCCCGGGGAGCGCCCGGCCCCCCGCGGCCCCGGGCCCCCTCACATGGCGCCGGTGCCGAGAGCCGGGTCCGCGATGCTCCGGCCGCCCAGGCCCCGCCGCAGCCCGCGCCCGCCGGGTCCTAGCGCCGCCGCCGGGCCTGGGAGGCGGGCGGGGCCGGGGCCGCGGTGGCTCCGCCCCGGGGCGGGGCCGGGGAGGGGGCGGCCGAGGGGCCCCCTGGCCCGGGGCGCGCGAGGGCATCGCGTTCGCCTCTGGGCCGCCTGGGAAAATAGCCCCTGCGTCCGGAGGCCTCTAATGAGGCCCCATTCTTGTCTGGCTTTATTGTCGCCACGGTCCGGATGGGGAAACTGAGGCCCAGGGCACAGTACGCTCCGGAACTTGTTGAGTTTCTCCCTGGGCTCCTTTCAGCAAGGCCCCCAGAACCTTGCACCCTTGCACGAGCAGCCACCGCGGTGAACTCGGGTTCACCCTTGGAGTCAAGTCCACTTCAGCCATTTACTACTAGCTGCGTGGCCTTCGCACATTCCCTTCCCTTCCCTTCCTTGCCCTTCCCTGCGCTAGAACCACCTCGCAGAGGGTGGTGGCCATTGAAAACGTTATGTTACTTCTTCTAATTATCGGGCTAGTCATGATATAATTTAATGAGATAGTGAAAAGTAACAGCCATCCATAGGGCCTGGTTTAAAACCCAAAGGCACAGCCCTTGCTGAGTGGATGCTGCGGCTCAAGATGTCCCAGGAAAAGACGTCCGGATACTTAAGCGAGGCGAGCAACTTGAAGAACTGTGTCTTAGTGTTCACTTTGGAAAAAGAAATTGTAAAAATTGGCATTCCACTCCCGGGGTGAAACACTCTGGAGAAATTCTTGCAAATGTACACAAAGTTCAAAGCCACAGTTCTTGAAGTGACACAACCGGAAGCAGCCCATGTATCACCTGCACAAGAACAGGGTTGGTTGGTTTGTTTTTAACAGGATTTTGTTTTTAACATGAGGATGTAGCCCCGGCATGGAATATTATATAGCAGGGGTGAAATGAATGAGCTGCAAGCTCAAGAATGAATCTCAGAGACACAAACTCAGTCAAGGAGTCAAATGTTACTTAACGGGAGAAGTTGCTTAAGCACGGGCCAGAGGGCACCTGTCAGCCAGGCACAGGGCACAGCTTTTGTCTGTCACAGTGATGAACGTCTTAAAAGCAAAAGCCCAGAAACAGTTGTCCTTGTGGGGGGCAGCAGGGATGTGGGAGAGGCACCCAGTCCTTGGAATGAGCTGGTTTTTAACTTGGACGTGGGATTAAGAAGTTCATTATAAAAAAGCAAAACAAAACAAAGAAGTTCGTTAATTATGTTTTATAACTTACAAGTACAATGCATGGCCACTTGTGTGTACCCCAGTATTTCAGAAGTAGGGGACAGGAGGAAAGATAAGTCACATGAGTATAAAGAGACATCTTTTGTCCAAACTGCTGACGAAAGTGTCAACAGTGGCTATTTCTGGACTGATGAGCGATAAGCTGTTTCTTTTCCTTTTTTTGGCTTACCTGTATTTCCATATTTCAGAAAATGGTTAAAGATTTTTAATCTTCAGTTTCGTTTTCTGTAGTTTCAATTACCCAAGTAATAATAAAGTAATGATAAAGTAATAATAAAGTAATAAAGTAATAATAAAGTAATAATAAAGGCAACATGCCTTTATTACATTATATGGTTACAACTACTCTTTTTTATTACTAATCATTGCTGTTCATCTCTCCTGCACCTAATTTATAAATTAAGCTTTAGCATAATGAGGTATGTATAGAGGGAAGAAAATATATCCAGATTTCAGCACCGTCATTTCGGGTATCCACCATGTGCCTCAGAACAGATACCCCAAGGATAAGGGGGGAGGTGGGGGTTATTGTATATTGAAAACATTTAATTTATAAAAAGTGAACTGCATATATTATATGACCCCTTTTTCCTTTTTTTATTTCCTTTCTTTAATCTAACTCTGCCTATGGGCTTGTCAGCACACCCCCAGGTGTCTGGAATCCACTGGGCCAACCACTTGCCCTGGGGTGGGGAGGCTGCCCCGAGAAGGCGCACCCTTCCCTGTTGCTTAATAAACTTCCAGGTTGTTTTGCTTTGGACTAATCTGGTAAGTTAACACAATGTTGTTTTTAATTAAAACAAAACTCAGGGGGGCCCTGAGGTCAAGTCTCCAGGCTCTAAAGACAAGATCCCTGAGGCAGCGGGGCCAGGGGAGGACACTAGTGGACTCAGGGTTTCCTACCCACCCGCCCCCCCAGCCCATCACCACCACAACATCCATGTGCTTCCTGCCCCTCAGCACCTTTCCCACCCCAGGCCCCTCCTGGGCTGCCACAGGAGGAAAAACACCCAGCAGGGGCCCTGATAAACTCTGCCTGGGCCTCAGAGAAAGGGAACCCCTTGCCTGAGGTCACTGGGCAGGTTAGAGGCTGTACCAGGAGGGGGGCATCTTGTCCCCAGCCCTCCTTCCAGCTCCAGCTCAGTGCCCCTACTCTGGATACCAGAGGGTGTGGCTGCCCAGCTCCTGGACCAAACTCGGACCTGGAGGCCCCTACTCCGGTCTGCCACGTTTCTGGACACAGGTTTATCCCAGGAGTCTCCGCTTTAGGTCTGATTTCCCTTTCCTGGGCCCCAAGAACAACCACGTCTTTCTCAGTGCTAAGCACTTTGCAAACATACCTCACCCAAACCTTAAAATAGCTTGTGAGGTGGGTACAAGTGGTGCCCCCGCTTTCCCGAGGAAGAAAGGGAGGCTCAGAAAGCACACAGGTGCTGCAGCTGGGATGCCCACGCCTGTCTGCTGAACGACCACAAGTCTTTCTGCCAGAAGCCCCCCAGGCTGCCCCACTCCCTCACCAGGGCCTTCCTGGATGGGGGGCTGTGGTCAATCCTGCCCTCTGCCCAGAGCTGGGCTTCCCCTCATCCCGCCCTCCCCCATGGCCTAGGGGGAGTGGCCTCACTGTAGTGCCCCCTGCCTAGTATGGGTATCCTGGGTGTGACCCCAGCCATCTTGGTACCATAGGAATTTTCCCTCCCATGGAGTCCTGGAAGGAACACTCCAAGACCTCACCCACTGCTCTAGCTCCCAGCTTAGAGACCGAATCCAAGGCCTGGCGTGCCCACAATTGGCCATGGGTGTTTCCTGGGAGTCAGCCTCTCCCTCTGGGGAAAAAGAAGCTGAGAAAGGGGTCTCTGGAGAAGAGAGGGCAGGGAGCGCCCAGTGGGCAAGGTCTGAAGACAGCGGCTGTTCTGTAAACAGTGGGTCTGGAATCAGGACAAGGACAGAGGCCACAATCGTCAGGCTGACCCAGAAGACACTGGGCACAGGTGACCACCAGTACCCTGAAGACCTGATGTCTTTCCCCACCTGGCTAGCAAGGTCTGAGTGAGTTCCGGGCCTGGACAAGGCCCCTCTGAGAGGAGAGGGCCCTTGAGATATCCCCAGGCTGTAGAGACCTCCCCACCCCTCCTTCCCTGGCTCACCTTGGCCTCTGTCCTCCTCCGGAGGAAGCAGGATCTCCGCAGGCCAGAGAGGACCTCACAGAGGAGCCAGAGGACGGAAAAACAGAAGTGCCCCCCCCCCCCACTTCCCAGGGCTGGGAAAAGGCTCCTGCCCCCACTCACCTCCTGGGAGCTGCGGTCTCCAGGGGGCCCGGTCACCAGGCCCATGAGGAAGTGGCTGGTGGATGGCCCCTGCCAGGTTACCAGCTTGGAACAACTGTTAGGACCAACCCAGAGACAAATACCCCACCCAGGGGCAGAGCCAGGACAGAAGAGCCTCTGTGCATCGGGCTGAAGGGCTGGGTCAGCATTTCCGGGGGGATGGAGCAGGAGGAGAAAGCAACCTCCAGGGAGGGGGCTGAATTTGAATCTCATCAGAACCAGTGACCGTGGGCCAAAGACCAGGGGAGGGGGGGGTAGAGAGGGGAGGCCAAGGAGGTGGGGGGAGATGGGGGAGGAGAGGGTGTCACCACCAAGTAGGGCAGGGTTGGGTGAATGAGGACAACCTCCTTAAAAACAATGGCTCCCACATACTAAGTGCCAGCCCTGGCACTGCGCAGGCGCCAGCTCTCTGGCGTTAGGGATGACCTCGCGACCTTTACACGAGGAAACTGAGGCCTGGAGAGGGACGCTCATCTGCCAGCGTCCCACAGCAGGAACCAGGAGGCCAGATCTGACTCCAGAGCTTCTCGCTGAGCTGGAAGTTCTCCCACCAGCCTCCTGCCGGCCAGTTCACCCCCCACCCTGTCAGACACTCCCCTGCCAGCTTGCTCCCTCCTGCCACGGTGCCCCCTGCTTCCCCCATCCAGAGCCCTCCCTCCTCCCTCACTTGCAGAGCCTTCTGGGTCGGGGGCTGAGCGGGTGGAAACTGGGCACAAAAGGCAGCGTGAATGGCAGATGCCAGGCTCCATCCAGTCCCTTCTAAGAAGGCTGGGGCTGGAGAGTGGGCACGCTGGGTCACCCAGACTCCCAATGACGACCCACTACACAATGTACGAGGTCCACAGCAAAGTGAAAATGTGGGGCCCCAGGTTAAAAAAACCATTAAGGGGCCTCCCGGGTTGCGAAGGGGCCCACATGGCGCGCAGACCTCTCCTGCCGCCCGCTGCTCCCCGCTCTGGCTCTGGTGAATTCTCTCACCCTCCCGCGCTTCTGACTGTACCCAGGGCTTGTATGAATAAATAAATAAATCTTAAAAAAAAAACAAACAAACCATTAAGGATTTCAAGTCAGGGAGAGCAGAGCATTAAGCTAAGTGTGGGGCCCCGACCCCCGGAGCCGAAAGTTGAATCCACAGGCTCCATCCTAGCTGAGGGCCAGAGGACCTGACTCTCCATTAGTCTCCTGATCTCCAGGTGAAGGGAAGGTGGGAGAGAGGGCAGACTGGGAGGGTCCGGTCCCTTGGTGCAGGCCCAGATGCTCAGGCTCGGCCCTCAGACCTAAGATTGCATCAGCAACAGCCAGTGGCTTCATTCACCTCATCTGCAAAATGGGTCAACACTAACCCCTTCCGGGGCGACAGGCCCTTGCTGCCGCACTTTACAGGTCGGGAAACTGGAACCCAGAGAATGCAAGCCGCAGGCCTGCCCCCACTTGACATTCTTGAATGTGACCAACTCCAGAGTTGACAGAACACTTGACTGGAAAAGTCTTGGAATGTGACCCGTGGGCCAGGGAGGTGACATGGGGTGGAGGAATTTCCTTCCCACCCCTAGCTGTTTCCTTCTAGGCCCCTCCCACTGGGTACAGAGGAATCGTCCCAAGTAGCTTCTAAGTAGGAACCAGATTCCTGGCTCAAGTTCAGCCATAACACCAGACCTTTAAAGAAGCTTCCAGATAGGTGGGGAAGGGTTTCAGCTCCTGGGGAAGAAGGCACAGGCAGATAAAATGGCCAGAAGCTGAGCTGGCTGCAGGCGTTGGGGGGTGGGGTGGGGGCTGCTGAGGACTTGGCCTAGGAGTCCACAGCTTATGAGTCTGGCAGGGAGAGGAGCCGCCATCCCACTGCAGAGACACAACCACACTGGACACAGGCATCCAGAAGACACACGTTTACCCGTACACTCCAGATGCGGCCCTGGCAGTCATAGTTCAAAGGCCCCTCTCCCAAGGAACCCCAAGCTCTGGGCTGCCCTGAGTAGGCAGCCAGCCCGGGAAGTGTGGCACCAAAGGCGGGTAGAGGGGAAGTGTAGCGAGAAAGAACCAAGACTGCAGCAAGGTTGAAGGTCATGGTGCTGGTGAGTGTGGAGCCATCAGCCCCGGGGTAAAGGCCACTGGACAGATGTGGAGGGGGGTGAACCCCAAAAGTAAGATTCAGATGACTCAAGGAACGTGGGGTGGAGAAAAGGGTGCAAAGGTCACCATGACACCCTTCTCTCCCCCTGAAGTCTGGAGCCCCAAGGTGGCGGCGAGTGTCCCGGGGCAGGGCGGGAAGGGACCCTAGGTCCACGGGCCTGTGCAGGATCCACAAATTAAGTGGACTTGATGGGACGTGGCTGGAACAGAGGCTGGGTGAAGGCAAGGCTGGTGGTCGGCCAGCTGGGCAGTGGGTTACTGGGTCCTCCAGGACGGGTGGGCGAACACGATGGGTCTCTTCTTGGCCCAGCGGGAAAACACAGCCTTCTCAGTGATGAAGCGGTGGGCGCTGCGGGGCGCCCGCTCGTGTGCCAGGTACATCTGACACTCATCCAGCCGGCCCTTCTCGAAGTAGTGGTAAGGCACTGAGGGGTGGCTCTCCTCCCTGAGGGCGGGGAACAGGGACAGTCATGGGGCACTGGTTACTCGCCTGCCTCCTTGCAGACCCTGCCAGCGCCCACCCCGCAAAGAGCCCCTGGCGGAGGTCCTGCAGAGGCCAGAACTGTAGGGAGGCACAGCGCAGCCCTCGGTCCCAAAGGACAGGCCTGGAGACTCAGGCTGTTTGACTCTGGACCAGAGACAAAACCTGAGAGCCTCGATGACCCATCTGCAAAACGGGGGTACAGGGCTCACAGCCTCATCTGCCTCGGCACCGAGCTCGCCCTCCTGTTCATCGGCCCCACGCCTGCAGGTGGTCTGGCCAGGTGCCACAGCAGAGGGCACATAGGCTCCTGCCAGCTCATCCACACACTCAAGCAAGTTTCAGAAAACAGAGTGGAAACATGGGACCTTCCCTGAACTTCTAGTGACAATGACCCTGAACTACAATGACTTCGGCAGTGAAAACACAGACGTGACTCATCACCGACGCGAGGAAATGGAGGCTGTGGCTGGTGTGACCACCCAAGGCCACGTGGCCGAGCAGAGACCGCATTCTAGCCTTTTCCTGCCAAGCACAGGGCCACCCCAAGCACCTCCGCCCCCAGACCCCCCCGGGGAAGGGCCCATGGCCACGCCAGCCCTGCCTCCCGCCCGGGCCCAGGCCTGACCTGCAGTAGCTGTCGCTGACCATCCCATAGACCACGATCTCCTCGCACAGCTCCAGCGCCAGGATCATGGTGAACCAGCCCGTGCTGAGGAAGGAGCCCGACTGCCTCCTGGTGGGGAGGGACCCAGTCAGCCCTGCACCCCCACTCAAGTGGGAGCAAGCGGTTGTATGGTGGCCCCAGCCTCAGGACCCTCCAGAGACCCACCTCTATACCAGGCTGGGGGTGATTCATTCTAATTGGCACCTCCCAGACCCTGTGCTGGCCAGGAACCAGCCACACCCAGCACTATGGCCCTCAAAGGACTAGACAGAGAGAACAGCTAAAAAGGAAACAATGGAAAGGGATAGAGAAAGGAGGAAGGGAGGTGTTCCTTCCAGAGGGGTGATCAGAGAGGGCTTCTCTGAAGAGGTGACCGCATTAGGCCTGAATGGCAAGGTGTCAGTCATGGGGAGAAAGAACATTCTAGGCAGAGGAAACAGTACATGCAAAAGTCTATAGGCAGGAACCAGTGTGGCATCTGAGGAAGCCCAGATGGCCAGTATGGTAGGAACAGGGTGACCAAGGACAGATGAGATCACAGAGGCAGGCAGGGTCAGATCATACAAGATCTGTAGGTCAGGAAAGGGGAGGCAGTGAGAGTCTGGACTTGATTCTCCATGTGAAGTGAAGCTGCTAGGGTTGAGGAAAGGCCACCAATGGGTTGAATTTGCACGTGTCAGTTGGTGTAGGGGCGAGGGTGGTAGCAGGAAGGCTAGTGAAGGGGGTGAGAAGGGTAGAGGAGGGTGGTGGCACCTGGCGGGGGTGGGGGGGGGTCACAAAAGATCCAAGAACCCCTGATAGGTGGCAGGTGATGGAAGGAGGGGAGTCAAGGACAAAGTCAACGTTTGAGCTGGAGAAGTGGAGGCTGCCGGTGCAGTTCCTGAGTTGGGGAGGCAGCGGGAGGCGGCCAAGGAGTCAGAATGCTCTTCTGTTTGGGGGAGAAGATGAAATCTTAACACAGAGAGCTTAAGCCAAGCCCAGCGCAGGAAGGGTTCCTACAGTAACCGTGACTTTTAGTATCTGGAAGGGATTTCACAGACGATGCCAGGTCTCAGGGCTCCCCCTCCAGGGGGAAGGTAGCCCGAACACGCCCACCACGGGCAGCCAGCGTGGGGCTGAATGCGCATCAGAGCCATTTGGACGCTTGATCTAGGTGACAATTCGATGAATGACAATCCCTCCGATTCCTGCCCCGTCCCCCTTCCAGGGCAGGACCGTGTCTGCCTCCATCACTGCTGACGGAGCAGATCCTTGCTAGACTGGCCCCCGCACGCTGGGGAGGCCCGGGGCTCACCGGTTCTTGCCGGTCTCGTCCTGGAAGACCTGGTCGCAGTAGGCCATCATGCGCTCGGTGAAGGTGTACACCTGCAGGCCGGGGTACATCTGGGTGAGCTGCAGCAGCGTGCGGTAGGTGCGGCCGCCCAGCGTCCGGTCCATGTGCCTGCCCTGGCCCCACACCACGTAGATTGTGTCCCGCGCCCGCTGGAAATAGTGCGAGTAGTTGCGCAGCAGCAGTGGCACGCTCGTGTGCGAGATGACGCGGAGGGTGCTGCGCCGGCCCACGTCCGCCTCGAAGCCCACAGTCGGCGCCTGGTTCATGCGCAGCACGCAGTCAGCACCGTCGATCTCGGCGCCCAGGCCGGAGCCCAGCATCTGGCCGGAGCTGGACACCACGGCACAGCTGCGGCACGGTTCTCGGACCAGCGGCTACAGGAGGGGGTGCGGGGAGGGGTGGTGGTCACACAGTTGCTCCCACTGACTGCAAGTGACCCCTGTATCAGCTCTAAGTACTTTGCCAACCAGTTTTGCACTTGCAGGACCTGAGGCTGGGTAGGTGACTTTCCCAAGGTCACACCAACATCGAGTGGCAGAGCTAAGATTCTGCACGCGGGGCCCCGTGCTTCCTCAGCAGCCATTTCGTTTATGCGCAGTGAGCACGGCCTGAGCAAATTTACAGAGCGCTGAGAGCAGCTCCTGACACAGGCTGGGGGTTATACACAGGTCTGCTAAGTATACTTGAACTTCAGCTCTTCAAGTCAGTCTTCCCCTGCCCGGGCCCCTCTTAGAGGTGCCCACTTAATGAGTAACCGCTGCCTAGTGCCCGTAACAGCCCTGGGGACCACTGGTTCTGAGCCTGATCCTGGCTCTGCCCTGTCGTAGCTGGGTGACCTCAGGCAAGTCACATTGCCTCTCTGAGCTTCAATTTTCTCATCATTTACGAGACAGGGCCTGAGACAAGATCCAAGCACCAGGCTGTGAAGGTCCACTGGTAAATGGCCAGAGTGGCAGGCACTGACCTAGGGTAGCACGAGGCCCCAGCCCTCACCTCCTTCTCTCCCCACGGCAGAAGCTGAACCAACAAGCCTGTAAATATTCACCAGGGGGTCAGGGCGCCAGGACTTGCTCCCCATCCCACACCTGCACGCCCTCGTCGGGGAACGTGGGTTTACAGAGGGCTGTGAAGGACGTGGGGACATTAGTTTCAAGCAGTGACAGACTCAGGGGCACTTTCTATCTAAGCCCACCTTCCGCCCCAGCAACAGCGACCATGACTACCGTATTCTGCCGGCGCTTTGAGTCTGTCCTGGCCCGAGGACAGCCCCAGGAGGCGTTCTCTTGTGCCAAACAAGATCTTTAAAATTGTTCATTCCTAACTTATAAGAGTCAGTCCTTTTGACATTCAGATACCAGGATTTCCCACTTGTCTTAAAAATCCCAGAGGGTCTGGCTGCCCTGGGCCCACATCCATGAGCTCTGAGTGTCTGGAATGAAAGCGGACCAGCATGCACCCGGCCCCCCATCACTTGTCCCACCCGGCAAACCCACAGCACACTCGCGTCTGCTCCCCATCCCCACCCCACCCCACCCCACCCCCAGTTGTGTCTACTTCCTGATCAAATATTTATACAGCCCCTGAGCTGAACGCTTCCATAAATCATCTCCGCGAAGCTCCAGATCAAGAAGGGGCTACAGCTGTCTATGCGCCCCCAGCCCCAGGTTCCCATCTCCCCCAAGAGAGGACAGCTCTGGGGTTAACATAACTTTCGTCTGTATCATCTTGTCCTCAGCAGCCGTCAGCACAGAAGACACATCAAAGGCAGCAGGTGCACCCCTGCTGAGCCCACGGGTGGTGTGTGCTGACAGTGAAAGCACAGCATGGGTACCACACTGTCATGTGGCCATGCCTGTCTCCCCTGCCAGACCCGGAGCTCCAGGTGGCCAGCACCCAGGGGAGAGCAGCCAGGCAATAATGTTGAATCATAAAACCAGTTTCCGCTTAGAACTTGGGGCTCAGAGAGGTGAAGTGATTGGTCAATGCCAGACAGCTGGTGAGCAGAGGTGTCAAGTCCAGGGGTCCTGGCTGGCCTAGCATGAGCCCCGTTTTCATTACTTCCCAGAGAGCTGGGGGAAGCACCCAAGCAGACTTAGCTGCACCTGTCCCCAACATGTTGCCTGGCCCACTCACCTTCCCATCTGGCACGCTGCTATATCCACTGAAGTGCAGGGGCCCTGGCACGGTGGGCCTGGAGTTGGCAGAGAGGTGAGGGTCTGGGCAGGAGGCCAGGCAAAAGGGCAGGCAGGCCCAGCAGCACAGCAGCACATAGAGAGCGGAGAAGCCCACGGAGCACAAGGCGATGAGCAGGAGCCGACCCTGAAGGAGATCGTGGTCATGGCGGGGGAGGGGGTGAGGGTCCCTGGAGCCCCTAGCGGGTTGTAACCCAGCCTCACAAGTCCAAAGCCCAGCTCAGTAGCTCCTAGGAGATCAGCAGAGTCCACACTGACCGTGCCTTCCTCTGGACCTGAAGATTCAGGGCTCGCTCGCCTGACAACGAGCTCTATTATTATCCCCATTCTCTAGGAGAAGAAACCAATTTGCGGTGAAATGTGTAGCTCAAGGCCACCCAGCAAGAGAGCAGCGTGGTGGGGCCTTAAGTCAGGTTCCAGGGTCCATGTTCTCAACCGGAAGTCCAGGTGCACTCTGCAGCCCTGGATCTGCCCTTGACCTCTCTGGGCCAGTTTCTTCCTCTATAAAGTGGGGGCCAATAATGCCCACAGGGGGAGTTATAGGGAGGACGGCAGTAAGCACGCTGTGCACTATAAAGTGCTGTGCACGTGAAGACAGGAGAGTGGCCCTTGAGAGGGGCTACCAGCCCCCTTCAGACCTGGACGCTGGCTGCCAGTGTGCCCCTCCCCCACCCCACTGACTCAGTGGCCACCCCACTAGCTAACGACCGCGATCTGGGTCAGCAGTCCAGTGAGTAAGGAGAACAGTGGAAGGGGATGTTGAGGGGTGCATCATTCAAGCAAGGCTTTCAATCACTAAAACTGTTGCCCCACGCCTCCACCACCAACAACCATGTGCCAAAGGCCATTTGAAATAGGAAGCCCCCCTAGCACGCTGGCCTGGGCCCCACCTGGGGTTGCCCCTGCTGGCACATTTTTAGTGAATGCCCCCCCAAGTCTTGGAGGAGGGGCCATGTGGTGGGGGACATGACCCTGGGCCTGCCGTGTGCGCTGGGTCACCCTGGTGGCCACCCGTCTCTCTGGGCTGATTTTCTCCCGGCCTGCCCATGGCACAGGTCCCTCTGCCCCCAAAACGGCCTAGCTGCTGGCTGATGTTCTTTGAAAATTCTAAGTTGCAAAGCAGCCCCCACCCTCCTCCCAGGCATATCCTGCCAGAGGCCCACCCTTTTCTGCCCAAAGCCACATCGGTTTCTAAAAATAATTCTTCTAGAGGCCAGTTGTTCAGGGCAGGGGTTCAGAGCCTGAGGCCTCAAGCTTCCACTTTGCAGGGCCCAGGTCCCCAGCCCACCAGGGACCCAAAGATCTCCACGCAGGCAGTCATGGTTCACTCCGCCAACATCCAGGACTCTCTCCCACAGCTGGGGGCTCCTGAGTAAAGCTGGGGGCAGATGCACAGAACTCGCACACCAAACCCCACTCCCAGTGAGGTGCCTCCTGGGGATGACCTCACGATGCAGGAAGGAGTCCTGTTACCTCCATTTTACACGGGAGGGGCAGGGTACTGAACCCAGAGAGGGAAAGGCACTTGCCTGGGGCCACACAGCCTGCCAGATCAGGGCTGGACTTTGAGGGCAAGTCAACATCTCCCCTTCTCAGCTCAGGAGCAGTGGAGCGAGAAGTGACAGTGGGGAGGTGAGAGAGGCTGCTGGGCCGGAAACCGCCTCCAGGTCCCCTGCTAGTCTTCCTCTTTCAGCCACTTACCGGAGCCTTCATGCTGTCACTGCCGCTCAGCAGCCCTGAGGCTGCTGTCTCCAGGGTTCCGGCTGGGAAGGGGTGGGAGCAGGGCACCTGCCAAGGCCCAGAAACTCAGGGCGGGTGCCTGGCCTCTGAGGTGACTGTCCGGGAAACTGAGGCAGAAGAGGGCATAAGCCGGGGTGAAGGCTGCTGGCATCTGGTAGTCAAATGCTCCAAAGTCCCCCCAGACCCAGCAGTACCGTCTCCATCCTAAAGGAGCTAGAAGGGGTGACCTCTGCGGGGAGGCCGCCCCCCCAGCCCAATGCCCACTGAGCACGTGGGAAGGACAGGTAGAGAGGGCGAGCCCTCGGTTCAAGGTCACCCATCGGGTCTGGGTCAGAGAGACCCCGGAGCCAGGAACGCCCACTCCCCTCCGCGCCTCCCACCTCGCTACCAGCCTCATGAAAGGAGAGGCCTGGGGCGGGCCAGGACCGGGGACCCCCCTCTTCCTCCGGACCCCACAGCCCCTCCCTCGGGCGGACGCTCACCGGACGGGCAGCTTGGGGCGCGCCGGCTGCTCACGATGCGCTGCTCGGAGCGCCATGGCCCGCTGGCCGGGCAGGAGGCCGAAGCCCCGGGGCGGAGGCGGCCCGCTCGGCAGCTTCTGGAGCTGGAAGCCGAAAGCGCAGGGCCGGCGGTGGGGGCGGGGCCCGGCCCGAGGACGGGGCGGAGACAGGCGCGGGGGGCGGGGTCTGAGCGGCGGGGGCGGAGCTGCGAGCGCGGCCGGGCCGTGACGTGCGGGGCTGGCAGCGAGGCCTGGGGGCCGGGGGCGGGGCCTGGGGGCCGGGGGCGGGGTCTGGCGGCCGGGGGCGGGGCCCGGCGGCTGGGGGCGGGGCCCGAGCGCCCGCGTGTGCGCGACTCCGCCCTCGCCCCTCCCACGCTGTGGCTGCGGCCCGCGACCTGCAGGAAAGGCCTAGAGGGTGTGGAGCCCCGCGCCTGGCGGGGAAATGGCGTGTTTCCATTTCTGAAATTGGGGCGTGGGTAGGAAAATCAAGCAGGCGCTCGGGGTCAGGCAGCCCTGGCTTCAGACGGGCAGGGTGGCCAGATTCAGCAAGTGAAATACAGGACGCCCTGTTATTGGTACTTAACGAGCAATTGCATTGCAAATCTGAAATTTCAGCTTAGCTGAGCGCTCCTTATTTTCTCTGGTGACCCTCTTTAACCAAGTCACTTTGCCCTGAGCCTCCGTTTCTCTCCTCTGTACAGTGGGGATGAGCCACCAGGGACCTCCCGGCGAGATGCAGCAGGAGCAGCTGCTCTCAGAGCCCGCCTTCCAGCCCTGGGAAGTCTCATTCCCACCCAAGGCCCTGGCCATCTACTTTCACCTCTCAAAGATCCCCTCCCTTCCCAAGAGTTCACCAAATCCAAGCCAACTCAGTTTTCTGTCCTGCAGATGCTAGAATGCACCAGGTGGCATTGCAGGAGAATTTCAAACTGAAGGGCACCAGGGCCAGGAAGAGTTGAAGGGCAGATGGAGGCAAGTGGAGAGCGTATTTCTCATCAAAATGTTTTTTTACAAGATGCTGATGGGCCAGAAAGCTCATCTCACCATCCCTGCCCTCTCCCTGGCCCTAGGCAGGGACCCAGCCTGGGCTCCCGCTCTGGCCCGATTTCAAACTCCGTCCCTTTTAAAAACACATTCCAGTGTGTGCACAACACCAAGGTACTGTGTTGTGTGCCCACATCCAGCTCTGCAGGCTGTCCTGTCCTGCTCCAATCCAAGTCCCCCAGCTGGAGACAGAGCTCCATGCTCCCCTCTGGTGCCCCTTTGAGCACAAACCCTTTCTGTCTCTCCCTACCCCATCCTGGGCACACATCAAGGGCAGTGGCCCAGCTTCAACCCCTCCTGGTGGCCCCTCATTCACACAAGTTGAGGTGCACAGTGGGTCCCCAAAGCCAGAGCCCTTCTGGCTTCCCCGCAAGTCCTCTTCCGTCATGTTTCCCACCCCACAGACCCAACCCTCAGTGGACAGTGGTGAGTGTTCCCTGTGGATTCATGCATCACCCACAATGGCAGTGGGTGATGGCCATTCCTTTCCCAGGGGCAACTCCCTCACACAGTGGCGCAGACACAGGGGACCTGCAGGCCCAGATGAAGCTCTTCATTTTGGTTTTGGCAAAACCCCACTCCTGGCCTGGCCCACAGCCCCTGGTAGCCTATCCTGCCTCCCTCTGAATCTCCATCCACCTACCCTGGCCGCCCTTCTGACCCCAACCACACTGAATTCATTTCTACCTCAGGACCTTGGCACCTGCTGTCTCCTCCGTGTGGGACTGCTCTGCCCACAAGGCCTGCTCCTTCTTGTCATTCAGCTCAAGCATCATCTCAGAAAGGTCCTTGCCAAGCATCCTATCCAACTCTGTACCCCCATTCTTATTGTGCTACCCTGATTTATTTTTTGTAGTGTTTGTCGTACTCTGAAGTCACCCTATATATTGAATGGTTTCCTTGTTTATGGTCCACCTGCCCACTTGACACTAACTCCATGTGGGCAGTCAGACTATCACCCTTTGGTGTGTCTCAGGTACCCTCATAGTGCCTGGCACCCACTCAGGTCAGGTAACATCTGTTGAATGAGTAAGTTAGGAGAGCGCAGAGTCCTGGCCCTGTGAGGCCTTAGACAAGTCCTTCCTGTTCAGCTCAGGCCCCAGCTCAGGCCCCTGCTCAGCCCCTGGCAGGAGACCTGAAATGAGGAGGGGGAGGGGCAGGCTGAGTCATCTCTGGTGGAGGAAGGACTAGGGCCTCTGACTCATCCCTGTCTGATCCAGACCCCTGAGGACTGTCAGGCCAAACCCCAGTTCCTGCCAGCTGCCCTGCCACCTCGGAATTTCCACTACCCACCTCTTTTCAGTGATGAGCTTATAGACTTATGTCTCAACTTCCGGCCCAGTTAGAACAAGAAATTTTCTGTGGTTTGTGCTAGGTCAGAGAGGTTGAAACCCAAGGTTGCCCAGAAAACTGGGGCGATGTCAATATTAAATATCTGTATTACATCTCTATCTTCCAGGAACCCACACCCCAGTCCTGCGGCACACGCTGCCCTGTTGGCCATTTTTCTTCATTTTGTCTGGAGACCACACAGTGCTGCAGCTGAGCAGCTGGCCTACGATCTGGAGTCCCCCAGTCCTGGGAGTTAGCTCTTGGTCCACACGACCCCCCAGGCACACTGTCCCCTTCCACGCTGAGCCACCCCTACAGGAAGAATTTCCTCCTCTCAAAGACTGGGCTCCCTCACTGTAGACCTTTGCTGCGCCCTTGGCCTGAGATTCTTCCAGGGGTGTCTGACTCTTCCGGTCTCCATTTAAGGGAGAGAGACCCCCCAATCCATCAAATAATTAAGTGCCCTCCCTTGAATTCCACCGCCCTGTGCTTCTTTGGGGGGCTTTGTCACTGTCACCCCAGTTGTGAGTCCTAGGACAGCACCTTCCTCCACATCCAGGTCCCCAGTGCCCAGCAGATGCACATGGCAGGTGCGCAACACATTTAATGAGATAACAATGTTCCTTTTCATTCTTTCCACTTTATAGATCAGACCACCGAGGCACAGAGAGGTCTAGCAGTGTGCCCTGGTCACAGCCAGGCCCCAGAGCGGCCCCCTTGGGCATGCTCAGATTGGACTGGGATCAGCCGCGGCTGCAGTCTGCTGGAGGAGGGAGAAGGAACGATCAGGGCTCTGCAGGCACTTGGTTTCTCTGCTCCGGTGATGCCTGTGTGGCCAGGGCCACTGGTCTGATGCCAACCATTTCACAGATAGGAAATGTGATGATGCGGGGGAGCAGAGCTTACTGAAGATCAACAGTGGATTCTAGCAGAGTGTGTCCCGGAGCTGCCGGGTCCCCCGACACCCCACTTTCTACCACCTATATCCCTAGAGGAGCAGGTGTGAGGGAGCCTCCCCAGAGGGAGGCCAGTGGACCCTGCTTGATGGGGGCGGGAGGCCTGGGCTCCCGGACTGGCTGTGCAACTTACCCGTGTGTACGCCCCTCAAGTCTGTGGGCCTCAGTTTCCCCGTCTGGACGCCAAGGGACTGGACTGGAGCCACCACCTCCCCCACTTCCCTGAGCATGAGGGCAGGGCTGCAGGGGCAGGTGGGAAGAAACAGGCTCTTGAGTTCGAAAGTTGAGTCCTGGCTCCAGCATTTATTGCTGAATGATCTTACTCAGTCCCTTCATCCCCTGGGCCTCCGTTTCATGGTCTGTAACGAGAGAATAATAGCACTTTGGGAGGATTAAATGAGTGAATGTGGGGGAACCCCTGGCACCGTGCGGGGCACACCACGCCGCAAACGAGGCCGAGTCTTTATTTAGTGAGGGAATGCTGCCCTCTGGAGGCCACTCGGAGGAACGGCGGGCAAGGGGAGCCGACCCGCTGTGCCCGCCAGTTGGAACCAAGGTTTCCAAACTGCACCCATTGTCCAGATGGGGAGAGCGGGGCCGGGTCTGGTCACTCGGTGTGAGCCTCCACCCACTGGCAGAGTCGACGGGCGTAGTGAGCTGGGCTGACGGTGGAGAAGGTCCGGCCCGGGTAGCGCAACGTCTTCCATAGGTGCTCCAGCCGCTTGCGAAGCCCATATACCGTAGCAAGATCCACGAGCCCCAGAAAATAGCGTTGCTCCGGCCCATCCAGGATGTGCAGGGCGTTGGAGGCATCCGGCAGCAGCCGGCGGTTCTGGGTTTCCAGCTGTTGGGGACCCTGGACCCCTTGCATAGATCTGGGGGCCAACAGGAGGGTGAGGCTACCACCTCCTCCAAGAAGCCCCAGGCAATCCGCCCCTAAGCTGGGTCGGGATGTCCCTGGGCGGCACTCTGACCTGACCCTGCTCCTCCCTTGCTCATGTCCACCTCCTGTGTGCCCAGGTCCGCTACGTCAGATAAACTGACTAAAGGTCGTTGAGCGTGTGGCCAGGGCCACTGGTCTGATGCCAACCATTTCACAGTTAGGAAATGTGATGACGCGGGGGAGCAGAGCTCACTGAAGATCAACAGTGGATTCTAGCAGAGTGTGTCCCGGAGCTGCCGGGTCCCCTGACACCCCACCTTCTCAGTCAGTCAGTCCCAACTGAACTATGCTGTAATGTAAAATATATGCTGAGTTTCTAAGACAATATGGGGAAAAGAATGCAAAATATTTCATACATTTCATACAGCTGATGAACTGATAAAAATGTATTCAGTAACTAAAATATATTATTAAAATGTTTACTGGACTCTTTTTACTTTTTAAAAATGAAACTACCAGGATAACTACTTGCGTGTTCACAAGCAGTGTACATTCTGTATTGGGGGGATTTCCTAAGCTCTCTTGGGGTCATCGAGTCCCAGAAGTTCCAGGGTAACTGAGCTGAGAGACCTGTTGAACAAAGCTCGACCCCAGTTTACCGATGGCCTATCTGTTGCCTCAAAAATATACTCCAAATCACACACATACACAAAATTTAAACACTAAAAAAATTTAGAAAAAAAGAAAAAATTTACTCCAAATCAGAAGATGCCCTTGACTGAGTCCCAGCCCCAGCCAGAAGCAGGTTTCCATTCCTAAACTTTGTCCTGGGGAGGTCTTGGGGGAAATAACCTAATTAGAGAGACGCCCCACCCGGGCACCAGCCAATCTCAACCCAGTGGTTGGGGGAGCAGGACTGGAGCTCTGATAGCAGCTGCGGTGCCAGGGTTAGCAGAGAAGGTGGAGAATCGCCAGGGGGCAGATATGTTCTGAATAAGAAGTCCTGATCTAGGGGTAGGGGCAAGAAGAAATTTACATAGTTTGGATGGGCAAGCTTGGGGGATCTGTACCCCAAAGCAGGCATTCCACCCTCTGGTGAGAAAACGACTAGCCCATCCACAGGAGCAGGAAGCCATCACCCTGGATTCTGTTCCATCCTCACCCACCCCAGGGTCTTCCTCCAAGGAGGGAGGGTGGGGGGTGGCAATGAGAGACTCTGTCCAGCCACCAGCTGAAATGGGCCTTTTTCCTGAAAAGTCCTGTCTTAACACTTGTGAGATTCTGTTCAACCACAGAGAAGACCTGGAGACCTGAAATCCCAGCAACCAGCCAAACACTAAGCAGGAACCCTCAGAAGTCACCCACTTCACTTCTCTCTCTGAGACTCAATTGTCACGTCTACAAAATGGGGACGAGCCCAGCCACTCGATGAGGCTCAAGGCCAGCACGTAGGAGCAATGGTTACGACAGCTACAAAGGGGAGGAGAGGGTGCTGAGGGCCATGACCCAGGGCCCTAGAAGTGGGGTGATTGGGGTGAGGGCCCAGGCAAGAATTTAAATAGGATGGAAACCTGCCCCGAAGTCTTCAATGACTGCATCTCCTGAAAAATGTGCAGATTCCTCACATCAGCCCTGAAGCCCCGTCCAGCAGAATCACCTGTTCTTTTCTTTCTGTTTTGTAGATTTTAGATTTTTTTAACCGTCCTTTTCACTGCTGTGGTCTACCTGGGCCTGCTACCCCTCCCTGCCAGCCAGGCTTCTCCAGCCCTGCATGACACATACACAGACACACACAGACACACACACACACACACACACACACACACGCCTTTCTTCAAGCCCCTGCCTGAGCAAGCCTGCCCCTCATCAGCTGTCTCTCCCACACCCCATCACCTCATTCTTGCTGCTGCCCCGGAGGGGGCCCACCTGGCTGTGCAGAAGATGAGGCTGCTGCCGTGGTCGCGCTCGTCCTCATGGAGGCGCTGGAAGGCCATCAGGAGGCTGTAATCCAGCACGTTGAGCTCCTGGAGAAAGGCGGTGTCCAGTTCCATCTGGCGGAGAAGCCAGGTCCGCTGGGGCCCTGCCAGATCATCATCCCCCCCTGAGTGCTCATCCTGTGCCAGGAAGGGTGTCAAAGATTCCACATGCATCTGTCCCTGGAGGACAAGTGTCTTTACTGTCCCGTTTCACAGACGAGGAAACTCATCTGTAATTTGCCCTGGTCACCTAGCTGGGAGTGGACACCTGCTCTCCTGACTCCAGTATCTGGGCTCTTAATGACTGGGGCCGGGGTCAGGGATGCCCTTCTAAACTTCGCCCCAGTGGAGGAAGAGCAGGCAGCGATCCCCTCTGTAACTCACCCAGGTTGATGGTCTTGCCCTGAAAGTTGAGGTCCTTTAGCACCAGAAGGAGGTGGCTGCCCTCAGGGGCCGGTTCCACCCATCGGCTCACCTCACAGCCCTTGATGTCATACCTGGCGACAGAATGTAGCTTTACGTAGACTTGAGACACACGGGGAATCCCACCAGCTGAGAAACAGGGGGTCCCACTGTCTGGCTGTTCAAATCCTCAGCACAGCCCCGCTTATTACTGTCCCCATGTCAGTTAGAGATGAAGGAAAGGTCAGAGAGTTTCTTTGACCTGCCCAAGATCACACAGTAAGTCAAGGGCAGGGCAGAGATTGGAATTCAGGCCCTTGGAAGCTCAGCCCAGGCTCTACCCTGCCTGGGCCTGTCCCTTCGCACCTGGTCTTCCTGGGGCTGTCCCAGACCCAGGGGTCCAGGCCCAGCAGGCAGCAGCAGGCGCGTGCAGGAAGTCCACAGGCCTGGGGAGCTCCTGGGCAGAGTCGCGTGGGAGGCACAGGCACTGCGAGGCCTCCCAGCTTTCCAACAGCACCTGGTGCATACCGAGCGCTCAAGGGATGCCGCCCGCGGGTATCACTGTCTGCACCCCATCAGGTCTTGGGAGCACCCCTTCTCCTCCCTGGGGCGCAGTTTTCCTGTCTCTCTAGCGAGTGTCGGTGCCTCAGGGGGCACATTCCAGGCGGGAGCGGCCCTCACCTCTCAGAGATGCGGCCGGCGGGGTAGAAGACGCTCTGCATGACGATGAAGTATTTCTGGGGGCGGGGTGGGGAGTGAGGGAGGACGGGAGCTCGCCCTGCGGCCAGCAGCCCAGCCCCCCGCCTTTGCTTCACTCACCTTCTTTCCCGCGGCCACCCGCAGGCTGTGCACTCCTGGGAGGGGAGAGCGCGCCGGGTGAGGGCCCCACGCGGTCCAGCCCGAGCCCCCGCCGCGGGCCACGCCTCCTCGAGGGGCGCGCCCACCGAGCCCGCCCCGGGGAGCCGGGGCGGGACCCCCCCTTCGGAAACCGCCCCCACCCACCCCGCCCCGCTGCGTCCCGCCCACGCCCCTTTATCGCGCGCCTGGACCAGCCCCTCCAGCTCGGCCCCAGGCAGCCGCGCCTCCGGCCCGGTTCTCCGCTCCGCTCTCACTCGGGTGCCCCGCGTCCCCTCGCTGGGAGCCGCCCCCCTCCCTGGCCCCTCACCTCCTCGCTCTACTCCCCCCAGCCCCCCAGCCCGCGTCCCCGCCCCGCCTACCCAGCAGCCGCGCGAGCAGAGAGTGCGGGTGCCGCTGCAGGTGCTGCACGTAGCGGGGCAGGTGGGCGAGCAGCGCCCGCACCTCCCGGCGCCGCTGGGTCTTCAGGAAGAAGCGCTGGTCGTGGCTGGTGGCGGGAGGGAGAGGCCACTAGCCAGACAGGCTGGAGCGGCCTCCCTCCTCCACCTGACCCTCCTCCACCTGACCCTCCCTCCCCGCCGCTTGTTTCTCATCCCGAGTGCACCCCAGGACACCCCGCCCACCCTCGCGCCCCTGCTGCCAGCTCACGACAGGAAGAAGCTGGCCTTGCTCTTGGAGGTGCTGAGAAACTGCAGGTAGGGGCCACCGGGGCCCAGCGCGGCCTGATAGTCCTCCTCGGCCAGGCCTAGGGAGCGGCGGAGCCGGGCGAAGGCCGGGCCGGCCAGGGTGCCCAACTCGAAGCCCTGCAGGGGAGGAAGAGCAGCGCGGAGAACATGCATGACGCCGGCCCAGGTGTGTGCAGTGCCGGGGTGCAGGAGGGCCAGGACGCACGGCCCGGGAGGACCCGAGGGAGAGTCGCGGTCTCTACACAGACAGGGAAACAGAGGTGTGAGAGGAAGCGCAGGACACGCCCTCCCAAGCTGCAGTCTTGGGCTTCCTACCTCATGGACCTGGGTCAGGACCTCGGAGAAATCCTCCTCAGTGGGCAGCCCCTGCAGGGAGGGGCAGGGCCTCAGGGCAAATCCAGGCTCAGCCCCCCACTGCCAGCTCAGAATCTCCAAGCAGTCTGCTCCTGGCCTCCTCCCCTGCCCCCAATTTGATTCTTCCAGCATCAGCTCTGGGTGGGCTGAGAGGGGAGGTGGGCGGCCTGCTCTGTGGGGTGGGGTGGGGGCGAGAGAGACCTGAGGCAGGACCTGGATGTGTCTCATCATACTGGGTCCCCAGCACCCGAGTTCCAGTCCCACACCAAGGCGCATGTTGGCCAAGAGAAGCCTATGCCATTCCGGTGGGAGGGAGTTGCTGTGAAGCCAGGGGACCTGCCTGGGAGGGGCAGGATCAGGAAGGCTTCCTGGGGGAGGTGACCTCTCAGCTGCCATCTGAAGGGCAGTGAGAGGAGGAGCAGGGTGTGCACAGCAGCGGGAAGAGTACAGGGGCCACCAGGAAGGGTGGCTGCGATGAGCAAGGGAGGAACGGAGTGTGTGAGCGAGGCTGGACCATGGGCCCTAGGCCTTGAGCCAGCAGGCCCCTGGGACCACAGTGAGTACTAGGGTGCCACAGAGGATTCTCAGCAGGCGACGGGCCAGGTCATGAATTTCAGCAGGTGATGAAGTTTAAAGAGCTCCCTCGTGTTCCCACACTTCCCTGGACCTCCAGGTCCCGTGCCAGGACCTGCTCTGTGGGGTGCGGTCACACCGCACACGCCTGCACACACACGCACAACACACGTGCTCACCAGGGCCCATCCAGCCACTGGGCTTGCAGTTGGATGACCCTTTCTGCTGAGCCAGCATGGCCCAGCCGGGGCTCCAGGGAGAATGGGCCAGGCCCATGGGGTGGGGGCGGATTCCTGCTCAACCAAACACCCTGGCAGAGCTGGGAGGGCCTCAGAAACCAAGCAGTATGACCCCCCACCCACCCATTATACAGACGGGGATACCGAAGCCCAGCTAGAGTCACACAGCAATCACCTAAGTCAGGGGATCCCTTATACCCAACCCCCCAACATACATTGGGCTTTATGGCCTCAGACCCCACCCCAGAATGCCCCTGGCTGCCTGCACCAAGCCCCTGACTTCCTCTCCTTAGAGCCTCTCTCATCCCCGGCCCCTGAGCATTAATGACAGCCCAGTCTTGCCACTGGCATTGTGGAGAGACGGCACTGGACAGATTGGCCACTCACTGTGGGCGGATGGTCCATGGAAACCTGGGTGGCAGCCCACAGCCCTGCCTGCATCATACATGTCAGCTGGTGCAGCTCGTGCCCTGGGTCGATCTCAAACAGGCCCAGGCGCACCTGCCTGTCTCGTAGACGCCAGAGGAGGCCCCGGCGGCCAGAGCTCCAGGTGGCTGCTCTGCCTGCAGCTTCTGGGGAGGGGGCCAGCACCTGGTGGCAGGGGCACAGAAGCAACGAGCACGACGTGGCAGCATCCCAAAGGGAAAAAGACCCAGGTCCGAGTCCCACTTTGTGAGCCCTCCCTCGTCTCTCCCTGCCTCAGTTTCCTCCATATGTAAACTACAGAGAATCTGATAGCCACCTGGGGGAGGAGGGGGTTGTGTGGCACTGATACAGTGCCGGGCGAGCAATCAGTACCCAACATCGAGGTGTGGTTATGGTTGTCAGTAGACAGTGTGGTTTTGTTGCAGCCAAACCTGGCCCAAGATGGTCTCTCACCAACTGTGACCTTAGATAAGTCACGGAACCTTTCTACGCCTCATCTCAGCTGTAAAACGAGAACCATAACAAATCCTTCCTGGCAGGGATAACTACTGTTTCTGTTGAGTCTGAGCCCCGTGCACAGGAGCTCCACTCATCTCTGCTCCAGGCCAATGCAAAGGGTCAGCAGGAAGCTGAGCTCACAGCAGCAGACCCATTAGTAGCAGGAGCCCAGCGCTGGCCCAAGCTGACCTCGTAGCAGCCCTATCGGGAGCCTTTATGACCATCTCCATTTTCCCAGTGAGGAAACTGAGGAAGTGTCGGGGGAACAGCCGCCAGACTCCCCATTATACTGGCTCCCCACCATGCAGGACCCCTCCTGGGCTTGGACGGGGGTGTGTCCGTGCCTCACGAAGAGGGGAGACCTGGCCCTTGTCCCCCAACTTTTCCCTCTCCTGTCCTCGCTCGGATCTTCACTTACCTCCCGGGGCCCCGGGCTCGGCGCGGCCATCGCCCCCGCAGAAGCGTCCCCGGCTCTGGCCGGTCCCCCGGCGCCCGCCCGCCCGGCTGCGGGAGGCAGGCCCCGCCCCTGCCTCCGGATCAACCAATCGCGCGGCGCGGGCCACGGCCACACCCAATCCGCGCCGGGGGCGCCGGCGATCGCCTGCAGGTCCCGCCTCCCGGGCTGCAGCATCCTTGGGACCGCGGTCCAGCGCCGGGCGGGGCCGCCGCGCTCTGGGCAGGGCCCCCAGGAAAAGACCTCCCGTTCCCTCCTCCTGGGTGGGGGACTCGAGTCTGAGGGGATGCGGGTGCCCTAAATCCAGTCCCGCCTTCCCATTGGCGTGAAATTCCCACCAACTGCTTTTCGGGTCAGAAAACTAAGGTCCGGAGAAGAGACTGCCTCCAGGTCACCCAGGAAGCCAGGGCACGCATGCACTCGACGCACAGATCCCGCTGCTACAGGCCAGAGCAGCGCCAGGCCCGGGGGTTAGTGGTGAGAGGGAGGAACACGGCTGCCAGCCTGATCTTTTAAAAGCAGAAATCGATGATGTCACTCTCGTGCTAAAGCCTCCAGTAACTTCCCAGGCACTGGAACAAAACCCAGCTGGGGCTCTCGCCAAGGCCCCAGGCCCACTGCTCACTCTCCAGTCCCTTCTCAAGGCGCCGGCGCTGCACCCACCACACAGCCACGGGGCTCTGTCCACCGGTCCCCACCCCACCCCTCACCCACAACGTTCCTGAGCTGCCGAACTTTAACACCTCAGGATTTTGCGTTTGCTTTTCCCTCAGTCTTTAATTTGCCTCCCTCTGTCCTGCCCCATCTAAGTGTCTTCCCAACCCAATTCTGGATCACATCACCCCATTTGCGTCATCCTTCTTAACACTGTCAGAGACCGTCTCCTTCACTTATTTATTGGTTTATTACCTCTTCCTCCTGCTACACCCTCCACACGGGCGGGTCGGAAAGGGAGGAACCACACAGGGCTCCCACCCCAGCTCCTGGTGCCTGGCGCACACCAGTCTGGGAAAGCTATATTGACCCACGCAAGCAGGATGTGCCAGGGGCCTCAGTGAGTCCCACGAAATGAAAGGCCAGCGTGACTGCAGGGAGCGAGTGGGCACGCTGTGGGTTCTCGGAGGCACTAGAAGTGGGAATGTGAGAAAGATGCTCAATTTTTTTAAAGGCCAGTGGTTGTGCAGACTGGAGGGGGCCCGAGTGGGCAGGAGCAGCAGTGAGGAAGCAGGGGACGGGGTCTTTGTATCAGGAGGATGACTGCTGCTACACGGGGTTAGTGATGCCTGGCAGGAACAGGCTGGGGTCGGCGGCAGGATGATGCAGTTGAGAGAGGGGCAAAGAGAGAATCCTGCTCAGGACAGGATGAATTTGAGGGGCCACCACAACAGATGGGGAGGTCAGGTGCACTGAGGCTCAGGAGAGCGGGGCTGGAGGCGAGCCTGGGTAAGAACAAAGTGGCTCAGGAGAGCAGGGGGTGGGGGTAAGGGCTCTGAGTCCCGAGGAGCTGCCCTCTCCCAGACAGAGGAGCTGGAGACATCAGCACAGGCCGCCAGGAACCCGTGGGGAGCACCCACGGGGATGTCACAGATCAGCATGGTAGATATTTCCCCGCTCCAGACCGACGTGACAGGCGGACTGAGTGGGTGCCACCCTCCTGGCGTGATGCCAGCACAGGGAGTGGGGCAGAGCAAACACAAGCGCAGGTGCTCACATCTGGCTGTCAAGGGAGACCCAAAGGAACTACCGCCTCGACGGAGGGCCTTCAAGTGGGAACATGGGAGACCCACAAAGGCCGAGGCACTGACAGGACCTCCCACTACAGCAGGGAAGACAGGACCCAAGGCCCAATGGGTAGTGTGGCTGCACAGCACAAGAAGCAGGGGTGAGGCCAGGGCCTGGAAATGGCCTCTCTTCTCAGATGCCCAAAGGGGAGCCAAGGTTCCCGGAGAGAGGGATGGAGGTGCACACTGGTAATGGGACAGCTGGCTGCCCTGAGCAGCTCGGCAAGATTGGGGGGTGGGGGGGCAAGGGAGTGGGGCCTATGTCAGCTCTGTCACCCCCAAAAGTGGAAGCAGCCCTGCTCCAGCTCAGAAGCAGCCCTCACTGCTGAGCAGCAAGCTGAGCTGAGTATCTGGGCATGAGAGAACCGCAGGCTGGGGCTTTTAGGGGAATACTGGTGCCCGCTGGCTGGGCTGGCAGAGGGTGGGGGAGGCTATGTTGTGTCTGGCAGGCGGCCCCACTTCCACTGACTCCCCAGCTGTGACCTACACTAGCAGGACCATCTGTCCCCGCCCCACTTCCTCCTGTGCCCACACAGGGATGACGCAGGAGGGCCCTCTGCACACCTGAGAAGGCTCTGGGCTGGCCACCAGCCTCCTCCAGCCTGGGGGTCCATCTGCCCCACTCAGGGATGGAACAAGACAAACACAGCATTGACATTTATTATTCGGCTCTCCCCCATGCGCTGGCGTGAGGACTGGGCCTCCATGAGGAGTTGATCTGGGGGCCCAGTGTGGCTCCCTAAGGTGCCAGGAGGTTGGCGGTAGTCCTGGGGCCTGTCAGTCCTTGCTGGAGGCTTTTCAGGTTCCAGAGGTCCTTGTGGGGTCTGGCTTGCCTCAGACCCAGGAAAGCTGCCTTCATAGAGGAATAGGGCATGTGGGGGGTCACATGTGCCAAGTCCAAATCAGCATGTGACAGAAGGGAAACTGAGGCAAGAGGGTAGGATCCAAAGGAAAAAATTAACAGGCAGTCTGAAGGTAAAGTGGGAAGGACCTTAGGCATGAGCCAAAATGGGGTAAGAGAAAGACTTCCAGATGCTCCTCCCTTCTAGGTTCTAGAAAGGGGAGCAGGAGCTCTGGTCAGTCAAGGTGAGTCCTGAACAACTCCATCTCATGGGGATGTCTGCAGGGCAGCCAGACCTGAGGGGACCACAGTGCCTAGAGGGGTCTCTGGGTTCCCATCTTGGTTGTTCCCTGGAGGGGAGGCAGAGAGGCCTGCAGCCTCATCCGGGCCTTCACTGAGTCTTTTTGGTCCCCTTCTGGTTCTTCAGCATCACGTAGGTGATGAACACGCCTGGAACGTACAGACCAGAAAGGCTGAGTAAGACTGAGGCTTAGGGCACAGTGCCAAGCAGTGTGGAGCCACATCCTGGCAAGCTACCCTCCAGGCCAGCCAGCCCTCTCCCTGAGCGCTGACCACAGGCTGGCAGCTGGGCTCAGTGTCCCAAAGTCTACAGAGCACAAGACCCACCCAACTGTTCACTCAAACACCTGTGCACCCACCTACCCACCCACCCAGCATTCATCATGCACCCCCCACCCCATCACCCAGTCATGAGGTTGGCTCCTTCTTGAGCACTGAGAGTGTGGTGGCCAGCCATGAAGACTGTCCCTGTCCCCAGAAAGCCCACACACTAAGCCATGGAGAAGAGACGTGCCAGGAATGATGAGCTAGGGTGACAAGGGGGTGAGAGAGGCCTCAGGTGTGAGCAGAGAGATGATGGTGGTGGAGGAGGGAGCAGGCAGGGAAAAGGGAGACAGCACGTAAACTGTGAGCCTGAGGCCAGGGGGAGACCAGCGGGTGAGCCCTGAAGGATGAACAGGAAAGACCTAGGGGGTAAGCCGGGGGCCAGCAGCCTCAAGCAGATGTACAGCGAGTGGGGAACCCCTGCCCAAAGTGAGGGGAGCGACGACTTACCCACAAATAGGAGCAACAGGAGGCCGGCGGCCAGTGGGATGGCAACAGCATAGGCTCGGGGCAGGAAATACTTGTGGATGACATGCTGGCTGTCAATGAATGGCTGGCACAGAGGGCAGAGAGATGGTGAGCACTCACCTTGCCTGACCTCCCCCTCAGCCAACATCCCACCTCCTCTAAGGAGCTGCCCCTTTCAAAGCACTGGAGGGCATTTGCTTTTCTTTAACATAATGGTATTTTGCATGTCCTGGCTTGTGTCTGCCCTTCATTTGTTGAACATTTACTGAGCACTTGCCTGGCATCAGCCCCAAGTTGGTGCTGGGGACCCAGCAGTGAACAGAAGACAAATGACTTGGCTGCGGCATTCACAGCCTGTCTTTGCCTAGCAGGAGCAAAGGGTGCATACTTGAGGTTCCCAGCCTGGGTTTCTAGGCCTTCTTTACTGACATCTTATGTCACAGGATACCAGGTTCTGCCCAAGATTTTGCCTTCCAAACACAATGTACAGCTTAAACAGTAACCAATATATTTTTCCACCCTCTTCCCCCCGCCCCCCCAAATATCCAGAAGGACCTAAGGAAATTCACTAGCCCACTTCATGCCCAGGAGCCAGTAGGATAAGCAGAAAAATTCCCCACAAAGCAAACCTGGAACAGCTTTACAGTGCAGCGGTTAAGAACAAGACTCTGGGCCAAACCCTTTTCCCTCAGCCTCAGCTTCCTCATCTATAAAACGGGGACACCACTAAAAACTTCTAGAATGGGCGCTATTCTGAGGACATGCGGGTACAGCACCGAGCACGATGACTGGTACATAGTGATTGCTTCAATGATGCCAGGGGTCGGCTTCACCACCCAGGGAGGGGACAAGGTGAGGGGTGGGCAGGTGGGTGGGGCGCACGTACCAAGAGAATCACCCACACAGTGTAGTAGGTGAAGATGATCAGGCTAACAGCGACGAGACCGAGTCCCACCACCTGGTCTGTCCCCGTGGCCTGGAGAAAAGAAAGGCCTCAAGTGACGAAGCGACTCTCCATTTAGGGGTGCTAACTGGGGGAGCGGGACAGGGGGAATGCCGCCGGCTTATTACTCTCTGAACTCCCCATTCACGCAACGGGGGTGCAATTTCTAGGCAGGGAGTGTGCCGGGTCTATGTCTTCACGCGTCCAGTGGGCGGCGGGAGGACAACCCCAGTTCTGGATGCCCGAATCCCAGTTTCTGAGCAGCCTGTGGGCCACGACCCTGGGCGCCACCCCCACACGCCCCGCACCCCCCACACCCGGCCCCAAGCTCACCATTTCCTCCGCGCTCCGCCGCCGGAGCAGCCAGCCACATCCGCTTCCGGATCCGGGCCCTTCTGGTCTGGGACCGCGGGGCACGCCGGGAGTCGTAGTCCTCAGGCCCGCCCGCGACGGGCAGGTTCCGCCTCCTTTTTTGCATGTCGGGAAATGTAGTCCCTCAAGGCGTGTGGGGGCCGCGGGGCTGTTCCCTCCCCGCAGTTGGAAACCCAGAGGGCCCGACATTCCTGGCCTCGCGCCTTTCGAAATCGCCCCAGGAAAAGGTCGTGGGCGGGGGCCGAGGAGGGTGGGGAAAATGAGGCGCAGAGAAAGGTGATTTGCTAATCACGGCTGCGTCCGTGGTGAAGCGGCGCCCTGTTTCCCGGCCCAGAGGCCCTAAGGAGCCTGTTGAGGGGAGCCAGGCCCGGGGGGCAGGACACACCGGCCCTCGTGTGTGGGAAGGTTTTGATCGGCTGTGCAGGGGAGACCCCCTCTCCCCACAACGTCTGCCTCTGGGGCCTTCCTGAGGTCTTGGGACAGCCAGGCAGCCACCCAGCCCCCAGCCCCCTCCCCGGCGCAGGCCCCTCCCCAGTCTTGGAGGTCCTTTCCTCTGAGCTCACGGAGCGCCTGGGCCACATCACAGTCCCCTTGGATCTGGAACACCCTTGCCCACAGCTCTCAGGGCCGGCTGCTCCTTACCCATCAGGCTTCACTGGGGTGCATGTCCCACCCAGGAAGTTGGCCTTTGCAGCTGGGTACAGGGGTTCCCTCCGTGCTCCACAACCCGAGGATGACAACTTGTTAATCCGGCCCACCTGACTGAGGCCATCTCCTGAGGATGGTGTGTGTGGAGTAGGGTAAATGGTTTTCAGGCTTTTCTGCCCTCCCACCATTAGGATTGCCCCACCTGATGGGGCACCTGCAGTTGTTACATTGTTGTGTTGTTTACTTCTGTGGGCCATGGGAGGGTTATTGAGATAGTCATCAAGAGAAGCGGAGGCAGGAGAGAGAAGGGGAGAAAGAAGCCAGAGAAGCCCAGAGTGAAGACTTGCAGGGGGCTTGGCAGCCTCCGGGCCTCCTGGCCCTGCGGCACCTCTGCCTGCCATGTACCTGTTTGCCACACCACATGTAAAGCTCAATAAAAGCCTGAGAAAGCCACCGAGGGCTCCAGGACTCTGCTTTACCCAGGACTGCTCGAATCATAGAAACCTGCTCTGTGACCATCCTGCCCCTACAGTGGTCACTGCTGTATCCCTAGGACCCAGAATGAAAGGAGCTTTGACTCAACCAGCCTGAAGTGACTCATCAGCAGCTTGTCTAGATCATGGAATGCTACAGAGCACAGCATCAGGGACTCTCCGCTCCTGAGGGACTGCAGGATCTGCTCCTGTTGGCAGCACTCCTCTCCTTAGGCTCCTGGGACTGCCCTCCGAAAGCTGACAGGGACTGTCCTTTTTGGCCCCGTTCCTTCCCTATCTCAGAAAAGACCTTGGCTCAGCCAGGAGGCAACTTTTCCTTCCCTCACTGTGCAGAAAGCAGTAAGAGGAACTGCCTCCAGGGCCATGTGCAGGCATCAGTTCTGACAAGGGGGGGCAGTAATGCCTTGCTGTAGCAAGGACAAAGTCTGGTAGCCTTGTCTCCTCTGGCCACTGGGGCTTCTGATACTTTTTTTAAAGAAAAGATTTATACATACAAGAAATGGGGTACAGGCCAGAGGCGTGGGAGGGTGAAAGAATTCACCAGAGACAGAGCGGGGAGCAGAATAAGCAGATGGACTGAAGACACTGCTGAGAGAAGCAATGGGCAAGGCAGGAGAGGTCTGCTGCGCCATGTGGGTTTCTCCCTGGCCAGCCGGGAACCGAACCCGTGCTGCAGAGGCTGCGGACAGCTTCACAGTGCTGTGCTCAACCTGCTGCGCCACTGGGGAGGCCCTGCTTCTGGTACTTCTGAGTTCAGTGAAGGCCCAGGGCAACTCGCCTTACCCAGTGTGGTGAAGCAGCCTGGCTTCTGTGAACTCATAGGCAGTGAGTGAGGGCCCAGACCTGGAGAGTCTGAGAGGAGGGGAAGCCTTCGGGCAGTTGGGATCACACACTGCTTGTCCCCTACTGTCAAGCACTCTGTTCATGTGATCCACAACCCCATTTGCATCTGAAGGAACTGAGGCACCATGTCCCCACGTGTTTAAGATGCCACCCGGACTGCTGGGGAGTTCTACAGAATAGTTGTTAGAACTTGGGCCTCTGAGGCCAGAGCTGCCATTTACTAGGTGTGAGACTGGCAAGAAACAGCCTGTGTGCGGCAGGGGGGAGTTTCCTCCTCAGGGATCTGGGGCAATCACCAAAACTGTAGTCAGGACTGGGAGAAACCCCACCACCCACACCTTTACCACTCCAAAGGTCACCTTACACAGTGGCTTCCTTCTGATGCCATCTCAGGCCCAAAGTCAACATGTCAAAGAAAACCCAAGGAGCCATAAAAACAAAAACTGCAACAATTTTATTTTCCCCCCCAAACCAGACACTGACACTAGGCTGATTTCCCCTTACAATGTTATTCTACAATAGAAGCTGGGACAAGGATACAAATACAGCCCCCTGACCCAGGGAGTTGGGGCAGGGGAGTAAAATAAAAAGGCCTCCCCTCCCCCCCAATCTCCCTGCTCACCTCCTGGAGAGAGGAAAACAGACATTCTCCATCCTGGCAGATCATGCCATGTGGCGGGTTTGTGGGGGGACCAGGAAAAGAAAAAAACTAAAAATATCGTATACCTTTATTTTCTTTAAATCTCCTAGTAAAAACGTTAAACTGTCTTTCAAGAGGATTCCAAACTGTCATTGCATAGACCAATTCCTTTCCAAAAATATCTCTAATATATTCTATCTCTATATAGAATTTTAAGTCCAGGAGCTGTGGGCGCCTAGTGGAAATTCGCTGAGCTTGAGGGGACCGGAGGGCTAAGAGCCCTCCATGGCGAGGAGGCCAGGACTTCCGGCCTCCGGCTTCCAACCAGCGATAATTTGGTTGTGGCCAAATACTCGGTTAGTCCATTACCCTGGCCCAGGGCCTGGTGTGGGAGAATGTGACAGGCTGTCTCCTTTTTGGGGTGAAACTCAGCGCTCACCTTTGGCAGGGCTGGGGGAGTCCTGGTTTAGGGGGTCTCTGCAACAGTACCACACCAGCTGCTTTATGTCTGAAGCCCTAGAACTTTGAAATCAGACCCCAAATGCACCCTACATGCACCTCCCCACTAGGCTGAGGTTAGGAAGACGCAGAAGGGAAGGGCCGTGTGCCCCTATCTTCTGGGTCACTTCATCTGGAGACAGCATGGACCACTCCCTTTAAAGTGCCAGCCAGGGATCTGCGGGGCAGGATGGGACCCGCAGAGCTGACCAGATCCTTCTCTAGTCAGAGCAAACGCTCCTTCCTGCCTCAGCAGGCACCTTCTAACATTCCTTTTCTAAGAGAGTTAGGTGATTAAAAACAATAGCAACAGAAATCCTAGAAATGTTCTGGTCCCAATGCAGAGAGGTTCCAAGACCAAGACCCCTACTCTTGCCAGCTGGGGCAGAAGGACCAGGACCCCTCCCAGCCTGGGGAGGAAGCTCCCACCCCACCCCCAGAGAGAGCCAGTATCTACCAGGGGGCCCCATCCAGATGCCCAGCACTGCTGGGACCCAGCGAGGGGTAAGCCAGAGAACAGAACCACTTCCCTTCACCTGGGGGAGCAGACAATACCAAACTGTGAGCTCCAAAAAAAAAAAAAAGTAAGAAAAAGGAAGGAGGAAGGGAAGAAAAAAAGTTTTAGGGCTAAGTAAACACCAGCCGGCTGGTTTATACAAAATGAGTGAGATTTAAGAGCGTGGGGAGCTTGTCCAGGGACTGGTTGGCAGCCAGAACCCACCTTCAAGCAAGTAATGAGGACCCAGGGGGAAAGTGCAGAGCAGAGGCTTTAGAGGGGGGCGGGGGCGGGGGCAGGCCCAGACTGCTCCCCACCGGGAAAACACCCTTTAAAGGACCCCACCTCTCCTGCCCGGAAGTGGGCAGATGCTTTCAGAGGAGGGCTGAGGCTTTCCTGGCCAGGAGGCCGGCTCCAGGTCGGTCCAGTCTCAGCCCACCTGCCTCTCCAGCACCCACCCAGCCCAGACCAGCTGACCCTGAGGGGAGCAAAAGGGGGCTCTGCTTGCCAGACCAGCCGGCCAGACCAGACCCCCAACCTCCAAGGGCTTGGGAGGCACCTACAAGAAGCCAGCAGCTCAGGACCCAGCCCTGAGCAAGAGAACCACCTTCTCAGCCTGGGCGTCAGGTCTGAGCTGGAGCTAACGGAGGGAGAGGCACAGCGCTACGGTCCAGCCGCACAGCAGCCATGTCCAGGAACCCTGGGGAGGGACTCGGGCAAGGGCAGGTGAGGGCCAACGGGGCTGTGCTGGAGACGAGCATGTGCAAAGTGCAGGCTGCCAGGGCAGCAGGAGAACATTCGCTGGGGGGAGGGGATTTGTCTCAATCTGCAGTATTGGGGGAGGAAGTTTGAGATCTTGGCTCCAAGGAAGAGGCCGCCAGCGGGTCCCCCGGGACAAAGAACAGGGATAGCTGAAGCACTAAGTAGCCAGAGGGCCACGGTGGCAGGATTCCGGGGGTGAACTGTCCCCCCACAATGGCGAGGGGGTGAGGAAGCAAGGCCCTGTCAGGACACAGCTGAGCCGGTGCTCCTGGAGCGGGGCAGGGAGGACAGGGCAAGCGGCCCCTCGGCCACAAGCCAACTCTGGGTCCAGCATGTGGGAGCTGCTGCGGCCCTGCCAAGGGGACAGGTTGGTCTCCAGCTGGCAGTCCTGGCATCTTTGTCTTGCCCACCTGCTGCGTGGGCCTGCGTGTTCTGCCCTCTAGTGGTTCAGAGGAGAATATTCACAGTGGTACCTGGGCCCTGAGGGGCCAGGAGGGTCCCAGCAGGTTGGGAGGACAATGGAATGTGCTGTGGGGCTGGGGCTGGAATGCGTGGAGGAGGCACAGATGAGATGCGGCGCGGATGGCGATCCGAGGAGGAAGGTCCCTTGTGGAATGACGCAGGTCTGGACTCCGCCAAAGGCAGGGCCCTTCTCCGGTCTGGATACCCGCTCCTCAATGGCTTTCAATCACGACTGGCTCGTAGACCCCAGAGGAGACCCTGGGGGAGGGGGGGGACATGTCAGCTTGTCCTTCTTCACACTCCGCCAGGCCAGGCCCTCGGAAGTACCCCACAAGCAGGCACTAAAAACTGGCTCCACTTTGGAGAGCAGGAGACTGAGGCTCCGAGAAGCTGGGCCACTTGCCCTGGGTGACACAGGTGGTCGGTGCTGGAGCCTGCGAGGCAGCGCTGGACAGGCGCTGTCCCGGCCCTTTCTGGGCACTAGCGACTTGCAAAATTGGCCACGCTGCCCTCGTTCTCACAGGGAGGGACTGTGCCGGTCCCGCCAGACAAAGAAATAGACATAGTGGGGTCGTGAGGCTTGCTGAGAGGGCAGCAGAAGGGCGGGGAGCCTGACAGGCTAGCTCCCAGATGAGGCCAGGTCCACCCACTGGATGGTCATTCGTGGCCTGGCAGACAGCTCTGCTAAACCTTGCTGCCAGTTAGGCTGGATTCTTCCCTCCCCTACCTAGACCAGTCTCCTCATCTTCTGTGGGAGGCAGAGGGGGTGGGGTGTTCGAGCCTCGGAGGACTACTATTCTCTCACCCACCCCATCCAGGGTAGTCCAGGAGGCTGTAGGGGGATGGCAGCTGCAATTTCAAGCCCCAGCCAGCAGGGGTAGACAGAGCAGCACAAAGGGATGGTCCTGGACCCTGCCAAGTCCGCTGGGTGGGCTCCAGCCATCAATGGGTACTTTCCCATCAGGCCCTGGGGCAAAGCCTCTGCACGACCTGGCTGGTGGGAAACTCTGCCACTGACTCACTCAGCGAGCCGGGCGCAAGAGTAATAAACATGCTGTGCTGGGAGCCATGCTACTCGTGGTCTTGTTATAGGGCAGGGAGAGGGGCAGCCCAAACCCTGCAAACCTGCCTGTTCTAAAAATGGTGGCAAAAAGTGAAAGGGGGGAATTGCTAGGGGGAAAAGGATGTCCTAAAGCTCATTCCATACAGGCTTTGTGGACTCCACCCCCACCCCAGGCCAAAGCCAAAGACACTGGGAACTCCAAATCCCATCACCACCAAAGGGAAGGTGGCTGGGACCTGAGGGTGGGGTTAAGCAGCCAGGTTGGTATAAAGCCAGATACGTGGGCTTTGGAGGGGTCCCCCATTTTGGCTCCCCGCCAGCTCGCAGAGTCCGGCCAGCTCTGAGAGTGCCTTCGGGTTTCCAGGTCGGCGGATCGGGTAGGACGCATGAAAGACTTTATTTCCCTATTTTCTCCCTGAGTTGTACATTTCCTTATTTCCTTTTCCCTTGTAAATAAACCTTTATTAACCTTTTGTGTGTGCCTGTAGTGGAGTATTCATAAGTCCCTTGTAAGTGTGCGGGTGAGGACCCACAGCCAGGAACCCATTCAATATCAGGGCTGCCCTATAACAGTCTGACAAAGGTCCAGGCATGGGGCAGATTCCTGAAAAGTCAGGAATCTCGTTAGCTGACTCCTGCTAGATTCTCCTCATTTGTTTATGGCTAGTTTCTACCATTGTTAAAATACGCATTTAAAAGTAAAACTGCAAATGCTGCTTGATCAATTACTGAATAACCAATTTGATGGCAAATGACACTGCGTGATACAAGTATTACATTTTCTATAAAATTAGGAATTCTCTGCCAAAAGGCAGTAATTCAACATTGAGCCTTACGTTAACAAGTGAAAAAAAACTTCTGGGAACAAAAAGCTGTAAACGTCCCTGGCCAAGTCTTTAATATGGAGATGTGGCCTTTTGAGGCCAGGGCTAAATGGAGAAGGAAATTCTTTTACTTTAAAGTTAAAGACAGCAGGTGGGTGGCAGACGGGAGCATGCTCCAAATGTAAGAAAATTCCGAATAAGCCAGGAGGCGCCATCGCTGCTCCTGCTAAACTCTTCCTGTTTGTTTAGGGCTGACTCCCCTGGAGGTGACAACTGGTATAGTAGCTGGTGGAGTGTGCATTCAAGAATAAGTCAACCACAATTTTGTGACTGGTCGAGCTAATAACCACGGCAGCACAAATAATGCACTCGGAAATAAGTCAATGTTACAAGTACTGATATGTCACGTATTAAGCCTTCTGGGAACCAAAAACTATAACCATCTCCGGCCCTGCCTCGGATGAAATGTTTGTAGCTCCTTAAAACAACAATCAGCAATCCTACAGAAAAAGGAATTTTTTTCCTTGATCTTAAAGTTAGATACGAAAACTAGGCTGACTAGGTAAGTAGAGGAGTTATAGGGAGAAAAAACTCTTTTGTTAGATTAGGAGAACTCCTCCCTTCATTGAGAGCTGGGGGCTAGGGAAGAGCCAGTGCGGCTCACCTGGCATTAATGCCTTCCAGGCCCTTGGTTCCTTAATATCGAATCAATATTAAAACAATATACTATAGATGATGATTTCTATATAAAAGCCTTCTGTTTTTTGCTTTAATCATTTGGTTATATGTTAGTCTAAACTTTATAGGTTAGTTAGAAAAAAATCCCTTTGTCTCCCCTCCCCCAGGGAACTTCCTGCCCTTTGCTTCCCCCAGCCCTTAGTTAAGCATTCTCTATGGCAAACAGAGAAATGTTAGCTGCAGTCACATAAGCTTTTTGCTGGTAATAAAATGACTGTTTAAGGGAAATGGCTACTCTAAGAACACTTCTGTTTAGCAACCATGCCTTCTTTAAATCAAAGAATAATAAATGTCACGACCTCTGCAGGAGGGCAAATAGACCCTTGGCTGTTCTTAAGAAAGATGTGATGATTGTTATCTTCCTGCCTTTAATGCATGTGCTTATGCACTCTCCTGGTTTGCTTGAAATGTATAAATAAAGGGCTGCTGAGACCCTCAGAAGGATGATGTCTGCACCCTGATCGAGTGTTTGCATCTCCTCACTCCCCCTCCCCCTAATCCCTCAGATTCCTCCACGCTGTCTCATCCTTAGGGGAACCCCTGACATGACAGTTTGCCGAGGCTGGTCCTGGGGCACTGCTGCAAGCAAATGAGAAGCCAGCCCTAAAGATGGGGCTCAAGCAGGTTTGATTCTGCCCACTCCCCGCCCCCCATCTCCTGCCTCTGAGCATCAAGCGGGCAGAAAGGTGTTGCTCACTGCTGTCTCCCCAGCACCCAGCCCAGGGCCTGATGCACAGCTGGTGCTCAATAAACAAACAGGTAATTTTTTAGGGGTTCCCAGATCTAGAAGGAAAGGAAAGGAGGGTCCAAACATGCTTTTTAAGGCCCCGCTATGTACCAAGCCCATCCGAGGCTTTTGCCAAGAATATACCCTTGGAACCCTCAGATCAATGCAGGGCCTGTCCCCTGCCTACCTCCAGGAAAGGTGCGTGATCCACACCATTGACAGATGGAGAGACTGAGGTCGCCCCATGGTACCAAGGACTGGCACTCAACGGTCAGAGACCTTGCTCTCACCACTGGGCCCAGCTGCCACCCTGACCTGCCCCCCTACCTGTTGGCCAGCTGGATGCCACTCAGCGTGGTGGAGCCGTCTCGGCTCACAAACAGCCGGAGGTTGCTATCTGTGGGGACACAGGGGAGGATGGGGGCTGAGTGGGACGGGGGCAGCCGGCAAGTGGCACCGCCCTCAGCCACCCGCATGGCCAGCGCACCCTCAGTGTTGCTGCCGTCTGTGAAGTCCTGGCTCTGCACGATCTTCTCCACGATGTCATCCGCGTCAATCCGCGTGTCGTCCACCCAGGTCGGGTGGCTCTCCACCGAGTCTTTCTTCCGCCTGGGGAGGGCCGTGGGTAAGAGGCACAGCGCTCAGAGGCCTGGGCCCTCACATCCGCCCTCCGGAGCAAGCACTTGTCTCCCTGGCCTTAGAGAGGACGACTCTGAGGCTCCAGGAGGCTAAGCAGCCTGCCTACAGCCGTGCCGCCACTTCCATGGAGCGCCGAAGGCTCAGACCCAGACTGACAGGGCCCACTCTGGACAGATAAGCTGAACCCCACACAGCAGGCCGAAGGGGCGGACCCTGGTGTCCCCGTGTTATGGGTAAAGCTGCAGAGATTCAGGGAGCCCCCCAAAGAGGTCTGGTCTCCAGGAGCACAGAGTGGGACTCACCGAAACGAGCGGTCCGACAGATGTGGGGGCCGAGGGGGCCGTGGGGGCTTCTCGGGGGGCCGGTGCTCGCGCTCACTGCCCTCAGGCCCCTCCACTGTGATGCTGAGGCCGCCCGAGGCACTGCTGCTGGTGGACGTGTTGCGGCGGTGCGTCAGGTCCGAGAGGCTGGAGGAGCGCGAGTGCTCTGTGCTGTAGCCTGGCGGGCGGGCAGCGGTTTGTTACTGGGTGCCGGGGACGTGCGCGGCCAGGGCTGGGCTGGTGGCCACTCACCTGAGATCCTGGACTGCTGGCTGGCGTAGCTGGAGTTGCGGGAGTGGCCAGAGTGGAACACCTCCTCGGGGCTGGACAGGTTCTGGTCAGGCTCCTCCGGCACCCCTAGGATGTGGCAGGGCAGGTGACTGGGTGCTCGCCCTCACCCTTTACACACATCTCCTCAGAGTCTGGCCGGGGGCTGGGGGTCGGGCACTGTGCATTTCCACTGTAACACTGAGGTTCAAGGGAGCAGCAACCTGCCACAGTTCCCCTCTGAACCAGGTTCATTCAGTCCGGGCTAGCCCTCGGCACCTACCCTGCAGAGGGGCTCTACTGGGTGCGTCAACAGGAGAGAGGTCACAGGCCAGTGGAGAGGAAGAACGCAGAACCAAGTGTGACCCAGTTATCCCAACTGCAGTGTGTGCAGAGCCAGGAGCAGTGGGGATGGAGGCCAGGCCAGGTCTGGGATCAGGGAAGGCTTCCCTGAGGAGGTGGCCTTCGTGGGGGCCCACAACTCAGACAAGGTGTCAGGGAAAGCCCCTCCCACACAGAGGGAACAGCAGGAGCAAAGGCCCTGAGGCTTGAGGGAGCCTGAGGCAGCGTAGCTGGTGTGCCACAAGTAAGGCTGAGAGGGAGTGAGTGGCCAGGCCCCCAAACAGCCCATCTTCAACACAAACTCTGGGCACCCCCAGCAAGAGGCACCGGCCACCATCTACCCAGGGCTCCCCCAGGGCTAAGGAAGTAGCCGCCCCCCAGTCCTCCTGTCAACGGAGAAAGGAGGGATCATCCACCCCCTACTGGGAGAGGAGCACACCCAGCCACAGGCTGGAGCCCAGGCCTGCCGTGTCTCTGGGCTGGCCAAGTACCAAAAGGTTCTCTGCAGATACGGGCGGGGGCCACAGAGAAGCGCAGGCACCGAGGGGCACACGAGGCACTGGACTACTTGGCCGAGGCACCCTCTGTGCTGGGAAGGGATGCACCCATATCCTGGAGCCCCCACCCCCAGGTTCAGTTCCCAGGCTGCAGCAGGCAATGGGAATGGAGGAAAGTGCACCTTCAGGGCCAGTGGGGACTCACTGCTCCCCTGCACAGCCAGAGGTGCCAGAGGCCCCAGAGGCCCCTGCCCACTAGAATCACTCTTGTGGCACAAATTAGGGTCCCGCAAATTAGCCTCTCAGCTCTGAACTCACCCCCACCCCACCCCCAGAGAGAGGGTGCAGTAGCCAAGCAAAGCTCCTATTTTGGGGAATCTGCTTCCCCTGCAGAGCACTAGATGTGGGGGCAACACCCCTGGCTGCACACTGAAGCCCCCTCTCCTAGAGGCACCACCTCTACCCAGTGCCTCGTCGTCTCCTCTGAGAACTTGAGCTGTTGGATTTTTTTTTATAGCATTAATGATAATTTGCTAGAAATATGGCCCAGGAAAACCCAGGTGCTGACCGCCTGGCCAGGCTCGCTGTGCTCAGTTTGCTCCTAAGCAACCCAGATGCAGTTTCTATCACTGATCCCATCGTACAGGGAGGACAAGGCCTGGAAGGATGAGGGCTAGGCAGGTGGCGCACAAGAGCCCCCCACAGCACACCGCTCTGCCTGAACACTGTGTCCACCCCAGGCCCAGCTCACCAACTCGGGTGGACGTGCACTTGGCTTATTGTCTAACACCTGTCTCTCCTACTAGGCCAGGACACCAGGTCAGACTTGGTCCAGGGCTCTGCAGGATCCTGACGCCAAACACCGTACCCAGCATAGGGAGGGGCCCAGATGTCGGCCTAAGGGAGGCACCATCGTGCTAACACCACCCCACCTCTCTTCCCAGAAAAGGCCCTGGGGACCTGGGGACACTGCAGATGAATGCCTTCAGCCAAGGGGTGGGCTGGGCAGGTAGGGAGCAGTACCTGAGCTGAGGATGGTGGGCCGGGCCTTGGGGTGCCGGGACCCTGTCAGGGAGTTGGTGCTGCTCTTGCCACTGCTGCTGGTCCCGCCACCCTTACACGTCAGCTGCAGGGAGGAATCCTGGCCCGGGATGGAGATGGACTTGGCAGTGGATGGTGGCCTGGAAAGGACAGATGGGTGTGACTGGGGTGGCCCACCCTCAGGTCTGATGCAGACAGAGTTGCCCAAGAGCATGGAGGAGCAAAGAGTAACTGCCTGCCCTCCCGCCGTGCCCGGGAGGGGCCCCACCCCCTGGGCAGCCAGTGACAGCACTCACGTCTTGAAGCAGGGGTCCCCAGAGAGCAGGAACATGCCAATGGTGACCTGTGAGAAAGGGAAGATTCACCACACCCTGCCCACCACCTAGCCCAGGCCTGCGGGACTCTGCTGTCCCCACGCATGCACTGCACGGCTGCACGAAGCCCCAGAGCCTCACACATCCATCTCCTCTGACGGAGAACGGAGCCCTCCTAACTCCTGGCTGGTGAGGGTGCAGTGGGGCTGTGGGAGCCTCCTTCCTGCCCAGCTTGCCCATTCTGTGCCTCCAGGCACTGAGACTGGAGCTGACTGGGGGGCTACTATCTGGGGGCTTCTGGGCCGCTCCCATTGTGTCCTAGCTCTAAAGTGACAATAACGATCTTGCGCTGCTCACTTTGCAAGGGGTGCCAGAGGGCCAGGAGGTAGAGCCCGCCTACCACCTCTTCCTCTGCCTATGCTCCCCCCAGGGTCAGTTCACAGAGGTGTGGTTGGGACTATTTTCTCAGCCAGACATCTCAGTCCCCAGAAGGCAGAGAGGGAGTAGGAAACTGCCGGCCATTGTCTGTGCCCTCGTCCATGGGTCCAGGATGATAGGCCCTTCTCTCTCACAGATGCGCCACGGAAGCTCAGGTGCAAGCTCAGGTGGGGCCGAGGGCAGGACTGCACGTAGAGTCATCCAGCTGGGGCCAAGCTTTCTTGGGACCCTGAATCCGTGGCATCCCCCTCCCTAACTCCAACCCCATCGCAATACTGGACAAGACACCCCTGAGCACTGTGGTCAGGCCTCAGAAGGCAAGGTGGGGTCAATACCTGGAAATGCTGACCTCATCAAAAGTGCTCACCAGAACCTCAGAGACTACTGGGGCCCATGCCCTGGCCCCCCAGTGTGGATGGGGAAACAGGCCAGATGGCTATGCCAAGCCTCTAATGGTGGTTTCCTGACCCAGGACAGCCCATGCCTCAGTGCCTCTCACTGCCCACCCAAGGTGAAAACCTGCATTTTAAACAACCCTCCCAGCAGAGGCAGGCTCCCCCTTCCTGGAGTTGGGGTGGGGCAGGAGGCAGCAGACCCCCGGCACCTTGAGGATGGAGTTGTCCTGGCGCGTGTTCTTTGTGTCATAACCCTCCAGCAGGCAGCAGCGCACCGTGGAGCCAGAGCCTGCAAACTCAGCCAGGTTCAGGTCGGCGAAGCCCAGCTGGAAGGGACAGAGGTGGCGTGGGTGCAGGGTTAGCAGTGCAGGGGTTAACTTGCATTGCCAGGGTGGGGAGGGGGAGAGGCAGGCACCGTCCCTGGGGGCCCCCCCGCAGCCCAGACCCACTGTTGCATAACCAGCACCCAAGGACAGAGGCCCTGGTTGCCAGCTCCGATGTGGCAAAGTCGGGAGCTCACATCCCTGAGACACACAAAGCACCCTTTGTGCTGCATCCCAGCATGCACTGGGGCAGCGTCTGAGATGAAAGGACATTGTTGTCTGTGACACAGACACATTGTTCCCCAGGAAACAAGGCCAGTGCTGTAGGGAGCTGCCAGGCCAGTGGGCCAGGGAGGAGGGAAGGATCATGGGAACTTGGCGTTGCGGGGGGGACAGGAGGCCAGGGGAGGGGTGCTTGCCAGGGAGGGCAGAAGACCCTTGTGGGAGCCAAGGGAGGAAACTCCTGGCTGACCCTGGGATTAGAGAGAAAAGGACGGGACAGAAGTGAGGATGTGAGAGAAGGGGGTCATGCATTAGGAAGGTCTCTTAGATGGAAGCCACGCCCACCAGGTTGGGGAGACGAAGGGAAATTGAGGCTATGGTGACAGATGCTAGGTTAGGGACTTGGGGGACAACTAAATCAATTAAAGATATTTATGGAGCACCTCCTGCATGCAAGTCTCTGCTGCAGAGTTTAGGGGCACACACACCCTTGGGTTCAGATCCCAGCCCTGCCACCCACGCAGAGTGACCCCAGTTTACAGACAAGGGCATAAAGGTTCAGAGAGGAGAAGTGACTTGAGAAGGCCCCACACAGCTAACCCACAGAGCCGGGCCGGAGGCGAGGCTGCACCTCTGTGGGCCTGCTTCCTCCTCAGTATAATGGGGGCAAAGCCTGGGTGGGAGTTTGATTGGAGAGGGGCAGGAAGGGGCCCAGCAGGGCTGACACAGGCTGTGTGAGGAGGGGCTGGCTGGCAGTTTGGTGGCACCTTCCTGGCTGGACAGCTGTCCTGGCCAGTGAGAACCACAGGGAGGTGGGTGGATGCTCGCGCCCTGGCCAGGGCAAAGCACTGGGCCACGCATGGCACTTCCTGAACTTGGGCTGGCTGCAAGGGCCACGCTGCACAGAGGGGCACACACCTCCTCCACCAGAGTGCAGTCAGGCAAAGGCAGGTCCCTTGGGACAGAGCCACCACCTGCCACCCGGCCGCCTCCCCACAGTGCTGAGGGCGGGCCAGCTGTCCCCATGGAGAAGTCAAGGGTGTAGGGCTGAACTGGCACATCAAAGTCCGAGGTGGCCCATCGAGCCGCCTCGCCCGTCTTCCTAGTGGGAACGGCTGAGTGCGTAGCCCTGGGCGGAGGGGCGTGCTGGGAACGCAACCACAGCCCCTGGTTTGAACAGCGGGACCAGCTAGTCCCTGCCACCTAGTACACAGGGCACTGCTGCCACTAGGAAGCAAAAAGAAATCTGCAACTATGTGAAAAGATACTTGTGATGTGATGAGACCTAAAAAGCCTATTTGGAACAAGTCCCTTCTCTGTAAGTAAGAGTGCCCGTACCGGAAGCACGTGTTTCTCTAATGCGTGCATCTGTCTACTTCTGCTCTGTGCTAGGACAGCACCCACCATGGCCACTTCTTAGAAGGTCTGAAAAGACACTAATGAGTCAAAATGGTGGACAGGTCTGGGGAGCAAGGGCGTGGAAACTGCCCTTTCACTCTGAACTTCCTGCCATTTGTGATGCTGCTGCCTTCACCTCAGGTGCAGGGACAGTGGATGAGGAATCTCCCCGAGACACTACTTCTCGTGGAGGGCTGTCTCTTGGCTGGGGCAGAGAAGAGGCTGCATGTTCTTCTGGGAGCTTCTCTCATGCCTGTCCTGCCTAGCCCAGCCATCTGACTGCCACGCACACGTACCTTGGAGTACGCCTTCCCGCCTTTCAGCTCCTGTACAGGGAGAGAGACACAAGTAGAGGGTAACTAGGAACCCCAGGCACCTCGTGAGTTTCCCAATTCCCCCCAAATCTAACTGCCAGGGCAAGAGGACAAGGGATAGGGGGGTCAAGTCAGGGGAAGGGCTGAGACCCATCTCAGCCCCAAGCTCACAGTGTTCCCTGACCCCGCAGCCTGGCCTCACCTTGCGCACGGACACGCGGAAGATGCAGGGGTCCAGCAGGCCAGTGGCCGGGTTGGCGCTCATCTTACACACGAAGGTGAACCTCTTCCGCCACCGCACACAGTTCTCCTGCACCTCCTCCCTGGGGGCCAGACCGGACAGGTGAGCCAACAAGCACACAGGGACAGGGCTTGAGGGGGAGTGGGGAGGGCTGCAGGAGTGCAGGGGTGGGGAGCGCTCATTTTTCACTTTGTATTACAAAGTGACTATATTTTCATAACGAAACTGTGCTTGCATAAGTGCAGTAAAAACAAAGAATGCCTAATAAAAACCAAAAAAGCAAAAGGCAGGGTGAGTTCAGGCCAGGGACAACTGCCCTCACCCCCCACGGGCTCTGTGGGCTTGGGCTCTCCTTCAGCCAGGCTCCTGCTGCCTGGACTGAGGCTCCGTCTCCCCAGGCCAGACAATCAGCCACCTTCTGAGCCTGCGTCCTGAGCTCAGCTACCCCGAGCACAGAGGCCCTGGCTACAGGCCCCCTCTTCTCCACCAACCACCACTGAACCAGCTGGGGTGCACGCGAGCGTGTCTGTGCTGTTGCACAGACCTCGCTTCCAAAGACAGCGGGGGGCAGCCACTATCAACTGCCACTACCCAACCCCACATTCAATGGAAGCAGCAGCTGTGGGCTCAGGCCTTCAGGCCTACTGCAGCCTGGCTCCAGCATGTGGAACCCTCACCACTGCAGGCCTGCGGCCTGACTTCAGCTGTCCCGATGCTAACTGCACAACCACACTCAGTGTCCCCTCCACAGGGAGGCAATCGCGTGCCTGGGAGTGAGTGGGAGCAGCTCCCCTGAGCCTCTCCCAGCTGCTGCAGGGGCCTCAGCAGGCCTGGGGGTGGCAAGTGGCAGAGACGAGCTTCCCACCCCTGACGGCTCCCGTCCCCCCACAGCCAGCCTGACAACACCAGGGCTTAGGAAGGGGCGGCACGGAAAGGAGGGGCAGCCGGAGAGACCTTATCTCCAGCCTCATCCCACCTGACAGGAACCGCCAAGCAAACAGCTGAGGAAGTGACCTCTCCACACCCCAGGGACCCGAGGAGCGCGGTCAGCTGCCAGTCGCCCGAGGGTGGGGAGTCAGCGAAAGCAGGAACCTCCGGGACAGGCTTGTTTGCTTTTCACGAAAGCAGGGAGGTAGCAGGACGCCACCCCCTTCTACAGCTGAGGGCACCGAGGCTCCAAGAGCAGCCCCCATCCTGTGAGGAATGAGGCAGGAGTTGCGCGCAGGGCCGTCTGGCCACCGCCAAGCATTCAGCCAAGCGGTAGCACACGGGCCATTCAGCAGCCGGGAGAGCCTGCGGAGGGGAGCCCAGCTGTGCACCTGAGGCACCACTCGCGTCTGTGAGTGCCAAGTGTTTGTGTGTACACCAGGGCTGGCCACCTCGCTGAACTTTATTCACAACATGACACTGACAGTCACCCTGGTGATGACTCAGTGCACCAGCAGAGGGTGGGGGACAGGGTGAGTCAGGGAAGATGACTGATGCCTGGGAAGTGACAGTCAAGCTCGGGCCCAAATGGGGGAGTTCTTAATGGGGGTGACATTCAAAGCCGAGGGACCAGCATGAGTGCGGAGGAACACACGATCTCCCCTTTCCTCAGCAGATGAAAGCGCCTGAGCTTTGGCTGCCACGAGGGGCCCCATCTGGGCTTAGCTTAGCTTAGGCTTAGCTGCGACGGGAGGCCAGGCAGCCTGCGCTCAGTTCTCACACTCGGGCTGGGCTCGACCTCTCCATCCGCCTCAGTGAGCAGGCCCAACACTCACTCACGGGCGGGCACCCAGTGTCTTCAGATAGGAGAGTCTCACAAAGGATCTGGCCTGGGGAGGGTCTCGCCTGATGAAGGCTCTGGGGATCCAGGGGTGCTCAGTCACCAACATTATCAGGAGGGTGAGTTCCAGCAAACCCCCGCCGTCCCAAGACTGGGGACCAACAGAAAAGGCCAGGGCAAGAGAGAAGGGGTAGAATGGGAGAGTCCCAAGCCCCTGGCAGGCACGGGCAGGTGCCCTCGGGAAGGCGGTGCCTGCCACAGGGGGAGCAGGAGCCTGCAAGGGGGCCGGCTCTGCTCGCTCAGAGCGCGCAGTCCTGGGCTGTACACTCGGACCACGGAGGTGAGCAGCTGACGTTCTGGTGGGAGGAGAATGATGAGGAGCAAACAAGGAAAACACATAGTGGGGAAAAGAAAGAAGTGAAGTAGCGGCAGACACTCCGATCTCCTAGTAGAGAAGGCTGTTAAAAAAACTATCAGAATACACAAACTCGCCAAGGTTGCAGGAGACAAGCTGTAACCGCTAAAAAAAGAAAAATATGTAATGATAAATTTAACACAAGAAGCATAAAACATTATTGAAAGAAACGCAAGAAGATCTAAATGAGGGGAAAGAGAGTCTATCACTAGGAAGACAATACTCCCAAACTGACCTAAAAATTCAACACAGTCCCAATCCAAATCTCAGCTAGCTCCTTTGCAGAAATTTGACCAACTGATCTGAAACCTTTATGAAGAAACTCAAGGGACCTGGGTGGTCAAAACAATCTAGAAAAAGAACATAATTAAAGAGTTTGCATGTTCTGCTTTCAAAAGTGCCTGGCTTTACTAACCATGAGAATGTGGTTCTGGCACCAAGGACACAGAGATCTATGGGATGGAACTCAGAGTCCAGAAATAAACCTTCACATTTATGGTCAACTGGGTTTCCAGAAGAGTGCCAGCGGGGGAAAGAACAGTCTTTTAACGTAAGTCGCCGGGTATGCTGACACTCAGGTTTTGTTAACATGCAAAAGAATGAAGCGGATCCATTTCTCACACCAAATACAGTAAATTCAAATGGGTCAGAAACCGGAAGAGCTGAAACTATAGCACGTCATGATCCAGGATTAGGCGATCGTTTCTTAGATGACGCCGAAGGTACAGGCGACAAAAGAGACACTCAACTTCATTCAGAGTAAACGTCTGTGATTCAACGAATCCTACCAAGAAAGTGGAAAAAAAAAAAAAACCCACAGAATGAAGGAAAAGACTTGCAAATCACATATATAAGGGACTTGCAACGACCACATATGAGCACTTACAGCTTCAATAATAAAAGCAATTCTATTGAAAAATGGGCCAATGATCTCACTGGACATTTCTCCACAGCAGACCTATAAATGGCAGTAAGCACATGAGAAAACACCGAATGTGAACAGCCACCAGAGAAACGGGAATCAAAACTACGAGGAGACACTACCTCACACCACCAGGGCAAAAGCCATCCAAACGTGTGAACACAGCAGGTGCAAAGGCCCTGAGGTGGAACCATGCCTGAAAACAGAAAGGCAGCAGGGAGGCCAGTGGTTGGAGAGGTTGGGGAGGCGAGCGCAGGGCATGGACTGGGCAAGAGAACAGAGGGTAGGTCACGTGGAGGCCTCTGGCTACAGGCAGAGCAGAGAGTCACGAAGGACCTGGGAGGAGGGCAAAAGAATAAAACACTCCCAAGCAGCCAAAGGCCCAAGTTTGAGAGAGAGGACACGGAGGGGTGACCACAGCCCCCGTGTGGACCCTCAGATTTCCGCCCACCCACTCTACTCTGACCCCCACCCCCACCCCCAGGAGGTAGCAGCTGCTGGAGATCTAAGGAGAAAGTTCACTGTGCAAAGTAGAAACACTCAGAGGAGTTAGGATTAGCGTCTGGGAACAAAAGCCTGTATCAAATTGTGGGTTCTCTCCCCTTCTCCTTTGTGAGTTGCCCGTGGGAATGCCAACCAGGAAGCCCCAGGCCTGTTCCTGGTTCCTGTGGGCTAAGCAGGTCAGGCTAGAGAAAGCCCTGTGGAGCCCTCCCAGGCTCAGGTAACAGGAAGGGAGGCAGGTGGGGCTCATGGGATGGGCACTGGGGCCTCCCTCTTGTTTCCACAGGGCTCTAAACACACACTATTAAAGGCCACCACTCCCACGGGAGGGGAGAAACTTGCAGGCTCGCCCTGGCCCACCCCAGGTCACAGCAGGGGTAAAATAAACCCTCCAGCAGCAGCCATTTCCTGATGACCTACTGCGTGCCACCTACTGGAGCTCTTCCAGGTTGAAAGCTGGGTGTCACTGTGGCCCACCTTACAGATGAGGCTCAGAAAGAAGGAGTAACTCATCCACAGACAGAACCGCTGGAGGCAGCGCCCAGGAACTGCTCGAGCCAGGCCCATTGGTGTGCAGAGCCCGTGCTCAGAACTGGCAACGGCAGAGCCAGGACCCAGCCCCGCAGATGTCTCCTGGGCCCCCACAGAAGAGGGAGCTAGGTCCCCCCAGTTGGGTGGCATGGCGTCCAGGCACAGGACAGAAATCATGGGGAGAGGATGAACCCTGGTTGGATGGGGCTCATAAAAACAGCAGGAATGATGATGCCAGGCAGGTGGTCATGAGCCCCAGGTGGGAGCGGGCTGAGCCAGGTTTGAGGAAATTTCAGGGCTTTAATTCACTTAAAAACCTTTTATAAAGCGTTTACTATGTGCCAAGTACTACTGAAGGCCCTGGGGACATAAGCAGTGGGCAGGACAGACAGAAAGCCTTGCCATCAAGTCTGGCAGTGGCAGGAGACGGACAGAACGAGGCAAACACACACGGTGGACAGGCGAGTCAACCTCATAGCAGAGAAAGAGGTCCTGGGCCAGAACAAGAGGGAGATCTACAGAGCACCCCGCCTTTTTTTTTTTTTAAGTGAAATATCTAAACGCCTGTGCGCATAGGAACACGGGAGGTGCCCCGTGGTACAGTGAGGGAGGTGGCTCCGGCCTGGCAGAGGAGGGCCGGGTAGGGAAGGACAGGGGAAAAGGATCAGATGTGACTGTTTTGTAAGCATGAGCAGGGAGAACAATGAACTCCCCTGGGAGTCTTCACGATTACAGAGGTGAGAGGCCCACCAACTGCACAGGGGCGGGGGGGGGGGGGTGTAATCTGGGAGCAGCAGAGGCCGCTGCACCTGACCCCCTGGGCGGGGGCACTGACAGGAGGCGCAGAAGCCACCAGTCTCAGAAAGGGGGAGTGTGAAAACATGACAACACACGCGCACCTATGAAGAGAAATCATCAACGAGAGGTTCCCTCAGGAATCCCGGCCCTGAGCCTGCCCGCCCCATCTGCCCCACTGGGGACCGCCTGGAAAAAGGAATGCAACAATGGTGGAAGTCAGGCCCAGCGGGACACCCAGAACCTGGGCCCTGCTTCCCAACCACCTGGATGGCTTGTCCCAGCGGCCCCAGCCCGAGGAGACAATGGCCACAGGCGGGAGGGGGCGCCCACAGGGAGCCCACGGGTGGGGTGGGACCGCCCGGCGTTTCTGTCCCGAAATTGCTTGTGTAACCGAAATTTACATTGGAAATGGAGAGCAGGGCATGAGGTTAGAAGAAGACATGAGATGGGAACACCCTATCTCCCCACTTCAAGGCTGGCGCCCACACACCTTCCCGAGGACAGGCATCCACCCCGTCAGAGCCACCAAGGCCCCGGCTCTCCGGGCTGGGTCTCGGGGCCCGTCCCCAGCACCTCGCTGCCGGGACAGGTTATTACAGGGGCTGTGTTTCCAGGGCAGCTCAGGGGAGTTTCATTTTTAGCTTGAAGACATACAATTAGCCGGCTAAGGCCCAGAGGGGCAGGCCAAGCCCTTCACCCGCTGCAGCCCGCTGCGGCCATCACAGTGGCAGGGTTCGGCTATTTCTGAGTTGTCCCCACCCAGCTGGGGTCCTCAGCTCAAGAGAACTCCATCAGAGAGGCCTGAACCCCAGCCCCCCATTACTCACCCACAAAGACTTACTATGGGTGCCAGCTGTGAGCTGTGGGTGAGGCGACAGTGGGAGCAGCCCCTGGGAGGAGCCCAGTGAGTGGGGAGACAGACCACACAGAAGGTGACTGACCACTGCCGCCAGCCTCTGAGGAAGTGGAAGCGGACAGAGAGCACCGGACAGAGCGGGGGCCTGGCTTGGTCTGGGGCCAACACTGAGGCTGGCCGGGTGAATATTCGGGGAGAAGACATCCCGGGCAGTGGGAGCAGCACAGGAAGCCCCCAGAAAGAGGCAAGAGGTGGCCAGGAGTTGGATCAGCTGGAGAAAGTGGTTGCATGAGTGACCCCAGAAGGCCAGTCTCAGGGAGCCTCAACTTCC